ACAACTTAGCCACGATTTTGATAAGACAATTAGAAGAAAAAATAGATTGTACCTACTTGTCTTCCAAGTTTTTTATGCACAGTTGGTAAAATAAATTACTATTAAAGAGTAACACATAAAATCTCAATAAATACCTATTTCTTAATTAAATATTCTAGTAATTTGTCAGTCTAGTCTTGTGTACCTACTGCGCCTACCTTCAATAGGTCTAAATACATAGCTATAATAACAATTGGGTCAGAATGTATGTTTTGTTTTAGGTCAAAATGTATACTGTTGTGTCAATCCCTACTAATACTTATTGTAAATGCTAAAGTAACTCTGTCTATTTGTCTGTTACACTTTCACTGCTAAATCGCTGAACCGATTTTTATTAAGGAGATACTTTAATAAAGGAGGACGGACATAGGCTACTTTTTCCACGTTAACCGACATACACGCGGGCAGAAAAGTTAGTAATAAATAAATTTTTAGACAACTTACTTTCCGTCGGTATATTAAAAATAGCCGCCTACGGTAACCGTGTTCTCAACGCCTAGATTATAAATATAATACATAGGTATAGCGTGTATAATATTATGATTTTTTTACCTTTTTTTTTACCTTTACCTATGAAATTGCCGTTTCGTATGCAATTAGTGAAAGTACTTATTTTTTCAAACTTTTTTATTTCCGTTATTCGAAGTAATCACCCATGCAATCGACGCATCTTTGCCAACGCATTGGCAGTTTATTGATGCCCTTCTTGTAAAAATCAGCTGGACGGGAGGCAACAAACTCTTCAAAGGCATTTTGTACTGCCTCTCGGGAATTGAATTTTTTACCCCCTAAAAAGTTGTCTAAATTTTGGAAAAAGTAATAGTCGGTAGGTACAAGGTGCACCTATTACATGTACCTATGTTTCTATAGGTATATCATATAATCTCTGAAAGTACAGGCCAGATTCTAGAAATGTTTTTAGTTAATAGTTAGCAACGCAACGTGGGCTAGAGGTATTTTTTTCCACCTAAAAATGACAATATAAATACAACCATATTTACGAACAAGTCGTAAATTACGAAGGCGTTCTTTTTTTGTGACTTTAATCATTTTTACACGACTTTGCCAAAAGGAGGGTTATGGTTTTCGAGTGTACGTTGCCAAAAAGAAGTACATATGTATGTACGTACTTATATATTTTGCATTTGGCACGCTCTGTAGTCCCAACGTTTTGATGGATTTTGGCTTGGGTGGTGTCGTAATTGTGAGATTGACACCGGGTAGGTATATGAAAATTATAATAATTAAAATGGACGGTTTTTTAATGTAGCTTATACATTTTGACGATGTCGGGTTTTTGTTTTTTTAAGGTCAAGCTTATAATTATCATGATTTTAAAATGTATCCGTCAAAGAACCCTTATTTATTTTATCAAATACATAAAGCAGTCTTACTTTGGGTTAAGAAAGAGCTATGGAAGAATATAACTCTTAAACACACACAACAAATCCACAATGAGAGTTGCAACATTTAAAATACCTTTGCAAAAGTCAGGCATTTCTAACAATAGTCTACCCACAATAGCTTCGACCAAATCTTATCATTAGTCGCTAATCCTTCGACCAAAACTGATAATAGTCGTTAATCCCTGAACAATTGTACTGAATGAAACAGGAAGACGTTGGCTACCGAAGGGACTTGCTGACGAGCCTTTTAAAGTGTATTAAAGGGTTACCTTATCTTTAAGTGTGAGAATTAGCTAGGCCTTCGTTAAAATCATGGTAATACATTCTGGTTTTCTCAAAGCACTGGTTTATAGGGTCCGAATGTTTATTTGAAAGTTGTTACTGTAATTTAGTGACGTAGTGTGTAGGTCATTTTTGTAGCTCATCCTGGGTCTTCTAAGGGATTTGAGATAGAAAGTTATTTGTTAGAGTCTGGTATTTTAAGACTTACAAAAAATGCCCAAAAGAGAACTAGATATCATACAACTCTGACTAGATATCGGTTCAAGGCGTGGTTCTTGTTATTGGGTAATTTATTTATTACCAATAGATAGTTTATGATATAGTTACCTATAACAAAGTCTAAAAAATCTTGCAATTTCAAGTTATTACGCAAGTAAGTGTTCTTAGATTTATTACCTAAACCACAACACAAATAAAAGCAGAACTGTAGTGAACTTATTCAACACGAGTAATTAACTTAGAACATTAAAATACTTACCGAAGACGAATGCTAACAAAATTCATGAATATTTATAAAATAATTATACGCTGACAACACTAATTTTTATTAAATAGACAGTTCTAAATTTCAATTTTACTACGAACTTATCTAACACAAATTAGCTAGGTATTGCCAGTGGTTATATCTTTAAAAAAAACGAAAATAACGAACTTCCATACAACCCTTTCTTAGTGAGTGCTTACAACTTAAAAAGCATCAGCTGGCAAAATTTCGAACTTGTATCCTCAGCGGTTTAGACTCTGCCTTGATGAAGCAGTCACTTACGGCAAGTAATTTTATAAAATATGTACAGATAAAAAAACACGTTCTTATTTTAAAAGCTTTCTTAGAACGTTTTGTGTTCAAGGTGGTGAGTTGCGGGCTGGACATAATCCCTCCACGTCCGGCATCGATTACTTACGTGTACAATACAATGTTTAAGTCCCCTTTTGTAAGAAAAATATGTCAAAATAAAGCATTGTTCGCTCCGGAAGGATTAGCTTAAGGAATGTATAACCTTTCTAATTAGGTATTATTTTATTTTGCGTAATTTTCTGAATTTCTATGACAGTGCGTAATAAGTAATTATTCAGTGTAGGTAATCGTAGTTCTTTGAAATTCTTCGAAATATTTGATTTGACTTAGGAAAAATTCTAGTCTGAGGTTATTATCATTTTAATGTGTATTTTAAACTACGTATTAATTTTCTAAGAAGTGTCACATAAGTTATTTTAACCTCAGGCAACCACCCTATTAAAGACTTAAGCGCTAAAATACCGACATTCATATAACACAAATAGCAGCCGCTAACAGGTTCTCGTTGACCATTTTGTCTTTAAGAATGTTTATAATGACATAATTTCTAACATATTATCTCCTTATTATGAGTTTGAAAAACTTGCCGGCACAGTGATGGCTAGCTAGATACCTACGTACAATTCTACAATACATAATCACCTCTCTTACCGGACACCTATGAATTATCCCATCAATCACATAATATGTCACAGTGAAACTCGACCACTAACATTATTTACACGAGAAAATCTGTACAACATTTAATAAAACATTAGTCTAACGAACTACCGTAACAAAACTCCGTGACAGAGACCAACGATCCGCCATGATTAGCGAGCACTTTCGCGCCATTTTCGTTCAGTAATGGCGACACACACTGCTCCCGTTACACGGTAGGTATAATTACGGCCCTTTGAGAACTGAGCCGAGAATTGCCGGTAAACACCATTTTGTACCAGGATAGTTATCCGAGCTAGGTTAGTTTTACTTTTAACAAGAGGTTGGGGATAATTTTTGGTGCCATTAGGTGATGAGGTTTGTTTTCCATAAGTCACTCTCCCTTCTATTATAATGTAACTAACTAGACCTATAACTGGTCTAGTTAGTTACATCAACGATGTTACAAGTTATGCTCTACGAAAACTAACGATTGGGTCTACAGTGGTCAGTGTTTCTACGTCATTTTAGATTATTTTTAATTTTACAATGACCAAGTATTAACAATAAGTTATTTTTAATTATCGACAAAAAAAATCCAAGGCCTTATTGGATGCTGTCGATTCGACGTACTTATTTTTCTAATCAGTTTTTTAATTCAATAAGGTAATTAAATAATATATTAATTTGAAATTAAGTGGGCGTTAATTGCCTAGGATACCTTATTATATCATATATGATACTCTCACACTTTAACAATTGGACCAATTTCTGTTGTAAAGGGTACAGATGACGTAATTGTCTTTGTGTAAAATTTTAAGTAAAATTTAAAAATAATGACGCACTTTTGCGACAATGCCTCGATTTTCAAAAAACTTGACAATGGCTTTCGACAATTGTATAGGTACAGTGTGTGGTCAGTTGTGACAATTTCTAAGACTTTAACCACTAAGGATCCTAAGTGAAATAAATTCTAGACAGAATGTTAATAATTTCTAAATACTTATCATCATACTGCCCATTTTAAATGGGACTAGCGCATATTTCAGTTTTTAGTCCCAGTGGCGCCGAGAAAAGCGTCGGGACGCAAAATTTTCCCAATTAAAAAAATATATATGAGAGGGCAGTGTGATAACCATGTGATAACAACTATTGAAATTATTAAATCGTCCGGCTATTATTTATAATGTGTATCTCTTATGTCACAGAATAATTAAAACTTTGTTTAATTCTGTAATTTAAAATTTCAAATGTACCTAGATCTATTTAATATTTAACCACAAATAAAATCGTAATCTTAAATGCCCGAGCATTTTTTTAAATGCCACTATTTACCAATTGATTTATAACAGATACATCCGACTTAAAAATAGAATGAATTTCATATTTAATTTTATTATTAATGGGAGGAGCTTTATTTAATCATAAAATAACTTGAATTTTAAAATATACTCTGTCTAACAGTTTACGATACAATGTTCTTGTAGCTTTCTCTTTGGTAGCGACATCTATACTGACGTAACACAAACAGCAATAATGTCTTTTTTCATCGCGAGATGGCGCTTGATTACTTTTCACATGATTTCAACTTTATATTGGTCCTTACAATAGTAAATTACAATCAAATTAAAATATTCCACTAACATCATTTTAGATTTAAGATTAATTACCATTTTGAAACGTAAAGATTAGTTAGTACCTACATGTTTTGCTATTTTTGAACGTCAAGAGTTTGTTGTCATTTGTCTGTCATAAATGTCATTCAGACTTGGGAATCAATTCGGCTGGCTTGCCGACTAGCGTTAGTCCAGAAATAAATAAATAACCTAAATAGTAACATGATTGGCGTTAGACTAAATACATTTAATGATAGTTCGGGAGAACCAGAACAGGATGCTAATTCAGCTCTAACAGAACTAGACAAAGGTAAACATCCCTCTCTTATTTTCATAACACAAGTGAATTAAAAAAAATACTAGAACACTAACCATGAAAATGTTTTTCTACAGGTCTACGTTCAGGTAAAGTGGGTGAACAATGCGAAGCAATTGTCCGCTTCCCGCGTCTCTTCGAAAAATATCCATTTCCAATCCTTATCAACTCTTCATTCTTGAAACTTGCTGATGTGTTTCGTATGGGTAACAATTTCCTTCGTCTGTGGGTCTTACGTGTGTGTCAACAGAGCGAGAAACATCTAGACAAGATTCTTAACGTAGATGAGTTTCTCAGAAGAGTATTCAGTGTATTACATTCTAATGATCCAGTAGCCAGGGCTCTGGCACTAAGAACCCTTGGTGCCGTTGCTGGTATTATACCAGAGAGGCAAAATGTTCATCATGCTATTCGCAGGGGGTTGGACAGCCATGACAATGTGGAGGTAGATGCTGCAATTTATGCCACTACACGATTTGCAGCTCATTCCAAGTAAGTTCTGAAATTGTTGTCATTGGTATTCATATAAATCTTCGACTGTTATCAGACTGCATGGATGGTGTAGTGGTTTAAGTGGTCACCTCGCTGCTTCCTACTGCACTGAGTGTTGTGGGTTTGAACCCCACATGGGTCAACACTCCACAAGTTGTTGTTCTGAGTCTGGGTGTTTTTTATGTCCATTTCTTGAATGTATGTAAAGTTCCCTGCGACACAGGAGATATTCATAGGAGTTTTTTTTTTTTTAAAAGACAACTCCCGCATTAGGAAAATATCCTGTGTCGCGGGGAACTTTACAAACATACATGTAACGGACACAAAGAACACCCAGACTCAAAACAACAATTTATGGATCACACAAAGTGTCGTCCTATGTGGGGTTTGAACCCACAACACTCGGCGTAGTAGGAAATGGCGTGGCGACCACTTAAACCACTACGCCATCCGTGCAGTCAAGTCAAGTTAAAGTATAAAAATGAAGAAAATTAACTTGAAATCATATTCTACTCATTGTAATATCATAGATTATCTTAAAATTTGGTTGCCATAGGACCTTAAACCTCTAAATATCAGTCTGGCTTGTGTATGTTATCATCATCACATCACATCAACAGCCTATAACAGTCTACTGCTGGACATAGGCCTCTCCTTAGAAAGGTTGTTTTGGCCTACTGTACCACGCTGGCCAGACAGGTTGATATAGGGTTTGTTTCAAGTTTTCCTTCTCTTTGCAGTGCTGTTGTCCTGCATAGTTTGCTCCCTTAGGCGGCTCTTACGACACCAACAGGATGAATCCCATATTCACAATCTGTCACCACATGGACTACATTTAACCTATACTCAAGTAATATTCTTACATGCAAGCTTAAGAAAAAGGTGGTAATTAAAAGTTCAAAAGAACAACCCTTGAAATATATTAATTTATACAGTAGTATACATATACAAGGATTAGTATATACAAGGGCCGCTGCTCGGAACCTTGTATTCAAAACCAGTCATTGGCAACATGTAATATAAACGGTGAAAGAACAACCGAATACTTAGTTCCCATATTTATTAACAACCTACCCTCTGAATTGTGAGATATCCTATGAACTTTAAATCTAAAGTGTGACCATTTCTTTTGAACCAAAATTAATAATTTCTATTTTGTTTTATCTGTTTTGCTTTTTTATTTATGTAGTATTGTTATACTGTATTCACAACTTTTTTTTGTTATAACTTTTTGAATTTTTTGTACCAATCTAGACCAACCCTTAGCATTCATTATAAACCTTTATTTAAAATGGGTGGTTATTAATAAACTATTTGCAGCACAGCAAAACTTATACCTACTAACATTTGCCTACGGCTCCGCCCGCCCGGTAAAATATAGCCATGTCCTGCCCCAAGAATAAAACCATGTATCTCCATACCAAATTTCATCTAAATGGGTTCAGCATGTATTGATTCGCCATACAAACTCTTTGCCCGGGACTATCTGTATACCAAATTTCATCTTAATCCGTTCAACGGTTTAAGGGTGAAGAGGTTACAGACAGACAGACACACTTTCGCATTTATAATATTAGTATGGATTCACTTTGACAAGGAACCTATGTTATGGTAACATTGTAATTGGTAAGAAAACATTGTTTAAATTAAACAATTGTAAGCGATTTTCGGAATTAAAATTGTTGAATTTAGTTTATATTGTTTATTTCAGTACATTTGCTGTTGCTATGTGCAACAAGCTGTGGGATATGGTTGACTGCGAGAGTACTGCTGCAGAGCGAAGAGCTAAACTTGTACGAGCTTTGCGTACTGTTCACGGTGGAGGTATGAGTCATTTACTTATTGTACTGTTAATATTTTTTTAATCGTGGGCATTCGACCGAACCAGTTTGTTTATGTGCCAAAGTCCCATTTTTTATTCATTTATTTTGAGCAGTCAGCTTCAGCCCTTAAGCTTATTTAAATTTAATTCTATAAGTAGTAATAACAAGCATATTTAATTGGTTAACCCCTTCTAACTAAGTAATCTTAATATAATAAATATAACTTATGGATCGGAGTGATACCATGGCCTCACAGAAAACCTGTGTTAAGCAATTATTTTGTTGCCTTTCACTGAGTGAGTGAGGTTACCGGAGCCCAAATCCCCCCTCACGCTAACTCGAGCGGGAGGGACTCCAAGGGCGGCAACGCACTTGTGACTTTTAAGTTGCAGGTGTCCATGGGCGGCGGTAGTTGCTTACCACCAGGTGACCCCTCTGTTCGTTTGCCCCTTTATACCATAAAAAAATAAAATATTACTACTATTTTGCTAATTGCTGACATACAAAAGTTTCATCTCCTAATTCACTCTTTAAGTTTTATTGTCGTGACAAAAATTGTTCTCCAAATTAACGTCTATCTATATCAAAATTGCCTAACTTTGGTACCTTATTGGACTAGAGTAGCAGAGGATAGAGCTCAGTGGAGAGAGCTAGAGGAGGCCTATGCCAAGAGGCGCACCGAATTGCGAGACATAATATAACAAATAGAACTCGGAAATATGTATTGTCAAATCTGTAGCGAATTCGGAAGAAAAGGGCTTTATTATATATCAAAATTCATTGCTATTAGTTTAATGGTTAAGATGTGAAAACGTAACAGACTTATAACAAAAATTAAGATATGTCTACGCAATTACATTGAAGTTTATTTACCAATATAATACTCGTAATAATAATAATATTCTACCACATCCACACAACGCCATCTAGTCTTGCCTTTTGACTGCACGGATGGCGTAGTGGTTTAAGTGGTCGCCACGCCGCTTCCTACTACGAGTGTTGTGGGTTCAAACCCCACATGGGACGACACTTTGTGTGATCCACAAATTGTTGTTCTGAGTCTGGGTGTTCTTTGTGTACGTTTCATGTATGTTTGTAAAGTCCCCCGCGACACAGGAATATATATTACTAATGCGGGCGTTGTCTTTTAAAAAAAAAAGAAAGTCCCAAACTAAGCAGAGCTACTAGACAACTGATATGAATACATATATACTTTTGTTTTTTTTTTGTAAACACATACATAGAAACACCCAGACCAAATCAAACATTAAATGTTCATGCACACAAATGTTTGAATTGAGCGGGAATCGAACCCGCGACCTTTGAATAGCAGTCCGTTACACAAACCACTACGCCATCCAGTCGCCACAAAATATATTTCCAAAATGAGTTTTTGGGTTGGAATAAATTAGAAACTTTGACTATATTAGTCAAGACGGGAAGGGAAAATAAGTAACTACATTTTTTTTTCAATACCAAACCACTATACTTTATCCATCAGCTGTTCGAGCCCAGGGTGTACTTAAGCTACTCCGTTCATTGCTGGAACGCTTCCCATCAACCAACACAGTGCGTGCCGCAATCATCGCACTCACTCATATCGCGGCTGACACTGTCGTGCACGTGCCTGATCAGGTAATTCCTTACCTCACAAGTTTAAATCCGCAATAAATGTTTTTTTTTTCTAAACTTATTATTCATAAGATTTAAGATACTTAAGAAAAAATAAAAAGTCAAACATCAAAAATTGTAAGAGATAAAAACAGACCTTTTAGTACTTGTCCGTGTATGTCCGTGTAGTGACGGATTAAGAATACGGAATGTCACTACCCCAATTCATCCCGTGGGTGTCGTAAGAGCCGACTAAGGGAAAAAACTGCGCAGGATAACAACACTGCAGAGAGAAGGAAAACTTGACACAAACCCTATACCAACCCGTCCGGCCAGCGTGGTATAATAGGCCAAAACCTCTTTTTTAAGGAGAGGCCTATGTCCAGCAGTGGTCTATTAAAGGCTGTTGGTGTGATGATGATGTGTGATGTTTTAGTACAACACTAAAAAGTGTTCAGTCAGTGTCACTAAAAAGTGAAAAACATCGAATGAATTATTTAAATCCTTCAAAGTAAAATCAGTTAACAACACAATACAATAACATTTAAACTATCGCATTCCGTAATATATAACTATGTTTATGGGAATTAACGCACTCACTTTAGGTTATGTTAATGTCTGATATTTCGACCAGGTTGCACTGACCGTGGTCACAGGCTGACTCAGTTCGTTAATTGCCATAAACATAATTACCTCCTCAATATAGCACGACGAATATACCCAATAATATATAAAAAAAAACAAAAAAGAGTGCTTATCATCCTTGATTTCCTTCGTTGACATCCAACAAGCCTTTTACACAGACATTAGACTCATTAATCAAATTCTCACAGAGAAAGTAGTCTTTAATTTGTGAAATTTTTATTTCCAGCTTTCTACTATTACGATTTTACTTAGCAAAATTGTAATTCTACGTAAATGAAAGATTTAATAGTAACTTACAGAAGAGTCCCTCAAGGACCTATTATGAGGCCCAATTAGTATGCAATAAATATAGTAGACTTATCTTAAAACAGAATGCAACATGATGATTGTTTTTCATAGGTTGAGCTACTGCTAAGCATTGCGATGAACGATGCTCGCTCGCCCGTACGTCGTGCAGCTCTTGTGGGGCTGCGCAAGCTGGCTGAACACGCTGCGTTGTGGCCGGCTGATTGCATAGAGAATCTCGTCAGAGCCGCCACGGATAGTCAAGAGATGGCACACACTATGTTGTGTCTCCAAGTTATGCAAGTAGGATTCAGAATTTAATTACATATAAAAATTTTATATTTTTTGTATATTTGTTAAACTTATTGTAAACTAGCTTTTATCGTTCTTTTAAACTTTTTTTTTCAATAAAAATATTTTTAGTTTTTATTAAATATTTAATGATTGTAAAATGATGTTTGCCTGTTTATTATGGAATTAAGTTGTTTGTACATGAATTCGGTAATCTTTATAAATAGTATTTTTGTAATAAAGTATTAAACATCCAACGTTGACTGTGATGTGATAATATCGTATTGTAATTGAATAGGTAATCTGCTAGTCTTAGTAATATGTTACTATATTACTACAAAAATACCTTTTATGACAGTTGTGAGATCGGGAGTTGATCGGAACTGAATTGAGACCGAACTGTTATAACGAGAATTGGCCTCCTGATGCTCAAACATATATGTTAAAATGTTTCGGTATATGTACAATCGACAGAAGCTAGTGGCGTGCCCGGCCGTGTGCGCTGCGGCCGCGTCCCCCACGGGGAGCTGCGCGGCGCTGCGGCGCTACTGCTGCGACATCGCGCTCAGCCCCGACCTCAGCCGCGCCGCTACCGCCGCGGATGTCCTCACCATGCTCCTCGTGCACTGGTAACAGACATACATACTCGCCACACACACACACACTGGCCAATAGACATGGAAATTATTGCTGCTTTTAAGTCACAATCATATGATGAAATGAAATGAAATTATTGATTTTAGTCCTTGTGATTACACTGTGATTGTGATTACAGTCGTCACAAAATAAGAAGCCCGTCTTGACGTTTCTCATTTGACATTCCGCGATAACTTTGTATGAACGTCTATATAAGAAATTGAAAAACAAATTCATAATCCTATTTAATTACTATGTTACCCATACACTATCACAACGCGTATGATAAATAAGCATCAAGTTTAACTTTATAATGAAAAAATGCACTCAAAAACACGAATTAATCGTTGATTAATATTCCGACAGGACTTTACTACAATGTCATGTCTTTGGGTTGGTTGCCGTAGTGTTGTAACCGTTAAAAAGCCGTTTTATGGCCGAATAAAATAGAGTTTCTGAAAATCGTTTACAAAAATTACATTAAAAAAGAGATAAATGTGTAATTAGTGTATTATTTAATATTTAAACATATAAAAACAAAATCTGATCACATATAGTTTTAGCTTTATTTTGATATTTAATATGAATATTTTGATATTATACTAAATGATTTGGTTAAAAAACCCGGAGTGGACTCCGGGTTTTTTTAACCAAATCATTTCATCATGATATTGAAAAAAATAATTCATCCTCATTTTTCTGTCTCAAACGTCATGTCTCATTTTGCAACAGTCACATTTGACAACAGTCCTTAAAAGTCAGTCTATAAAAGAATTATCGAAGCCGTACATAATTTGTTTCCTTTCTTTATGTACCTATGGAATGGTTTGTCTATGACCAAGCGGCATTAAATTAAATCATACACGCCATTAAATCTGCCTTTTTGCTTGCTTGAGTAGGTGCCTTATCTATTTGAACTGAATGGTAAGGTGCATTTATCCATAATTATTGTGCACTGTTCGGGGAGGTTTATTAACAACTTAGTAAACCACTCTAAGAATTTATTTGCATCCATTTCTTCGTGGTATTCTTTTGTACTTCTGGACTCGAATGCTAATAGAGCATCATGGACAAAACCTCCCCCGGCTGATCCAGCATGGCAGATTATTAGGCGTCCACCCTTACCCGTTGGCACTTTTGAACAAGATGCCTTGGTATCACCCGTCCATGACTGTGGCACGGTATGATTTGAGTTCAGCCAAGTTTCATCGATAAATATGACATTATCCCAAATTGTAATTTTGTTCATTTGCCTCAAGAATGATACTCTGTGCAAAATTATATCATATCGTTCCATCATAATTTTCCTTTTGTCGGTTATCTTGTATTTGAAACCAATTTGCTTCATAATTGTTATTAAAGATGTTGCACTGCCACTAAACAGGCCAGCCTCTCTTAGTGATACCACCAACTTACTTACAGTTGGGTACTCACTTCTCGTGTAATAAGCATATACGTGGTTTCGAATAGCATCTGCGTCAAATGTGTCAATACCTGTTACAGGCTTGCTTTTCTTCCTCTTCTTAGGCGTATGTAACACATTTTCTTCAGTACCGGAAGACCCAAACTTTTCCTTCAAAATGGTTCGAATAGTTTTTTTTCCGATTCCAAGTGCTTCTGCTACGCGATCTTGCACTTGAGTTACGGGTAATAATGGTCCACCATTAACTGATTCGCGTTCGAAGTATTCGGTTAACTTCACAACCAATTCGCGTGATTGGCTGTTGATTGTACGTCCTCTTTTCGACATGTTGAAAACGACTTTGTACAATATATCAACAAACACCAAAATCAAGTCAATGTCCGGAATAGAAGAGCCAAGGTCAACGTGATATTAAACAAAAACAGTCCAAAAGCAAAGCCGAGTCTAGAAAAAATATCAAACATAAACGAGCGCACAGTCAACTTCACAAGATGTCGATCAAAAGACTGCGCAGTACGCGGTACGCGCATGGATCACGTGCCGCTTTATCATAGACAAACCATTCTATAGTACATAGAGAAAGGAAACAAATTATGTACGGCTTTGATAATTCTTTTATAGACTGACTTAAGGACTGTTGTCAAATGTGACTGTTGCAAAATGAGACATGACGTTTGAGACAGAAAAATGAGGATGAATTATTTTTTTCAATATCATGATGAAATGATTTGGTTAAAAAACCCGGAGTCCACTCCGGGTTTTTTAACCAAATCATTTAGTATAATATCAAAATATTCATATTAAATATCAAAATAAAGCTAAAACTATATGTGATCAGATTTTGTTTTTATATGTTTAAATATTAAATAATACACTAATTACACATTTATCTCTTTTTTAATGTAATTTTTGTAAACGATTTTCAGAAACTCTATTTTATTCGGCCATAAAACGGCTTTTTAACGGTTACAACACTACGGCAACCAACCCAAAGACATGACATTGTAGTAAAGTCCTGTCGGAATATTAATCAACGATTAATTCGTGTTTTTGAGTGCATTTTTTCAATATAAAGTTAAACTTGATGCTGATTTATCATACGCGTTGTGATAGTGTATGGGTAACATAGTAATTAAATAGGATTATGAATTTGTTTTTCAATTTCTTACATAGACGTTCATACAAAGTTATCGCGGCATGTCAAATGAGAAACGTCAAAACGGGCTTCTTATTTTGTGACGACTTTAGGTCAAAGATAAATGCCATCAAAATAAATCAAAATTCTTTTTATCAAGGATTAAGACCTATTTTTTTTAGATTTTGACTTTGAATAAGTGTGATAATATGATTTATAAATCATACAATTTGTCACAGATGAATGTGATTTAATTCCATCCCTACTGGCCAACTAGGATATTCTTGCCCCTAAATAAGTGTGTATGTCAGCTCCGACGATTGGGTTGCACATAAGTATACAAGTTATACACACACATGTGAAAGGTGCGCACGATAGGTTGACAAAAAACGTAACGAGGTCATTCGATCACTAAAGAACAATGGCAGAAACATATTTACCTAAAACTGAAGCGTTTAAAAAATTGACTCACAGTAAACTTACTAAATATTTTTTCTATGATTTATCATTATACCGCCATGTGTTGTATAAGTCTAATAAGAGATTGGATATTTTTAAAGATTTTATTTGACCTAAGTACGTAATGTCAGAATCGCCATCACGAACTGACTAGGGATGCGTGATGATATTATTATATTATGGAACGTTTTATCGATAATCGATTGTTATAACTTTTGCTTAAATACCTATCGAAGGTTCACCTATTATAATTATGTATTTGCTTCTGCCCACGGGTTTACTCATACGCTACCGTAACTAGTACTTTAGTGACTAAATCAACCTAATTAGAAATAATTTAGAATATTTTTGACTCTTTTTAAAAGATTTGTGCTACACCAAAATAAATAGAATATAGTTACGTTATTTTCCTACAGAAAAATACTAAAACAATATACTGCTTAGTGTGATGAGAAAAAGACATTGTAGGTTGATAACGGCATATAAATAGACATGCATCGATATTTTTAAAATGTCGATACGTCGTCGTCGCACTTACTATAACCCGGCAATCTCGTGCGCGACCGTCCCGCGGGGTGACACACAGTGGCGGGGGCGAGGCAGCGCGTCATTCTAGCACACGGCTACACACGATTCCCTTCCCCGCTACACCACCCGCTACCCGCTGACATCGTGAGTACCTCGTCCCCGCCACCGTCTGTCACCCCGCGGGACGGTCGCGCACGACGTTGACGGACTATAGTCTTGTCGTTTGACACTTACACGCATGACTTACATACCATTTCTCACAAGGCAATTGTAGTTTATTTGGTTGTTTTACTTTTGTTTAGTATTAAACTCTCATATATGTTTATTTTAATTTTATATAGTGTTACTCCATTATGCATGATGTAATGCCTTAAAATGTTGTGCATTAATCTCAATATAATGGATGCATGCTTTAGATTTTAGTAAATAATGTCACAACTACTGACTGTTGAATAACTAAATAATTAAATAAATGCTCCCGCCTTGTTTAAATGTGTATTGAAGTACATTAATTCAAATTATTATTAATAATTTATGTATTTATAGCTAGTATTACACCTGCTATGTAAGCGAAGATTTTTTTCTATTGTTTACCAATACATGCCAAGCAAATACCCTTCCTTCCTTCACCCATTTAGAGAGTCGGCTAACACTTTCTACAGCAAAATAGGGTTGCTTATAAGTAATAATAATGATGAATAATATTTTCGAATCTAGTTCATCATCTAGTTTCAAACAAAACATTTACAATATTTTAGTACTTAACCTCGAAACATTCAAAATCCAATATCTTTTTTCCTAGACTCCTTTCGCTAGTAATTTTTTTATGAGAATGTTCAAGAATAAATTCTCAAGGGTTGTAGGCATTTTTTATATTTAAACGCTGTCATTTCACTTCAAATAAAATTATGTATGGGGACCTTTTTGTTTTTTTTTTTTTTTTTTTTTCCGTGCGGAAATCCCCTCGGATACCACCTGTCGGTGGCATGTCGGACTCGAACCGACTAAAACCGCACGCCTTCGCCGGGTACTAATAGCCGGGGAACCAGGTATACCCTAGAAAGGAAGGCCCTGGTGCCCCGACATACCTCGGGTCATCTACAGACGAGTAGACGACCCCCGCCCCGTGTGGGAACCCCATGTTCCCTGTGCTCCCTGAAAGCGAGCGCGCTTCGCAACGCGCTCGCCGCCACCCCGGCCTGCTTCTGCTAGGGTGACAGATGGCCTCACCTGTCACCCCCAGGCCTGCGCTTATGGAGGACGGAGGTCGTTCTGCGACCTCCGGCGCCTGAGTCGCCTGCGCTGCCTGGCCCGTGCCCGGGCCTGGCGGGCCGGGAGAGTTCTAAACCTCTCCCGGTCCCGCTCCGCCGTCTCCTTCGCGAGCATAACTTGCTCGCAGAAGGAGACGGCAGAGTTCCACGCACTCTCGCTCCGCACGATAGCCGCAATCAGGCTATCGAGCGAGAGAACTCCCACTCCGATGGCCGCCACGAGGTCTCGCCTCTGCTCAACCAACGCCGGGCACTCTGCCAGCGTGTGGAGAGCCGTGTCCACGGTCTGGCCATCGCAGTGGTGGCACTCAGGCGTTGGCTCCTTGCGGATCAGACACAGGTGATCTCCGAAACATCCCTTCCCAGTGATCACCTGCGTCAATCGGTATGAGAGGGTCCCGTGACGCCTCTCGAGCCAATCCTCCATAACGGGTCTTACCGCCGCAATGACGGCGTGCCCGTATGTATGGGGACCTGCCATTGTCCTTTTACTCTTCATATTTTTTCATACCAGGCACCTTATATGAAAATCGATTCCTAAGGAATAAACTCCAAAAACCAAATCAAATTATTCATTGTTAAATGTAGTCTCTGCGTTGTCAGGGGTTCGGAAAAGAAAATAGTACCTCTCTTAATAAATACCTAATTCGTTTTTTCTTCTTCTTATTTCGTTCTTCTTTATCATTCGTCAGTTCACTACTTCCGCCCTTTCTAGCAGTTTTATGCAGTCCTTCCATTTTTTCATTGTTTGTCTTTCATCTTCCATCAATAAAACTTTTTGCCCATTTAGCCGCATTTCTAAATTCACTATTAACGAGTTAAACTGCAGTCAAACAGCTAGTGTAGTATTGTGTTTATTTTCGATTTCATCATCATCAGCCTATCGCAGCCTACTGTTGGACATAGGCCTTGCCCATAGTACCCCACTTGGGTCGATTTACAGCTTGCCATCTGTCAAATATTAATATAACATTTAATTTTTTGACGTGACAACGTCTTATAATTCGATGGAGCCGACTGCACGCACGAAAAAACATGACTCATGCGGCGTTACCTCGCTCTGAGGCGTTCCATTTAAGGCTTGAAGTGCAAGCGAGAGCGCGGAACGAGCAACAAAGAGGCACAATCGGCCTCCGCGTTCGGCAGCGTTCGACATCTGTCTCTCTCCTACTTGAGTGAGCGATGCGTCCGCGTGGACAGCTGCTATACAATAATACATTTACATGTTTTCGTCAAGTATGAAGTGCAGTGAAAAGTGCATGTGGTGTCTTATGACGTTGTCACGTTCAACTATCGTCAGTAAACCGACTTTACAGACTGCCGATTTTTTTTTTCTAGTTATGAAGAATGTCTACCTGTAGATGGTTCTGACTTGATGCTAGCGTTGGAAACTTTGGTCATCGCTACTGGTGCAGATGACAACCCCAATAATATTAAACCTCTAAGGGTAGCTTTACGCTGTTTGGTGAGTCGATAAAAATGTTATCTTTATCATATTATAAAAGTCTTCTGCATTTTATACTGTTTATTTTAATTGGTGATACGTATTAAATAAGTCAGACATCAAGTTTTATATTAAATTATAACCTCACACACGGCTGTCTGATCCCAAACTAGCCAGAGCCTGTACTATGGTAACCAGACTGCTGATAAACATACTTATATATTTCTAAATAATTACACTCAGACACAGAACAAATGTTCGTGCTCATTACACAAATATTTGTTCTGGGTGGGAATCAAAGCCATGACCTCCAGTATAACAGTCAGGGTCAATAACCAGACTAACGGGGCCCATATTACCATCGTATTGTAATTAAAATATTTCTTCTTGAGATGTCATTACTAATCAACAGCGGTATTATCACTTTAAGATGATAAATAAATGATAAAATCTGCAATCTGCATCTCTTAAAATTAAAACTTATAAATATATTGAGAGTACGTGGTTTTTAATTCCTTTGTGGGAGACTGGTATCCATACTAGGTGTCCCTGTCACACAGATTACCAGGCCCCCCCAGAATAAAATTTGCTTACATAGTAACAAGCTACTCTAGAATATTAAATATAGGAAGGAATTACAGATATTTATAGCCTTGTCTTTGCCTGTTGAGTCTTAAATAGTTTTTGTATAATATTATTTTCTATTATTTCCTTTCGTACGTGTACACTTTGTAGTATTTTTTATATTTTCTAGTGATCTGTTATGTTTATCTTACATTTCTACCTTAAAAATTCCATGTCAAGCGATCGCCTGAAACACAGGTTTACCCTAGTTCAGGCAGGCAGCGACTAAAGTTTTTAACACAATCGCAATATCTTTATGTGTAGAAAATCATAAATAACACTACTATAGATTTACGTTAGTGTAACTTAGTCTAATTATTGTCTAAGATCTATGTTAAACTGAAATGTCCTACACTGTAATATTTATATTGGTCAAATAAAAAAATATTATTATATTATTATTATTATTGTGTGTGTGTTTGTAAACGCATGCGTGTGTATGTACGTGTGTGCGTATGTGCTTGCGTATGTGTGTGCGTATGTGTTTGCGTATGTGTGTGCGTATGTGTTTGCGTATGTGTTTGCGTATGTGTGTGCGTATGTGTTTGCGTGTATGTTCAGGTCATATTTATTTCGCTATTTCACTACCACCAGCAACATTTATTGCATGGTGGTTACCTAGACAATTATTTCTTGCATATTACCTTTTATTAAAGCCGCTTAAGCCAACCTCCTCCTAAATCAATTTGAAAGGGTGGTTAATGTGACGGTATATAACGTGATACTGAAATACTAAATAACCGGTGTAAAATAACAACTAATAATAATAATTTGACGACCGGATGACGTAGTGGTTTGTATAACAGACTGCTATTCTAATGGTCGCGGGTTCGATTCCCGCCCAAGTCAAACATTTATGTGCATGAACATTTAATGTTTGATTTGGTCTGGGTGTTTCTATGTATAATATGTATGTATTTATAAAAAACAAAGTATATATGTATTTATCAGTTGTCTAGTACACCCATAGTACAAGCTCTGCTTAGTTTGGGATTAGATGCGTTGTGTGAATGTGGTAGAATATTATTATTATTAATATTTGGACGTTAATTTATATGTAAAAATTGTTTTTTATATTCAAGTGTAAATCTTAGATAGAAAGGAATAAACAAAGTTCAATATATAAGGAATGTGACCGTAGGTGCAACTGAGCAAGGCGTCCCCCGCCACGTACGCGACGCGCACGGCCGGGGCGGTGAGCGCGCAGCTGCAGCTGTGCCGCCACGCCTCGGCGCGCCGCCCCGCCGCGCTGCTGGAGGCGCTGGCGGCGCTGGGCGCGCACCTGGCGCCCGCCATGCCCGCGCTGCACCACGCGCTCGGCCTCTACGCGCACAGGTGAGTCGCTCCCCTCCTCTCTGAGCAAGGGGCCCCCGCCACGTACGCGACGCGCACGGCCGGGGCGGTGAGCGCGCAGCTGCAGCTGTGCCGCCACGCCTCGGCGCGCCGCCCCGCCGCGCTGCTGGAGGCGCTGGCGGCGCTGGGCGCGCACCTGGCGCCCGCCATGCCCGCGCTGCACCACGCGCTCGGCCTCTACGCGCACAGGTGAGTCGCTCCCCTCCTCTCTGAGCAAGGGGCCCCCGCCACGTACGCGACGCGCACGGCCGGGGCGGTGAGCGCGCAGCTGCAGCTGTGCCGCCACGCCTCGGCGCGCCGCCCCGCCGCGCTGCTGGAGGCGCTGGCGGCGCTGGGCGCGCACCTGGCGCCCGCCATGCCCGCGCTGCACCACGCGCTCGGCCTCTACGCGCACAGGTGAGTCGCTCCCCTCCTCTCTGAGCAAGGGGCCCCCGCCACGTACGCGACGCGCACGGCCGGGGCGGTGAGCGCGCAGCTGCAGCTGTGCCGCCACGCCTCGGCGCGCCGCCCCGCCGCGCTGCTGGAGGCGCTGGCGGCGCTGGGCGCGCACCTCTCGCCCGCCATGCCCGCGCTGCACCACGCGCTCGGCCTCTACGCGCACAGGTGAGTCGCTCCCCTCCTCTCTGAGCAAGGGGCCCCCGCCACGTACGCGACGCGCACGGCCGGGGCGGTGAGCGCGCAGCTGCAGCTGTGCCGCCACGCCTCGGCGCGCCGCCCCGCCGCGCTGCTGGAGGCGCTGGCGGCGCTGGGCGCGCACCTGGCGCCCGCCATGCCCGCGCTGCACCACGCGCTCGGCCTCTACGCGCACAGGTGAGTCGCTCCCCTCCTCTCTGAGCAAGGGGCCCCCGCCACGTACGCGACGCGCACGGCCGGGGCGGTGAGCGCGCAGCTGCAGCTGTGCCGCCACGCCTCGGCGCGCCGCCCCGCCGCGCTGCTGGAGGCGCTGGCGGCGCTGGGCGCGCACCTGGCGCCCGCCATGCCCGCGCTGCACCACGCGCTCGGCCTCTACGCGCACAGGTGAGTCGCTCCCCTCCTCTCTGAGCAAGGGGCCCCCGCCACGTACGCGACGCGCACGGCCGGGGCGGTGAGCGCGCAGCTGCAGCTGTGCCGCCACGCCTCGGCGCGCCGCCCCGCCGCGCTGCTGGAGGCGCTGGCGGCGCTGGGCGCGCACCTGGCGCCCGCCATGCCCGCGCTGCACCACGCGCTCGGCCTCTACGCGCACAGGTGAGTCGCTCCCCTCCTCTCTGAGCAAGGGGCCCCCGCCACGTACGCGACGCGCACGGCCGGGGCGGTGAGCGCGCAGCTGCAGCTGTGCCGCCACGCCTCGGCGCGCCGCCCCGCCGCGCTGCTGGAGGCGCTGGCGGCGCTGGGCGCGCACCTGGCGCCCGCCATGCCCGCGCTGCACCACGCGCTCGGCCTCTACGCGCACAGGTGAGTCGCTCCCCTCCTCTCTGAGCAAGGGGCCCCCGCCACGTACGCGACGCGCACGGCCGGGGCGGTGAGCGCGCAGCTGCAGCTGTGCCGCCACGCCTCGGCGCGCCGCCCCGCCGCGCTGCTGGAGGCGCTGGCGGCGCTGGGCGCGCACCTGGCGCCCGCCATGCCCGCGCTGCACCACGCGCTCGGCCTCTACGCGCACAGGTGAGTCGCTCCCCTCCTCTCTGAGCAAGGGGCCCCCGCCACGTACGCGACGCGCACGGCCGGGGCGGTGAGCGCGCAGCTGCAGCTGTGCCGCCACGCCTCGGCGCGCCGCCCCGCCGCGCTGCTGGAGGCGCTGGCGGCGCTGGGCGCGCACCTGGCGCCCGCCATGCCCGCGCTGCACCACGCGCTCGGCCTCTACGCGCACAGGTGAGTCGCTCCCCTCCTCTCTGAGCAAGGGGCCCCCGCCACGTACGCGACGCGCACGGCCGGGGCGGTGAGCGCGCAGCTGCAGCTGTGCCGCCACGCCTCGGCGCGCCGCCCCGCCGCGCTGCTGGAGGCGCTGGCGGCGCTGGGCGCGCACCTGGCGCCCGCCATGCCCACCTGGCGCCCGCCATGCCCGCGCTGCACCACGCGCTCGGCCTCTACGCGCACAGGTGAGTCGCTCCCCTCCTCTCTGAGCAAGGGGCCCCCGCCACGTACGCGACGCGCACGGCCGGGGCGCTGAGCGCGCAGCTGCAGCTGTGCCGCCACGCCTCGGCGCGCCGCCCCGCCGCGCTGCTGGAGGCGCTGGCGGCGCTGGGCGCGCACCTGGCGCCCGCCATGCCCGCGCTGCACCACGCGCTCGGCCTCTACGCGCACAGGTGAGTCGCTCCCCTCCTCTCTGAGCAAGGGGCCCCCGCCACGTACGCGACGCGCACGGCTGGGGCGCTGAGCGCGCAGCTGCAGCTGTGCCGCCACGCCTCGGCGCGCCGCCCCGCCGCGCTGCTGGAGGCGCTGGCGGCGCTGGGCGCGCACCTGGCGCCCGTCATGCCCGCGCTGCACCACGCGCTCGGCCTCTACGCGCACAGGTGAGTCGCTCCCCTCCTCTCTGAGCAAGGGGCCCCCGCCACGTACGCGACGCGCACGGCCGGGGCGGTGAGCGCGCAGCTGCAGCTGTGCCGCCACGCCTCGGCGCGCCGCGCTGCTGGAGGCGCTGGCGGCGCTGGGCGCGCACCTGGCGCCCGCCTTGCCCGCGCTGCACCACGCGCTCGGCCTCTACGCGCACAGGTGAGTCGCTCCCCTCCTCTCTGAGCAAGGGGCCCCCGCCACGTACGCGACGCGCACGGCCGGGGCGCTGAGCGCGCAGCTGCAGCTGTGCCGCCACGCCTCGGCGCGCCGCCCCGCCGCGCTGCTGGAGGCGCTGGCGGCGCTGGGCGCGCACCTGGCGCCCGCCATGCCCGCGCTGCACCACGCGCTCGGCCTCTACGCGCACAGGTGAGTCGCTCCCCTCCTCTCTCCCAGACCTGCTACCGCACTCGCCCCTCCCCTGATTAGTATCGGTAAACGGCCAGGTAAATTAAGCATCGCGTTGAAAATAATAAGCAAAAACATCCTGAGAGTGCCTAAGGAAACACCAGTTCGGTTGATAAAACTGTAAGTACAAAACTAATTAAAACATAAGAAGACAATATTCCGAACATCTGAGACACAACGCCATCTAGTTTCAAGGTAAACAGTGCTTGTACAGTGAAAGCAGAGGAAAGAGCGTCCAACTGTTGGCCTCTAAATATTTTGCCGTAGTTTAGTATCAAAAGTACTGTCAGTGGATACGCACATGTCGCTTTCATATTTTGTGTTATTTATTGTGACGATTTACGTGATATATATATATATATTATAATATTAAAAAATTAAAAAAAAGGTGTTATAATGCTAATGTAATGCTAATGCGTGTTTATGTTCATATAAATGAATGAACTAACTGGTGCGGCACCACAAATTCTAACAAAACTAATAATCTCGGGCGCCAGGTGCCTTAACCTTAAATGAACACAGACAGCTAATAACAAATACAATGAATACCTCGAACAGCTCGGTCAGCGCTTAGACCTTTAATTAGGGTGGGGGGCAGCTATTAAATAAAGAGATGTTATAAGCTTAAGTGACAGTTTATTATCCCGTAGTGTCTATAGAGTACATGGTATACACTGTGGCGGTATAGATATCACAAAAAATGAAATAACAGATAACACGGTTCAATATACGTCGGTTAAAATAAAAAAATAAAAAATTAGTACGAAAATACAGAAATGCAAATTTAGAACAAACTAAATACAATAAAATAATTTCCGAATTAGAACACCATTGATAACATGAGTCGGTGAACTGTACCTACACGGCAGCGTCGCAATGTCGGCGACATCAAAACGACGCCGCCGCCGCCGCGAGCCGGCGAACTTTACATTCTTATTACCTACCTACCAATCACTTCACTTGCTTTTAAAAATCTATTTATAAAGAATGCGATTTTATTCACGTGTTTATTTCGTGAATGCTCGACTAGCTTCCGACCTAGCAGTACGCGTCACTCCTTGAAAAAGTAGTTACCTTGGTTGTCTCGTAATCTTTGTACCGCCCTTACAAAAATTCGGCAGTCTGTAGGACATACACGATTGACTCCATACGTGTCCGTAAAGCAAAAGATGCGTTTTGATAGAGTTTTCCATAAATTAACATCATAGCAGGATATTCCGCGGCTGTGAAGGTCACTCACGGCATTATGGATGTTGATATCGATAACCCAATAAAATTAAAAGACTGATAATGCACTCAGTTTCACACTACACTACACACAGAACCTAATAGTGACTTTTCAAAATAAAATTAGCAGGACTCCTTACATTACGAAGTCTTGCGCACACGATAACATTAATTGTTCACACCATTGCCGTGTATTATGACGAAAGCAATAAGACTAAACAATTATTACCACAAGAAAACTTCTCTAAACAAATATGTATCTCATAAACAACAACAATATTATTATTACGGTTATTTGTCGTGAGCGCATCTACAAGGATACGGAATAGCATAAGCTCGCCGGTGGCCAAGGGCCGACTGACTGTCCTTACTGGATGAACTAATTAAAAACGCGTGTTGCATCGTGATGACGTAATAATCAACATATTTCGTTCGATTCGGGTGTAGTAAAAGCGGCAACGTGTGATTACCGCGCCGCGTATACCTACAGCTGATCGCTGCCTGAGGTCAATGTATTATGACTGCATTTACACATGATGTTGCAATTTACGAAACACAAAAATGAGTCCTGTGGCTAAACTACTGGATATATTTTGTTCATATTTTGCAAATCGCCTAGAAATTAAGGGCAGAATATGTGGCTTAAGTATTTGGGAAAGGAAATGAAACTCTCTGTATATAGGTCTAATTACAAATGTAATTCTTATACGCAAATTAGTTCTGTCATTAATGCAATCTGTTTACCTTGCTAATACAAATTAAAAGTAAAATATCTTTAAAAAGTCACATAAAGACTGTTCAATAAATAAACTAAAGATAGTTATCATAACGACCTTCCGTTATGACAACGCCAACAAAATTAATACAACAAAAGACATACCAATGACTCCGGCACTGTCTGTTTGAAACTATGGTATAATTAACTCTTATAAAGCTCACGGCTGATCTCTACGTGGTCCGTCGAGGCGGGGTAAGTAATCCAAGCTTCCTGGTTCCGGTCCCAACCGAATCCTGATAATGGGCTACAGTCAGAAGACTTTTCCTGCCATTAGAGGTACTTAGGAAAGGAAATCCACTCTCCGAGGCAAACTAATTCCTTGGATCAGGCCGGTAGTGAGGTGACCCTTTCCTTCCGGCTGACGCAGGTGCTTTCCGGGCACGGTTGCTTCGGAAAGTACCTGCACACGGTCGCTAGGAGGGAACTGAGTCCCGCCTGCCACCACTGCGACTGCAGTGAGGACTCGGCCCAGCACACGCTGGCGGTCTGCCCCGCATGGGCGGCGCAGCGCCGGGCCCTCACTGCAGTCATCGGAGTGGATCTCTCGCTACCGGCCGTAGTACGCTCCATGGCCGGTAGCGACAGTTGTTTTACCGCGGTCGCAACCTTCTGCGAGGTAGTAATCTCGCGGAAGGAGGCGGCGGAGAGGGCCCGGGAGGACGACCTCCACTCGGACCCGATCCGCCGCCGGCGAACCGGGCGGCGGAGGCCCGCCTACCACAGCCTCATGCCGCCCTGAGTGTGGCCGCGGGTGGACGGGGTGGATTTCCCCTCCACCCGCATTAGTTTGGCCAGCCGCGAGGGGGCGGCGTCCGCGTGTGCCGGACGTCGCCTAAAGAGAGGAACAAAAACATTGAGACGGAGCCCGCACCAGGAGCGGGCTGGCGCTAGGAGAGGTCCGGATGTCTTAACAACAGCTGTTCCCGGATCCCTCCTGTTACAGGCGCAGAGTGGCACACCGTGTGGTTTTAGTCGGTCCGAGTCCGACACACCACCCCGCCGCAAACCCGGAGGGGTGACGGTCCGAGGGGATTTCCACACGTTAAAAAAAAAAAAAAAAAAAAAAAAGGCCGGTAGTGAGGTAAAAACTAATTGTAACGTAAGGACATTACAGTCTAATAAGAAAAAAAACCGAAATAAAAAACTCTGATAAAGAACCCTGTTTGACACAGGGTTCCAAAACGTCTCACAAATAAATCAGAGGCATTACTAATAATTCCAAAAAAGGTAAAATAACATTTCTAATAAACAACTCGTTTCCCCAACAAGAGTGGCCAACAATAAAAGGTGAATTAATCCTCTGATTACAACAAATGGGAACGGATTACCATTTCCATCTTTCAAAAATTACAAACTGACTCTGACTCTCAAGGTGACTTCGACCTCGCCAAATGCTAAAGTGACAAAATAGTGTGGCCAGAGCAATAGTTCAGCTTCGCCCAGGAATGCGACAAAAATGTTGCCAGAACAAGAAGTAAAAACTACAATGGATTGAATACTTCCACAGATTAAATAATTCCATAGACCGAATCAATAACACAGTCAATCAAATTAGACTTAAAAAATCTCGACTGTGACGCCATCTCTCCGAGCCTTACTGAAACGTCAGAAACTTCAACTGTCAAACCAAAAACACGTCGATAATAACTTTTCTGTAATGGTGCGAAATGCACCGTTACAATATATATATACATACACAAACTTAGACTCATGTACAGATTAACAAAAAAAAACAGTAAATAGGTATTTATTTATTCAATCTAGATTTTACAATACAAGCTTTGTTTAGTTTGAGGCCAAATAGTGACCATGTTGAGCAAGACGTTTCGGTACATTTCATAATTTTTAACCTATATTTAAATTATTGTTTATTCTTAGAGTTTATTTTTCTAGATTAAAAATACATTCAACAGTTATAATTTTTCCCTATTTCAAAGATAAGTTTTGACAACTCATATCATTTATGCACGCACACTAGGAAAGCAGAATGACGTGACGTGAGTGTAAGACGAAGCTGTCACGCACACTAATATCGACCACTCAGCTCATTTCATTATGATCTTTGCAGCGCGATGCTCTATCTAGACATATAAATAATCTAAGCTTGTACAATGAAAACTAGATTGACTGATAGAATATTAATAAATCCTAATGTATTAGATAATTTAGATGCACAAGGTCTCTAAGAGACAGCTTTATTGAGTAAAACATTTATAAACAAAAAATAATTGACCCACTACTGATGCCTTTTCCTACCATAGCAAAGACAATCCTGATGATGATGGCACAGCCCTCGTGCTTCTGTGCACAGTGCTGTTTCAAGAGCGAGCTGGCAAAGCTCTGACCCAGAAGCTGAACCCGGCATGGCAAGACAAGATACTCCAAACTATTGCCTCTTCCAACGGGTGGGTGCGGTACAGGGTCGGCAGAGCGGCGCTGCGGTAAGTTTTGAATATTTATTTTATTTACGTATTCATTCTTCCACTATCTTAACAGGTTAACCCAAATACAATAATGAAACGACGACTACAAAAATTGAACATAAATTCCAATGAATAAAATACACTTGACGAAACAAAAAGAACTCAAAAGTAACTAACTTAGAACTAAGAGTTACCTTTGCGAGTTTACTCAATTAACATAAAAATGTTAATCCTATTGTTAATTCGTTTGTAATTCGTATGGACGAGGCGTTTTTAAGTCGGTTGGTACTGGCTACAGTCACAGCCAGCAATGGAGGACCTCGCCGTCAAATATACAACATTAATTTAAATAATAGATACCATGGTTCACGTCGGTAAAATAAAAGTACAAAAATACAGAAATACAAATTTAGGACAAAATAAGTACAATAAAATAATTTTGAATTATAACACCATTATTAACATCAGTCACTCAACTGTAGACGGCGGCGTCGCGATGTCGGCGACATCAAAGCGACTCGAACTATACGTTCTTATTACCTTCTAATCACTTTCTTCACTTGCTTTTTATAATCGATTAATTAAAGGGCTGTACCTTTTATTTATTCACGTGTTTATTTCGGGAGTGCTCGACTAGCTTAGGACTCGGCAGTACGTGTTACTCCTTGAAAAAGTAGGTACTTTGATTGTCTCGTAATATTTGGTACAGCGGTGGCTAAGGACCGACTGACTGGATGCGTGTCCTTCATGCTGATGACGCAATAATCAACATATTTCTTTCGATTCGAGTGTAGTAAAAGCGGCAACGGCCAACGTGTGATGTTACCGCGCCGCGTATACAGCTGATCGCCTGAGGTCATAGTATTATGACTGCATTTACACATGTTGCAAATTATGAAAACAAAAACAAAACTGTTTTTAAAACACGGAATAATTTTTGGTCATAGTTTGCAAATCATCCAAAAACTAAAGCGCAGCGTATATTTTATAAAGCAACGTGAAACTTTCAATACACTCTGTATAAGAAATATGTATATCAAACAAATAAGATTGAATACCGCATGGATATTATAAAAATACGATTTATTTGAAAGCTTACTATTAACTCAAATATATATCCCTAATAACACGGTGCCTCACCAATTATTTTTAAATTTTGTTAACCGAAAGCACTCATAATAGTGAAGGTCCAATATACGTGCCCTGTGGTACTCCAAGTCTCACAATGCCTTTTTTGTGATTTAACTCCATACAAAAGAACTCTTATAATCTAGACTTAAAACAGAAGACAAAAATATTCAAAGGAAAAAAGAGAGAAAAGGAGGGCTGACAATACCACTATCTGGTTTATTAATATGAGGGTTTAGACAATCAAAAGCCTGCCAAATTGCATAGCGTAAATAATCGGCGCATCGTTCTTTTTATTATTTTTGATTGTAAATTCTGTAAGAAAACCTCTTAATTTCAGTTATGGTCACCATAGTTTGGCGGCATCTATTCTAAAACGTTTGTCTGAAGAGGCACCAAGCGAAGCAGCTCAAAGGTGGCTGATGGCTTTGTACCGCGCAGCCGCTGCCGACGCTAAACTTGTGCAAGAAGGTAAACAATTGTGTCCGTATGGATTGAGGGGCCATTTCAGATTTTAAACGACAACTCCCCTTATTTAGTAGGTGTGCAAATAATTTTGTAGGACAAATTCTGAAAATTGTAGTAAGATATATTCAAAGTTACATCAATGTAAAAGTGGCTCCGTGTAGTGACGGATTAAGAATACGGAATGTCACTACCCCAATTCATCCCGTGGGTGTCGTAAGAGCCGACTAAGGGCGCAAAACAACGCAGGACACCAGCACTGCAAAAAGAAGGAAAACTTGACACAAACCCTATACCAACCCGTCTGGCCAGCGTGGTATAGTAGGCCAAAACCTCCTTTCTAAGGAGAGGCCTATGTCCAGCAGTGGACTATTAAAGGCTGTTGATGTGATGTGTGATGTGAAAAGTGGCTCCCTAATATAAACATTTGAATTGAGGAATCGCCTAGAACACGGAAAGTATTTAATGAATATTTAAAAATAATTGTATTATTTAGAAGTAATTGTGTATAGTGCCTATCAAAAATCTGAATCCATTACTTGTTCAAGAATATTCAATATAAAATATACAAAAAATACAACAAAAAAGGACAGTATCTACGATGATACTGTACTTTTTTATGACATATTTATACGTACATTTAGTATAAATTTATACAAAATATCGATGTTTTGTGTTCCAAATTGCCGCACAAGTAGGTCTTCATATAAGTACATTAGAGTCAAATCTATTTACCGAATCATCTTAACCGAGCCAGTTAAAATGTGCCATATCTGTTAATTCACTCATTTATTATTACTGACTCTTTACACTAGAAATTTAACTTACTTACTACTAAATGATGAAGAAATTGGCATCAATTGAAAGACAGCTTCTTTGAAAAATGATAGTCGTATGTATGGTCTGAGGAGCCACATATATAATGTATGGGAACTTTTTTAATTTTAATATTACCGAGCTCAGATTTTGTCTAATCTCAAATACTATAAAAGCATACTAAATTATAACAAATATACATCCATTATGTTCCTAGTTCTGACGTGGCTCCTCAATCCAAACATTTAGATTAAGGAACCACCTTTATGTTCATATAACTTTAAAAGTATTATACTACGAAATCGAGGATCGCGGCTTAATTTTTTTAATTTTACTATTAAATAATAATATTCATTTCATTAAAGTATGAAAAGTGGCTCCTCAATCCAAACGGACACACAAGAAACAATTTATGTCTTTGTTTTATTTATTTACCCATCTAATATCGGCTCCGCTTGCCGCCGTCATTCCAAGTGGCAAAACTTTTATCCCCATCACTTAGGATAATTGGCACCGAATCTCTGTGCGTTTTTAAAGCATAACCAATCTGTGAAACAAATCCTTGCCTGCGGCGATCATGGACATCGGTATTCCCTTTTTATGATTCCTTTCTCTTCCTCTGAGCTTTAAAAAAAATATCGGGCTCGGGTTATGTAATGCGCGGTGTGTCACGGGTGTAGGTATAACCGGGCTGGAGGAGGCGAGCGCGGGCTGGGAGGTGTGCTCGGGCTGGGGCGGCGCGGGGGGCGCGGGCGGCGCGGCGCCGGGGGGCTGCGCGGCGGGCTGCGGGGGGTGCGGCGCGTGCTCGGCGCTGGCGCCCGCCTGGATGCGCGCGCGCGCACACGCGCTGGCCGCGCTGGCGCGCACGCTGCACGCCGCGCGCGCGCTCTGCACGCAGCCGCCGCCCGCCATCGCGCACACCTACGCACAGGTACACACCTTGTAGTTAAATCTAGAGTAAGCGACGAATAGAACGAGAGATGTCATGAGAATCCAAATAAAATGAAAAAATAATTAGCAGACGATGATATCTTTCATAGTATAGACTCACGTGTTCCTCAGAGCACGCGCGACGTGTCGCTGAAGGCGGGCGCGTTCGCCACGGCGCTGCGCAAGGCGGCGCGGGCGGTGGGGGGGGCGGCGCAGCGCTACGGCGCCATCGCCAAGACCGCCTTCCACGCTGACGACGCCACGCTGCGACACCTGCACATGTATCCTTTGTACTGACATATGTCAGAACTGATCTCGGCTCTTAGAGAATACCGACCGATCGAAGACTAAAATTTTCAAAATTTTGACGTTTTAAAATCAACTTTAAGTTATTCTACTATACGGTTAAAAGTGATTATTCGGGAAGGGTACCACTCTATGCAAATAAATAAAATTGAAGTGTCTGTTTTTAATATAAAGAAATAGTTTTTTTTTCATACTCACATGATTATTGGCCCAATACCTGTCTAAAAATGTTTGCAGTTTAAATATTTTTTGTCTGTCTGTAATCTGTCCGATTTTGATAATATTTTACTACCAGATAGCTGTCTATATAAGGAGTAAATAGAATTGTATATTTCAATAATACAATCGTCCATCATAATCAATGGTATAACATTGGATGTCAGGAAATAGGTCTCCCTTTTTTATCGTATAATCAAAATTCTAAAATCCACTTTATCTCTAATTTAATTTTCGTTATTTCGTCCGCATGAATTTGTCAACGACTTTATATTTTCACGTGTTCTGTAAAATATTTTAATAAGTAAATGTTACAATAAAAATGAAATATATATCCACAGCCCATTAAATTAGTAGACCAGAGTTAAATTAATAGACCATTAAAGATTTTAAAAGTAAAAATTTATTATCTCCATTCAACAAAATAAAAACTAAAAAACAATTCCTTAGCAAAATACAGCTCTCAATATACCTACGCCCAGCTGGCACAATTTCTGGATCGCATCACCTCCAATCAGCAGGAACGTCCACCAGAGCTGGACAACGTGGACTTGAAACCGACTTCCCTGGAGGAGATGATCGCTCTGTCACCCAGCACCGCGCTTGCGGACATCTCTACCAAACTTTTTGATAATCCTACCACTGGACCTGGTATCACGCATAGGGTGAGTAAATACTTATACTCGTAAATAAACCCAAATGATGTAAAATCCCTTTCGAAAAAATTTCGTATTGCAATATGGTTGAAATTTGAATGAGTTGACTTCTAGTTAAGTGCTGAAATATTATCTCTTGTGCTAGAAGTTTTCTGTATGAAATTCGACTTTAAATGTGTTTCGTTTTATTATAAGTATTTTTAATTTAGAATTTTGTAAGTATGTTAAGAGGCATAAAAGTATTTTTGGATGTCATTAAAGCCTTTGATTGCGTTACAAAATACAATTGATTCTAATTGAAATTGCAAATAATATATTTTATTTATTTCCCCTTCGCCCGAGGCTTTCGTTGAGAGTGGACGCGTGTTTGATTTTAATAAAATTAGTATTATTAGTGTGTATGCTATTGTAGTCGTTTGAGGTAATCACTAAGGGTCCATAACCCCTTATCATCGCTACGCCGCCGCGCCGCGCTGGTATCAGCCACGCCCCTACGTAAGAACAGGACAGTGTCCATAATTGCTTTCTCGCTCGTCCCTGCGCGACCGCAGCACTGCACTGTCTCGATCCATCTGGCCGGCCGGTGCGCTTACCCGCTACTGGAGCTTTCACAGGTATATTCGCTACGCGAAACGGTCTGTATTGTGTCGGTTGAATCAAACTAGCACTATGTCTCGCGTACAGAGGACTCCGCCAGGTACGCTCACTGCTAATACGAATATTACACAAGCTTCATCTGACTCGGACATTCCGTTATCAATGGCCAGCGGCCAAGCGGGGAATTTTCCTACTTCGCGACATAAGCGCCCGCGTCCGGAGTCTTCACCTTCTAATGAGTTTCAAGACTTTAAGCGTGAGATTAAGCAAATGCTGAAGGAGTGGAAAAATGAACAGGAAGCTAATCTTATGACATTTTTAAGTGAACAAAATACAACTTTAAGTAAATTAGTCTCTGACATTGCGGAGTTAAAGCTTCAAAATATAACAATCCAAAAATCAAGCTTGGAGATAGAAAAAAGTGTTATTTTTATTAACGAGCAGTATGACGACCTTAAGAAGCAAATCGATTCTTTACAAAAAGAAAAACAATCATATACAGATTGCATTAGCACTTTGGAAAGTAAAATACTGGAGTTGCAGCAGTCACCGCACTCATCATGTATTGAAGTTCGCAACGTCGTTCAGACTAAAGACAAGGAAACGACGGAGGACTTGACTGAAATTATCACCAAGCTTGGCTCGGTCCTTGATATAGGCCTAAATGAAACGCTTATTCGCGATATATATAGGCTTCCAGGTAAGACAGGAACGGCGAGACCAATAGTTACCGAGTTTTCCAGCGTGCAAATGAAACAAAAATTTCTTACCCGGGCGAAAGAATTCAATAGAAAAAAAAACTCTAAAGAGGATCGATTAAATACGCAACTGATTGGATTGACTGGAGATCTTCGCCCGATCTATGCTGCAGAATATCTGCCTTACAGCTCGAGAAAATTGTTTTACACAGCAAGGGAATTCGCGAAATTACATGATTTCAAGTATTGTTGGACTAGTAATGGAAATATTTTTCTACGGAAGACGGAAGGCACCAAGCAAATTTTGATTAGATCGGAGCGGACTTTACGCGAGGTGGAAGAGAGAAAATGACTATGGGGAGTGACAGAGGGAGGGCGATTGGTATACTGTACTCTTTTTTTTGCATTTCTTTTAACAATACACACACACAAAATCTCACGTAAGTTTTTTCGTTTTATTACAATTAGGCGTCTCTTAGTAGCACATACACTCGTTAGCCCAATGAATTGGTATATGATATACAAAAGCATCCAACTTTATCTATGTTTAGTGTTTATTACGTCTTTATGCGATTTGAATTCTTATGCTGTGTTTCTTCGCGGGTTTAATTCGAGCGAGTTCCTCTTTTGTGTTTTATGCAATAGAAATGGCTAATTTAAAAACAATAAATAAAGAAATAGACTCCCTTAAGGTATCAAAATCCTATAAATGCCAGCCTCAAAACTGTGTGCAATATATTACTCACCCTGACAAAGGGTTAAAAATACTACATTTAAATATTAGAAGCATCACCAAAAATTTTGACGAAATAGCCCCATTGATGGAGAGTATCGGCTTCCATTGTGATGTATTGGTCCTAACTGAATGTTGGCTAAGTAAAGTGGGAGAACTACCGGTTTTAATTGGATTTAACTCTTTTTACACCAAAAATCTATATAATCAAAATGATGGGTGCGCTTTATATATAAAATCAAACATTAAAGCTAATGTAACAGAACCACATTTCCTTGATGCTAACTGCCTTATTTGTCACACAGATAATTTATCCATAATTGTTATTTACCGTTCTCCGTCTTTTAAAAATATATCCAGATTTCTGGAAAGTTTTGATACAGTTCTGAATAATATATCCACTCAAAGTATGCTTGTGATCGGAGACATAAATATCGACATTAAACATAGTAATACCGACAATAACTCAAGCGAGTACTTATGCTGTGCAGCTTCACATGGACTTCTTCCTGCCCACTACTTTCCCACACGTGGACCAAACTGCTTGGATCACGTGCTTCTAAAAACGAATCTTTCTGCTACAACCATCGTTCTTGAGTCATCAATAACCGATCATGAACCTGTGCTGCTTGTTCTGGAATCTGATAGGAGATATACCGACATGCCACGGACACGAAGTAAAATTAATTACGATTTAGTCACGGAAGCGATAAATAACTTTGATTGGTCGCCAATCTTGTGTATGAATGACCCGAATAAGGCAGCTGAATTGCTAGTTAAGAATATCTCCGACATCGTAAAAAAACATTCTAAATTACAAATAATCCCAAGAAGACAGAGATATCTTAAACCGTGGATTACTCCGGGACTTTTGCGCTGTATTCGACACCGCGACCGCATGCATGCTAAGCTAAAACAATCTAAAGATAATGTAACACTTAGAGTATCATATACTAGATATCGTAATTTTTGTAATTCTTTATTAAAGAAAATTAAACGGGAGTATGAAAAGGTAGAATTTGCCAAAGCTAAAAATAATCCGAAAGCTACATGGGAAGTGATAAAAAAAGTGTCCGATTTGCGTTCTGTTTGTGCTCCCCCAACCGAACTATTACAAGTTTGCAATACTCCAGAAGCATCTCTTAATTTTGTCAATGACTTCTTCGCCAACGTCGGTAAACAGCTGGCAAGTAATATAACATTAACTACCGCGATAACAATACCCCCAATCCTTCCTCCTCGCTCGGGTGGTTCAATGGTTCTCCTCGAGGCGAACGAAGAAGATGTTGAAGCAATTATTTTAAACCTTAGATCTGACTCTGCCACAGGCTGGGATGGTATCCCTGCACGTATACTTAAAAGTAGCAAAAATATTCTGGTCCCCATAATTACTCATGTCTGCAATATCTCAATTTCATCAGGTAACTTTCCAAATTCATTTAAAAAAGCATTGGTTCACCCAATATATAAGGCAGGGTGCAAAGATGATGTCAACAATTATAGGCCAATTTCCATTCTCTCAGCCTTATCAAAGATCCTTGAGAGAATTCTAAGTAAAAGCCTTATTAGCTACCTAGAATCAAATAATGTTCTTGCTAATAATCAATTTGGCTTTAGATCGGATTTGAGCACTGAGGACGCAGTCATAGGTCTAACTCATCACGTAGCAAAGACGCTTGATAAAAAGCAAAAGAGTCTTGGTATTTTCCTAGACTTATCTAAGGCCTTTGATACCGTCCCAGCGTGGATTTTAATGCGAAAATTGGAAAGCATTGGAATCAGAGGCCTTGTATTGGATATGTTTGATGACTATCTCAAGAATCGAACCCAGGTTACCAAGATTGGGGAATGTTTGAGTGATGAGCTTCCAATCTCTTACGGCGTCCCCCAGGGAAGCATATTGGGGCCAATTCTCTTCCTCATCTACATTAATGACTTATGTAAACTCCCGGTCCAACATTGCAAAATTTTCACATATGCCGACGATACAGCGCTTGTAGTCGATGGAGAGGATTGGGCCCAGTGCTACCATAACGCTGAGGCCGCAGTCTCATATGTAATGCTATGGCTGAACAATAACTTACTTACCCTAAATTTTAATAAAACTACATATATACCGTTTGCCATTAGATCAAATTCACTGCCTCCAAGCTCTCTTTCCTTGAAAGCTCATACATGCATAACCTCTGCAAACTGCGACTGTCTAACAGTAACTAAAGCTGATCATGTCAAATACTTGGGGGTATATATAGATCAATATCTAAATTGGCAAAAACACATTAGTTTACTCTCAAATAGAACTCGCAAGTTAATCTATATCTTCAAAAAACTGCGTAATTCGGCAGATCTGGATACGCTAAGAATCGTTTACTTTGCCTTGTGTCAATCAGTTTTAAGCTATTGTGTACCGGTTTGGGGTGGAGCCACAGAAACAGTCTTCATTCGACTGGAGAGAGCTCAGAGGGCAGTCCTGAAAGTTATGTATTCACGACCACTCAGATATCCCACTAAACTTCTTTATGCAGAATGCAATCTTTTAACTGTCAGACAGCTCTATGTCCTACAATGTGTGATTCGTAAACACTCGTCTCGTCCTCCTACAGAGCCTGCTGGAAGACTTAAGTACAGGATTTTTCCCTTGGAGATGCACAGAACTTCTTTCGCTAAGAGACAAAACCATGTCAATAGTATAATGTTATATAACTACCTAAATAAAGTTCTTGGTATATATTCAAAAAATAAATACCAATGTAAAAATATACTCAAAGAATTTCTACTTAAATTAGATTATCGTAACACTGAGGATCTTCTGCTGGGACGCTTGAAATAGTAAATCATACGCATACACACATGATCACACTTACATATATACACGCACATACACTCATGCGCGTACACACCCACACCTCACACATACATAAACTCGAACACACATTAGTACACACACATCAACTAACCCTTTTCCTTACTATTTTCTTAAATGTTATTGTTCTTTTTTGTTTTTTGATCTCAACATAATGTATATGGCTTAGTATTTTATCAAAAACAACAGGGGCACTGATTTCTAAAATACAGGTACTAAACCTAGTTTAGAGATCAGCGTTTACTAACAGTGGTACATAATTTATATGAACCTCATTTCTGTTTTATAATATGTAACTTTATTGAGTAATAAAAACATTATTATTATCATTATTATTATTATTATTCTATCCGAGACTAAGTGATACACTTATAAGACTAACTACACGTATGCAAAAAAAAATAACATACTAATAATAGTTTTGAAAATAGTTCCTCCTAGGGCATATAGGTGTGCCACAAGGATCTATTCTTAATCCCTTAATTTTTCAATTCAAAGAATTTGTATATAATCAAAAGAAAAGAAAGAAAAAATGTTTATATTGGCAATAACACAACACTTTTGTCAATTTTGTAGATTGTGTTCTTACTATTTCATAGCTACTAATGGTAAAAACTGTGGTAGGGCGACAACACCGAGACCAATTTAAAAAAAAACAGATGCTCATGTAGAAAATAATAATAGACCGAGAAGCGAAGAGAAGGGACGGAACGGAACTTACTTCACCCATTTCTGGGGTCATACGGAAGCCAGGCAATCATGGCGTTTATTCGTTACTAACGTGATTACCATCATTCCAAATGGTTTTCATCAATATAGCAGATACCCTGGATATTTTGTGGCCGCCTCTCGGTTCATAAGTCTGCGAATATAAAATCCGGCTCGAAGGACCAAGCTGACTGCGTGTTTCCGCTGTAAATATTTTTTTTGAGGAAGTGTTTAATTACTGGTTTACTTGTACATTTAATGGAATTACGACTTGCAGTTTAGAAATAGTTGTAGTCATTCTTGTAACAGCATGTAGCGGCATTGTTCTATCCTTGTGTTTTGAGCAGAAATACTACAGTAGTAATATTTATTTTGGAGAAAGTGGAGATACTTTCTCAGACAGGGCTGCCTCGAAGGTTCAACTCGGTAAAAATCTGTTACACCCTGTTTGTTATTAGAGGTCAATGTCACTTAGAGGGTAAGTTGGCCAAATGATTCAAATTGGCCTCAAAGTGTGCTGAACAGTATTTCCCTTCGGCCCACCGTCTTCAGCTCTACAAGGCGCAGGTCCGGCCGCATATGTAATACTGCTCTCATGTCTATGTATGGGCGCCTTATATCCGCGTTCTCCATCTAGACCGCATTCAACTAAGTGCGACTCGAATCGTCGATAGCCCAAACATCTCCGATTGGCTCGATCCCTTGGTGTTACGTAGAGATGTAGCTTCACTCCGTCCCCATCACCCGGATAATTGGGCTCTACCACTACGTTCTTTTCAAGATAATTTTTGCCTCGTACAACTAATCTGTGGAATAAGTTATCTTCAGCGGTATTTCCGTACCGATAAAACCTTCAAACCTTTAAGAAAAGAGCGTACTCCTTTCTAAAAGGCCGGCAACGCGTATACGACTTCTCGAGAGTTCATGGGCGGCGGTAGTCACTTTGGATCAGGTGACCCGCCTGCTCGTTTGCCCCCTCTTACATAAAAAAAAACAAGTATTCGATATCGATTCGTCACTCCCATAGCACGCGGAAGCGGTGATAGGTGCGGTGCGCGCGCTGTGCGTGGGCGCGGTGTGGCCGCGCGGCGCGTGCGCGGGGCGCGGGGGCGGGGCGCTGTGCCGCGTGTCGCTGAGCCCGGCGTGGCCGCCCGCGCCGCCCGACCACGCCGCCACGCTGCCGCTCAGCCACCGCCTCGCGCTCAAGCTGGAGGGCGTCGTGCTGCCGCCCGTGCCGCTCAGGTACTGCGGCGCTGTGGGTAGGCACGAAGTTCGAAGGACCATTTTATGACACCCAGCGTGCCATAAAATGGTCCTTCGAACTAATGCCTTACCTAATTTCCATCTCGATTACGTAATAATTTGTTATTGTTGAAACGATACACACAAAAAATACAAAACTCACTTTATCTTCTGTTCTGCAGCAAGCGTCAGCGTCAACGTCAAGTGAAAGGCGTTCAAATCACCGTGACCGCCACACCACACCCTCGCAGCAATGAGAAGGTAAACCCTAGTAATTGAATATTTATTTAGTAAACCAAATCAGACGTCACATGTCACGAAAAACACATCACATGTCCCACGTCTCAGACATCAATGAACCGATATCATGATAAATTGTAATAAGCTATATTCTTAATTCAATGATTTTCCACCCTTAGGGTGATATTTTTTCCTCCAATTTGAATATAAATCATCACCTTCGAGCCTTTTTCCAAACTAGGGTCGATTTTCAATCTACTACGACCCAGCTGAACTTCGATGTTTCACTTGGAACGAATGCCATCAAACTTTTACAACCCAAGTACTAGGCAATATCAAAGCTCTGTTGATAGACTATTGTCAAACTTTTTAGGACTCGTAACGATTGCCACAGATGTCCGATAACTGTACTCTGGGAAGTCCCCGGACCATGTGATTTGATGTCGCAATACTAACCTATAAACCTTATTCCACAGACAGTAGAGCTGACAAACATCCAGCCGGTGCTGACGGCCGTGCAGACCGTGACGCCGGTGCGCGACTACTTCTCGGCGCAGCAGCTCGTGTCGGTGAACACTCCTGGGCTCTACACGGTGGCAGTGGAGGCCGGCTTCGTCGACGAGAAGGGGGAGTTATGGAACACTGGGCCCAGGACTAGCATCGTTATAAAGGTGGTTACGGCTATAAAAACAATTGAGATATAATATACTTCACACATCTCACACATCTCACACACGGCCGTTTGATCCCAAAGTAGGCAGAGCCTGTGCTATGGTAACCAGACTGCTGATAAACATACTTATATATTTTTAAATACATAGATAAATTACACCCAGACACAGAACAAATGACCGTGCTCATCACACAATATTTGTCCATGGTGGGAATCGAACCCACGACCTCCGGTTTAGCAGTCAGGGTCACTAACTAGACCGACAGGCCCGTCAGGCCTATAAGGCTAAAGAGTTATATCGCTAATTAATTTACTTTGTGATCACTACAAAACTCTTGCTATAATATTAATTAATAAACCGTTGCAATAACGATCTAAATATGTAAAATTATAAAATGATTGTTTCAGGCTCACGAAGACCCATCTACGAAGGGCAGTACACAGGTGTCACGCAGCAGATTTTAAATATCTCTTAATAATTATATGAAAGAATCTTAAAATAAATAATATTCGAACCTTAGTTATTTCTTAGAAATAAAATTTGTTTATACATACGAGGAGAGAAGAAGAGAACAACCGTGGGAGAGCCATTCTTCGGTACAAATTGTGCCGGCTCAACCGGAGTTATGCCACGGCCTTACGGAAAACCTGAAAAGCAGTTGTTCCGTTGCTTTTTACTGAGTGATCGGCGGTGGTAGTCACAGAAGGAGAAGAGAATTAAAACGTCTTACATGAATTCAACTCTTCATCAATCACTAGGAACAATAAGGATTAAATTTTTATTCATGATAAGTGCATGCATACACATAATATGGTAGGAAATAACAATAAAATATAAAAATATAAATGGGTGTTTTTTAACTAGAAACGTAAAGGTAGCCTAGCGGATTTTAGCGGTTTGTATGAATATATATGGAGTACAATCGGTTCCTCGTGGAGCGTGGCCAGTTGGCGGCGAGGTGACCCGACCCGATCGCTCCAGAGGCAGTGAAGTCGCGCAACACTGGCGAGAAGCACATTTTAATGCCGGCGTTTCCATCGAACGAGGACGAGAAATTTATTGAATTGGTGATTAAAAAGCAACTCTCTTCTCGTGATGTGAAAATTGAATGTATGTTCATTTTTTGACGTGACAACGTCTTATAATTCGATGGAGCCGGCTGCACGCACGAAAAAACATGACTCATGCGGCGTTACCTCGCTCTGAGGCGTTCCATTTAAGGCTTGAAGTGCAAGCGAGAGCGCGGAACGAGCGACAAAGAGGCACAATCGGCCTCCGCGTTCGGTAGCGTTCGACATCTGTCTCTCTCCTACTTGAGTGAGCGATGCGTCCGCGTGGACAGCTGCTACTCGTATACAATAATACATTTTTCAAAAATGCTACCATTCCATCAGTATTTTCTTATGACGTTGTCACGTTCAACTATCGTCAGTAAACCGACTTTACAGACAACCGATTTTTTTCCGGAGGCATAGATAATAACATAATAAGTTTGTCATCATCGTCTTCGTCCTCCAACAGCTGCTGAATAGCTTTTTTCCTAACTACGGTAAATTTTTGGTACATATCTGCTAAAGGATACAACGCGTCGCATGGTCGTGGTCGCTAAGAACCGAATGCTACCTTTAAACCACGTTACCGTCCTTTGGTGAAGGTGATTAGATTAGATTCTATACTCAAACTAAAGCATATTATTAGGACGCCTATATAAATAATAATAATAAATGTTTAATTCTCCCTCATTACAATATAAACAGATGTACAATGTTATCATAACACAATAGTGGGAGACCGGTTTCCAAACTAAGTAAAATACTTGTGTTATGGATAACCGGGCTTCCATCCGCGAAAAAACATTTATAAACTGTACAAAGTTGACACTTAAAATTTAAGATAATATTACAAAGAGAAAAAAAAAACAGAAAAGAGACAAAACGGGTAACTGAATTTAAAATGTGCTAGTATTTATTTTTAAATGTGTGTGTGGTTGTATCTATATGTTTATGAGAGCGTGCGTGTGTGTATTGTGTGTGTTTGCGCGCACATAAGTGTGTGTTAAAATATGAGGTATGTATAGATGTGTATTACTATTTTTCTATTTTTAGCAAGTTTTCCGTTTGTTCGTAGTCCAGGGTTAGTAAAAATTTTGATACCATCAATTTAACACACGTTTTAGTTTCCGAATAAATATCTAGATAAATATTATATTATACTAGCTGACCCGCGCAACTTCGTCTGCGTCTCTCAATAGTAATAAATTTTCTCCGTTTTTGAAACATTCTTCATTGGTGCTCCGCTCCTATTGGTCTTAGCGTGATGATATATAGCCTATAGCCTTCCTCGATAAATGGGCTATCTAACACTGGAAGAATTTTTCAAGTCGGACCAGTAGTTCCTGAGATTAGCGCGTTCAAACAAACAAACAAACAAACAAACTCTTCAGCTTTATAATATTAGTATAGATAAATAATTTATAATCTGTGTAACAGTATTGAAAGAAAAAACATTTACTTCGGTACGACGATATATCATCATCCACAGTCTTTAATAGTCCAAAGCTGGACATAGGCCTCATCTTAGAAAGGAGGTTTTGGCCTACTATACCACGCTGGCCAGACTTGTTGATACAGGGTTTATTTCAAGTTTCCCTTCTCTTTGCAGTGCTGTTGTCCTGCGTAGTTTGCTCCCTTAGTCGCCTCTTACGATACCCACGGGATGAATAGGGGTGATGACACTCTGTATTCTTAATCCGCCTTATTCCAGTCCGGGTTAGACAGTAGTCCTTGGGTCTCTTCGCTTATCCTTTCACCATGCCCAAAACTAAAGAAATATACTAAACAAGCTATAAAATGCCCGCAGCTTCCCTTCGCGTGATTATTTCTTGTTTCGTGATTCTAAATTTAAAATGACAACCTTCCATGCAACTGTTCCTCAGGGAGGAACCTACTTGTAACTTATGTTGCAGGTGTTCATAGGCAGCGGTGGTCACTTAACATCAGGTGACGAATTCACGTGAGTTGTCATTAGTAAAATGTTTGTACATAAATTACTTAACGATTTGCAGACGTTATGTTTTTCGGGTACGAATAAATTATATGAAAACGACATGCAACAATATTTTCTTACATTAAAGATTAAAAATAAGACATGTTGTATTTTAAATCATAGTTTACAACTTGTGGTAGGAAATGAAACGCTCGAGATAATAAGTGGGTCACGTTGATAAAAAGTGTTATGTCGGATCGTATAGTTTTTCTACAATGCAACCTGGTAACACCTTATTCGCTGTTGGATATTTTGAAAGTCTCACGTCCTTTTTTACGTGTGGCAATCCACTACCGGGTTTTTGGAACGAAGTTCGTTATCGCGCGTTGTGAAAGGGGGCTAGACGGAAAAAATTCATACGAAAATTTGGAACGACACTTTTAATATAAATTGACGTCTAACTGTGGATACCATACATTAAATTTGCTTTAACGTTCGCCAACGTCCATACCATGTTGAATATAAAGGTTCTCGTCCGATAACCGAAGTTAAGCAACATCGGGCGTGGTTAGTACTCGGATGGGTAACCGCCTGGGAATACCACGTGATGTTGGCTTTAGCTCTTTATTTTCGTGTCATCTTGTCAGACATTCAGCGCCATCTATCGAATCGATAGGAAATCATTTCGCAAGGAGATTTTACCAATGTATAAATTGTTTTAATTGTTTTTAATATGTAGGTAATAGCCGCTTTCATAGATGGCGTTGTAATTAAAATCGTGTCAAATCAGTTTTACTAGATCGTCACAACTTCGTTCCTATCGGGTGTCCCACGACACCACACGGCTTTTTTTTTACTAGCACCCCCAATGCTCTTTGGAGCCTGTTGCCTACGTTATCCTTTCATTCCAGTACTCGCTACTGCTCGTACTTTTATTCTGCATACTTGTTATACATTTACATAATAAATCTTGACACCAAAACTGTTTTTATTTACATACATTGATCTTGTGCACTATTCATAAACTATACATTTCTTATCACTAAATCAAAAACTCAAAACTATGTATATCTAATGTATTACCTTATTATACAGCCCAAATTACTTAAATTGCTATCTTAATTATATGATGATCAATAGTAATGTTACATTATTTTGTCACATAATTTTTAAGTTTTATTTCTTTTATTGATACTACCTTAACTATGTTTGTTCATCAACAGCCTCTACTAGTCCACTGCTGGACACAGGCCTCTCCTTAGAAAGGAGGTTTTGGCCTACTATACCACGCTGGCCAGACGGGTTGGTATAGGGTTTGTGTCAAGTTTTCCTTCTCTCTGCAGTGCTGTTGTCCTGCGTAGTTTGCTCCCTTAGTCGCTTTTTACGACACCCACGGGATGAATAGGGGTGGAAACACTCTGTATTCTTAATCCGTCACCACACGGACAATTCACGTTTGTTCAGTATTTCAAAAATATACACCTATTTTTAGTGTTTATAATCTTGCTTAAGTTTGAGATTGTTATCTCAGTATCTATTTTTTGCTCAGTTTCGTACCTATGTCTACCAAAGGTAGGGCACTCAACAATCAGATGGGGGACGGTTTCCCGAGTCTCCGGGTCATAAATGCATGTACGACGCCATGCCATGCCGCCAGTGCGCAGAGGAAAAAAAGCCTGGTAACGTAGGCGGTCTCACTTTGTACCTCTCGTTCCATTCGCCAAGCGAGGCCTGTCAAAGACCCAACTCCACGAACGAAACAGGGCACAAACCGTAGTCCGGTGCTTTCTTCATTCCCATAGCCGCCTCCATGGCGAGCTGGTCAGCTCGCTCATTACTCCCCAACCCTGCGTGGGCCTTGACACAGAAAAAGGATATCTCCTTACCCGGGTCATGCCTTTTATAATGGCTGCTCTAGTCTCCACTGCTAGGGGATGGAGGGTATGACGCTTAATTACCGCCAGGAGTGCGGCTCTGCTGTCACTGAACGTGGTTTCGCCTCGCCTGAGGACCTCACTGGCCGCTAGAGCAAGTTTGAGGGCCCTGGTTTCGGCTCCGTTATTCCAAATGGATAACGCCGCGGTACCCTGCCCCTTAATGTTGCATCCATCTGTAAAGATGCGTACCTCGATGTCATCGGTGCGCTCTAATTGTTCCTCGTCTTCCAGGATGGTGGGCTCCGTCTTGTATCGTGCCACCGCCACGTCATAGATGGTCCGAATCACCTCGGGGTGTAACCCCCATCTGATGCGGGCCATCTATGCTAGCTTCTTTTAGATGCATACGTTTGTGATGAGTATGTGAATGCGAGTTTGTGGTTAATGATATGCAGAGCTGTCCATTTCCAATTAGTGCCTATAGTTGAAGGCTAGTATTTATTTTTTAAACCTCCTTTGTAAGGAGAGGCCTATGTCCTGCAGTGGACTAATAAAGGCTGATGATGTGATGTGACTTGTTTTTTTTTTGTTTTTCTTAAAAAGAGGTTTATCTTTATCTGAGTATTGAGTAGAAGACACGGACAACACATAAACACACAACAGACAAAATACACAGTTGTTTATTGAAGCAGGACATATATTCCTGCTTCAATAAACAACTGTGTAGGTATTTTTGTTCAGTTGACAGTGCCTATCTTAATGTCTGGCAAATCTTAAGCAAACGGAACAAGTTAACTTACCAAGGTTACCTAATCGAGAATTCAATTTTGTATCCAAGATATTGACACAAAGATTAGTATCGTTTTTTCTCAATTTCTTAACAGCTTAACTTCTTAAAGAACTATAGCAAATAGGGTTTATACCTAAATTTAGCAATTAAAGTTAAAAAAAAGCAAGTGTGTGACGGGCCAAGTGTGGTGTGCGGTTCCGTATCTTATTTTATCCGCTTTAAACAAGTGACAATTGCAGTTTGCGTTGTACCAAATTTTTCAAATAAGTAATTTTATAGTCGCACAACTATGACTCTTAAAGTAGGTAAAATAACCCACTGAACGTTTACTGCTAAATTCGTTATAAATACTACCATCATGATTTTTTACAGATTTTTTAAGGCAACAATTTAGCTTCTGGGGGGGGCTACCTAACTCTAACAAAAACAGCATTTTAAAGTTTAATATTACGGAAACGGATTATTCAAGCGAAATTTTATTTCTTAATTTTTTTTGCTTCAATACTATATTGAACCAAAAAAAAATTAAGAATTAAAATCAAATTCACTTTCAGGGAAGGTACACAAAAAATATTGAAATTGAAGTTTTTATTTTACCACTAACTTTTTCAATATTATACCTTTCTACTGACTATTTAGTCTCTAAACTAATTCGCGGTCGAATAAACGGACGGAAAACTATAAGGCTTGATAGGACGGAACCCTAAAAATAAGGCTATAGAGAGGTGAAGATAGATAGCAAACTAAAAATAGTTTTCCGCCCCAAATGGAGCTTTATGTTTTGCGAGTTTATGTAAGTATGTACCTACTATTACTACTACCAGCTTGATGGATTTTGGCTTAGAAGGTGTCGTTAGACTCATTTTAATTATGAGACTGGGTATATGAAAATTATAAAAAAAAACCGGTTTGTAAATTTTAAATACCCGTACATTTTTTCATGATACTGCTTATTACAAAACCAAATTATCGTTCTTTATCGTTTGTAATCTTTCAGGTAAGACACATCAGCTAATTCTAATTTACTAGGTACACACGCACACACATACACATATACACATAACTTCACACACGTTCATAAACATTAATAACCTATCTTCGTCTTTATACAGACGTAAACAAAGAAATGACCAACAAATAAAGATCGATAAGAGTTATCTAGCAAACGCGATAATGGTTTCATACTTATCGCGCAGTATATGACTTTAACCCAAGAAAAATGCTCGTTTTTCTAGTTATTTTCACTTTTATAACAATTGTAAATACTCTTTCGATATGTGACACTAAATATTGTGTGTGCAGCTACAGGAACGTGGAAAATCAGGACTATGTCGGTGATACTATTAAGTGTGTATACAGTGACCCGGATATATTACAAACAAATTATACACTGCCCCATATTATACACTCGCTTGATTTGTCATCGAATCGTATATCAAATGTACACTCATCACCTTTGTTGAAGTCGAGCACAATGGCGGAACTGTTCCTTAACAATAATAAAATCGCAAACATTAGTACGACGTCTTTAATGTTACCGAATTTAAAGAAACTTGATTTAAGTCGCAATCTCCTAACATTTATAGACAGAGAAACTTTCAGAGGAATCAAAAACTTGGAATATTTGAATTTAGCGGATAACAAATTCACTACATTTACAAATCTAATGTTTCACCATCTGAGTAACTTAAATGAAATAATCCTGGACAATAACAATATCGGAGCAAGTTTGCAGCGTGTTAATCTATTCGACAGAAGCGGTTACGGACTGACACGCAAGATACAAAGCATCTCCATCAATCGTATCAACTTTGGAAATGTCCCACCAAACTTTTTTATTGATGCATATGATTTAAGAAAACTTTCCATAACACACAATAAAATTACAGATGTGTTCGAATTACCATGCGAACTTCAATACTTAGATATGTCAGATAATCCTCTTTCTGAAATAGCTGGTGAAGATTTTGTTAATTTACCAAGTTTAAGAGACTTAAAGCTGAATAATTTGTTAATAAGTGAAATTCCTGAGTTTGCTTTCGAAAACTTGCACAGTTTAAAAACTCTAGAACTAGGGAGAAATAAAAATCTTACTCAGTTTAGCAGTATAGCTTTCGGTGCAGATGTTTTAAGTGACGCTGTTGACTTTCCTCTGGAGAAATTATCGTTGAAGGGGTCACGACTGACGAAACTTGACGCGGAATTACTAGAGCCTTTTGGACACTTGACAGAATTAGACTTGCAAGGGAACCCTTGGCATTGCGACTGTGATATGAAATGGGTGAAGAGGTTACAAATACCTGAACATTTTACGGACCATCTTAGGTAAGTTTTGACATATATTACCTAAGTGATCTGTCAAAGAGTTAAAAGTAACTTATGACTTAGTGAGGCATATAACAGTCATCATCATCTTCAGCCTTTTTATCCAACCTTATTTGGGTTCTGCCGAATATTGCAATTGGGCAAACCCAAAAGAAAGTTTGCAAAATCGCAAATAGTTTCTTTACAGACGGAACACAGTGAGATAGTAAATTAGGGTTAGGAAAAAGGATAGGGCAAAGGCAAGGGATACAGCATAGCCGGAGCGGGACCGGGACAGGTTTAGAACTCTCCCGGCCCGCCAGACCCGGGAACGGGAGGTACCGCATGCGACTCAGGCGCCGCAGGTCGCAGAACGACCTCCGTCCTCCATAAGCACACGCCTGGGGGTAAAAGGTGAGGCCATCTGCCATCTCGCTTCCAGGGAGCAGAGGGAACATGGGGTTCCCACACGGGGGGGATTGTCTACTTGTCTGTAGGTGGCCCGAGGTATGTCGGGGCACCAGGGACTTCCTTTCTAGGGTATACCTGGTTCCCTTCCGGCGGCTATTAGTACCCGAGACGGCGTGCGGTTTTAGACCGATAGGTGGTCATCATCAACAGCCTTTAATAGTCCACTGCTGGACATAGACCTCTCCTTAGAAAGGAGGTTTCCGATAGGTGGTATCCGAGGGGATTTCCGCAAGGAAAAAAAAAAGGATACCGCATAGCGCATGTCTTAGATGAAAAATGGGACTAAGACTGCAGTAGCTCGAAGGGCCTGGGTCCCGTACCCATTCTTTGATTCAAGAGGCCATTTGGATCAAAGTAACTGGCCACATAATATGACATAACACATTAAAACGCATAAATTATATCGGCGCGATCTAAAATGACCTTGATTGGCATTGACAGTTATTTTTTTCCTCAGTAAGATTTAAGTGGTGTCCACTTTGTTCTCTAGGCGTTCTAAGAAATAACATACAAGGTCTTTGACTTCAATGACGTAAACAACTATTTTAGCACTGATTACATTGTTTACTTCTTCTTATGGGTAATTTGGCGGTCATGTTTATAAGCGTTCTGATATCACATGTAAATAGCTTAAATACTTATGTGGTCTATTAGTGGTAAATATTTTCGTAAATACCACAATTCATGAATAATCTCGTGTAAGGAAATTAGGTTATACGTTATGCTTGTAAATTGTTTTGTCGTAAACAAAAGCTGTCACTGGTGGATGAATGTATTTTTGTGAGTTAGTCCAGCCTTTACGTATAACTTAGGTAACTGAAGGGATGCGAAATAGTCCATATACTTCCCGTAGCTAACCCACTTGCCGTGTGCTTTCGTACATTGTCTATTTTTTGGAAAGGCTTGCATTAACTTTATAAGGTAACAAAACTAAGTATAAGTAGGTATGTAAAGATATTGTAACAGTGACTGTCTTGTTAATCTAGTGCATTAGTCCCGACCTTTCTCGGACTACAGCCCCCTTTACAAGAAAAACACACATTTGACGTGTATTCATAGACTAGGCCATTAAATCCATTAAATCTTCGAAAAACTAAAAAGTCTTAGAACAGGTTTTAAACGAAAATAAATCTATTAAATACTGAAATAAATCATTTCAAAAAAAGAGTTGAACCGACTTCAAACAATACTAACAAAGGGCACTAAAAACCTAGCAGCAATCGCGGTTGATTTGCTGTCATTATTTGAAAAGTTTCCATGTCTGTCCCCGAAACTCATCATCAGATCAGATCTATATGAAATTTCAATTGGATCATTTCGGAATAAACCCCTAAAAAACAAAAAAAAATTAAAATTAATCTACATAATAATATGACGTAGTTATGAACGAACATACATCCGAATTCATAACCTCCTCCTTTTTGTAGTCTTTTAAAAAATAAGTAAGATCATTGATCGTTTCGGTAGATTTTGTATCATAAAAAATAACAATAAAGATTAATACTATAAAACCCAACAAGCCAAAGTTTATCGTCGAGGTATCTATTTATACATCAGCATCATTCGCTTCACAATAAAGTTGATTAAAATTCTTTGTTCAAAGTTGTGTTACTTATTTTATATTTTTGGAGCCATTTGTCAGATTCTTTTCCCCAGTAGAGGTTATGCTTGCAAAATACATGCATTATGATATCCTTTTATTATAACGTGTAACGTAACGTAAACGTAACGTGTATTTCGTGCTGCTACGTCAGATAGACGATAAAACAGCTTCAGATTAGTTTTAACGAAAAGAGAAAGAAAAAAACAGACAGGCCCGACAGAAGTGATAACTTAAAGTAATCTAAGTGGAACGAAAGTGGAAAGAAAATCTTAGGTTATTACTTAAATTTTATATAAAGCGTCTGTCCGACGAATACGGCTAGCGCGTGTGGGTTAGTGTGAGAGAGGAGGAGCCTGCCTACCGCTGCCGTATGAGTGAGAGAAAGGGAAGCCAGACAGACTGGCGACGAACGAAACGCGTTACGTAACAAAGCGGTTTCCCTCCCATAAGAAGTTATCATTACAATAATATAAATGTATCTTAAGTATTTTACTACGCAATCATCCGGTGGTGCCATAAACTCCCGATTGGCGGGAGGAAGCTTACGTGTACTCAGGGATTGGGCGTAATTAGGCGCGGCGTCGATTCGGGAAGGACCTGAAATCACAATGTCCGGGTCCTCCCTAAAATAGATCGCCTAGGACCTGATGGGGTGGTTTTACGTGGCAACATTACATACTCCTGACACTTGAGTCCCCAAGGAGCACAGATTCGAAGAGATTTTCCACTCGGTCAAGAGAAAAAAAGCTGTGAAGGATAAAAATGACTTTTGAACTCTTTAATATAATATATAATCTATTATAGTATCTACGTGTTTCTGTTAGGTAATTATAATTATTATTGATTTACAGATGCGGTTCTCCACCAGACCTGTTCAACGCCAAAATCTTCGACTTGAAAAGCAAGTTTTTTACCTGTGACAATAAGAAGCGCCATATTGGATTCGCCATAGCTTTGTTTACTGTGTGCACAATTCTAGCCATGATGGCAGTATGGATATTCCTGTGCATACCTAGTCGACACTGCAACCCTGCGACTTTCAGGGATCTTTATGGGACATCGGCTGCATACAGCGTTTTGCCTACAAGTCCTAATTAAGTTGATACTTAATTTTGAACATCCAATAATGACTGATATTTCTAATCATAAATAGGCAGATAAGGGAACGTAACCATTTATTTTTTATTTTTTAGCCCCTTTCCCTGCTCCCTCGGTCAAAGAAATTGGCTCATATATGTCTTTATTAACACAGCACTTGGGACTAATCCCACCCACACGCCCACCACTGTAACTCCTGTACACCAGGATCCACAGCAGTGACCCACGAACACACCGAGTTATGACACTCGGGAAGTCCCAGGAAGAAATTAAACTGTCTTGGAACCCGCAACGAAATTAATCAGAAGAAAATTGGAGGAGTTGGAAATACAGTAAATCCACTTCCCTCTTTAGCAAAGCGGGAGACAAAATGAAGTAAAATGGGCATACACCCTTTTAAACAGGGAAGCACCACGGCCACAAATATTACGGGTCCTACGTGAGCTAGCACTTGCCAGATATGGTATTAACTGCATGACGAAAACTGCTGACTGCTGAAATGACCAAGCGTGATATTTTGAAGACCCCACTCCCCCCTCCCCCAACAATATGTAAATGAAATATCGGTGTGGTGACGAATTAACAATACGGAGTGTCACAAGGAAGGCGTGTGTAAGGAAGCAAACTACGTAGGACAACAGCACTGCCAAGAGAAGGAAAACTTGAAACAAAGTCTTTACCAAACCGTCTACATAACCTACTATGTTCAGCAATGGACTTTTATATTATAGGCTGTTGATGATGATAACATGAAATTGGTTTTTTATGTTACGTCATACTTGTACCTACCAAGCATTGTTGTACATACAAACGTTTTGGTAAGTATTCTAAAAAAAAACACAGAAGCTATATACACCACGTGTCAGGTAGATATATTTTAAATTAATGTAAAGATTATCTAACAAGATAATAACATTATAACACCTGACATCAAAATGCAAATTTGTATGATTTTCTTGCTTGTTTTATGATAAGTAGGTCATGCTTTTATACTTTTAAAAACTGTCAAAATTGTTCTTCCCTTCCGTAGAATCTAAGTAAGTATACTTACTGTTGTAAAATTTATGTCTTCTTAAAAAATCACTTTCAAAAACTGTATTGCTTTGAAACTGTTTTGCATAATAATTTACCTCTTCCTTATTATAAATAAAACACAATGGTTGTTATGTTAAGACACGATTTAAATATTTATGTATCTTAAAAATATTGTTTGTTGTGTTCAATGACTGTGATAGACTTTAATTATTAAAATGTTTATGTTTTAGATAAATTGTATTTATTTTTCATTTAAAACCTCATTAAGCAATGTTACCTTCTTTCTAAGGAGAGGCCTATGTCCAGCAGTATACTATTAAAGGCTGTTGATGTGATGTGAAGCAATGTGGCCCTCTGTAATAGAGGCGAGAGATTATTTCTAAATAGAGTTAACTACTTCAAGATACAAATTGCTCACTTATTGCGAGATCGTCGACGACGACGAAATGACATTCTTGCAATAAGGATTATACTGTTATCTGCATTAGGCTTAAACATACTACTCATTCAGATTAGTTTTTTAAGCCTGATCATGGGCCATAATGTACCTTAATACATACCATTTGGCACTTAATTATCACACAAAAAGAGAGTTTGTCTTCATCCGAATAATAATAATAATAATAATTAAAATAAAAGAAATTCTTAGTAGGTATGTCTAATAGCATGTACATTTAATCACTTACTTATCAGTTTCATAGCGATAACAAGAAAGGTGACTAATAAAAACGTGACAAATTTTCGTCGCTCGACCACGCGCCATTATTGTACAAAGAACTTACCTATTTAAAACCCTAGTGAAGGAAAGCGACAGAGAAACAGTCCTACATTATCTTGATCATCAGCATCCCAAAATAGGCTATCACCACTAGACATTTCACAATGAAATTGTCCATACTGAAATTCAATGCTTTAAGCATTGACTGCACTGATGACGTAGTGGTTTAAGAGGTCGCCTTATAGATGTAAGGCTGGTTTAAAACCAATTAAACTAATCCGTTTAAAACCGAAATAAACAATTTTTTTCGATTTAAAGCGGTTGGTGTTGATGACTATGTTTTTCTTAAATATAACTACATTTTCTTGATTTTACCGAGGTAGGGATATGACGGAGTACCTATAAACTGTGTAAGATTTTTTATGTGTATATACTTATATCAATATCACACATATAAAAAATCTATATATACTATGATATACTCCGGCCGCATATGGAATACTGTTCTCATCTCTATGCAGGGGCACCTCAGTACCAGCTTCTCCCTCTGGACCGCATCAAACGAAGAGCGACTCGAATCATCGATAGCCCAAACATCTCCGATCGGCACCGTTTAGTTCTAGTTGGTCCATCCGACCCAGCGTAGGTATCACCTACCTAAGTTATAAAAACTCTATTGATAAGTTATAAACTCTGTGTTGGTTAATAAACATTTTTTCATTGTTTTCTAACGATATAAATAATCAATTTGATTCGATTTGAAACCAAACTCACACTCTATTATACATTTCTTTTACATCTATAGGTCACCTCACCGCTTTCTGCTGCGTTGCATTGTGGCTTCGATCCCCACGCGAGATAAAACTTTTGTTTGGGTGGACCAAAAGACTGTGTGTTATTTGTGTCCGTTTCATGAAGGTGTTTTAAAGTCGCGACCCAGGATTTATTCGGAGTGCGAGAGTTATCTTTTAAAAGATAAAGAGTCATTCTCGACATTTTCCTGACTTTTTTCGATTTTATCTGAAGTCGGTTTACTGATCACTCCGGTCGAGCCGGCCCAATTGCGTTGCCTCACCCACGACTAAAGTCTGTTCAAATGTAGTTTGAAAGGGACTCGAGTTGCCATCATCTGACAGTTTTAACTAATAAAGGTGAGATTAAGGAAATAAAAACACAAAATTACAAAATCCACTTTAAATATTTAAAAAATACAAAAGTGTACAAATTGATTTATATTTTGTGCATTAATTACATCTATAGGCAAAACTTTGTGCAGTTTGTGATGACACTTTTCTTCACCAAATAAGTCTTCAAACTTCATTTGGCTTATCACCATAATTTCGTCCTTTTTGTCACAAAACATCTAAACCGTAAAGCCTTTTCAAATATTATACTAAAATATTTATCAAAACGTTGGCATATTAGCTAATAATTTATAAGTTCTTAACAATAACCAGGCACAAGCATATTACAAAAGGCTGCCATTTGAGCGATATGACACTATGTTCTATTTACGGCCTCAGACAAGTTCACTTTAATTCTTAAGTCTTTTAATTTCCAAATAAGATACCAATTTTCTATATATTATTTTCTTATTATACGAATGCTTTAATTTAAAAAAAAAAAAATACATTGTCGTTATAGTCTGCAAATCAATTATGAAAGAATAAAGCGAATAAAAAAAAATAGTAAGTGCGCCAATTTCAGAAACAACTTTTCTGTCAAATTACACTAAAATGGCGCTAAATAAATTTAGACAGATTTAGAAGTTTTTTTCAGTCTTGGTAAAAATAAATATTCTAACATATCACTGAAATTCAAAAAACAAAACAACTAAATAAGTGACTTTATTTATAACTTACCGTTTTCTAGGCCCACTTTTCAATTATTTACTTTAAAACGAAGAAATATTTATAACATATTTTTTCTACGTCGAACATAAAATGGATTAGTAATTCATTATGCATGAACTTGCCCTTTTAGCCACAATTTTTAACATCAATTCCATTTTTAAATATTTAACATTTTGCTAGCTGCCATATTTGTTAATAATTTTATAAAGATAATAAATCATTTACTTTATCTTCCCCATAGGTTACACTTACACATCAAAGCGCCACATGTACGTATATAATGCCAAACGAATGTCAACTTTATGATATGTTAGAATTAGCTATAAAATTTCAAGCGCTCTTTGGTCAGACAGCGACACTCGTACGAACATACATATTACATAATTTCTTCTAAGCACAACCTAAATCATTTGTAAAGGTTCGAAAACTTGATTAAAAACCAGTCTCACAGCTGATGTTTATTCAGATATATTTTAAAATGTATTTTTTACTCTTTTATTCAATATAATTCGTCACAGTGACGTCAAATTAACGTATAAAATTTCTTACGTATTCAAAAAGTTGAATTAAGCGCCATCTTGCGAGGAACGTCCGAACTACTTAGTAATTAATGATTTTAGATCCCGCAATGAAGGTGCCGTATTCTTTCCAGTATATTTTAGTATAGACGACATGAATTATGTATTTCTTTAGGAGAATTAACCTAGCTGATATATAATACATATCGATATTTTTTCTATTTAACATAAACTGTCCTTCTAACCTAATCCATCGACATTATCATGAAAAATAGCATTTTAAAATATATCAATCAATAATTACTGTTAACAGATTAGATATCTTTCTTTTCCTTTATGCTATAAATACAGAGTATCCTATGATATGGTATAATTATAACTAATAATATACATACAATACAAAATCGAGAATCGTTCCTCAGTGGATCAAGAACTATTTTCAAGAAGCGCAGCGCGAGTACAATATATACGCTACAATACTTAAGTACGCGAATACGCAATTATTTATAAAATATATAAATATTTATTCTACCTTACATCTACCACAAAATTGTGCTTAAAATATTCTAACTTATATGACACAATGTACAAATCATTTCCTAAACTATTTATAAAACATTAAATGCAGTCTAGTCTTTTCTAATTAAAAATGGCGACAACACGTCTTGGTACTTAAATTAAATGAGATTCGTGTAATTTTAAACAATATTCGAAATATTATTTTAAAGTCAAATGCAGCTGCGACAAATGACACATATTACATTTAAAAAATCATAAAAAAAAAACAAAAATGTTTTAAAATATATTGGCATTTTTGTATCTGTTATGAAAGTGACAAGGACCTATATTTTGTATTTAAAATTATGTAGTACTAAGAGTATTTATCCTGGCAACATTTAGTTTTTCAAAAGGCATAGAACAGACGCTTATAATGACTCTACCTGTCATATTACACTTCAATGGAATGACAAAAGAAGTTCGCTGTTTTCAGCAGCACTATGTGTTACCATATAAAATATATGTTGACAGGTTTCAAACATAGTATTTGTATATTAGTATGTATACCAAAACCAACTAAACTGTGCTTATATGCAGTTGTGTGCACAGTTGTGGTGTCAGACGTTCCGCGTCCGCGCTAACCGCGTGACGTATCAGATATAGCCGAAAAAATGCTCAAAACACAAATAACGCAAATAACTCACAATCAATCATTCCAAAATTTTATCAGATTGGCTTTAAAAACAATGTATAAAGGAATTAGGCTGTACAATATAGTGAAACGCAAGGCAGTTTAAAGTTACATACAAAACCCGAACGTTTAACAGCACAACGCATCAATCATTTAGGTGATTTCTGCATACACCTAGTAACGTAAAGTCAATTGTTAAGTTATATACAATAAAGTATACTTTTGTAACAAAACTACAACCTTTTTGATTAATTTTTTAAAACCTCCGACTCATCACCCAACGAGCTCCATAAACAATACAAAGCTATATTATATAATCTGTCCACCTAACCTAAAAATACTCCGTATGTCATACAAGTCTGAAGTCCTCCCTACTACAAAACTCCTCCTGTCAGACTGACGTTTCAGAATTTAATCTCAAAACGAACCTGTTACTCTTGGGGTCGACAACCTCTTCTGTCAAACTAAATTTCGGCAGCTGTTTTATCGTACATACGAGAGATATGTCACCCTGCCTTAGTTGGAACTCGATGTTGTCAGTCAGTGGTCTGGCGAGGAGTTCGTCCGAGATTAAGGACCATCTCTGGATAGGTCTGGTCTCCTGGTCGGCGGCTAGAACGGGCCCCTCGACAAGGAAGGGCTCCAGGAAAGCTCGCGGTGACGCGTCCTGGGACAGGCAGCGCGCCAAGTGGGCGAGGACCTGTGGAGATTCATATGTTGTGGTTATTACATAATTGTAAGTTATTTTTTATAGAAATATTAATACCAAGGCCCTGTCGCGCGAGAAAAAGATCTGTGTTTTGATACAAAATGAACGCGATACGGTAGCGATTTATTTTCACAGAATTTTACGAAAAAAGAAATGCGGTGAAATATCGCTGTAGGGACGGGGCCTAGTGGTAATTCACGAGTTGGCAGACCAGAGTTCAATGAAATAATGTGATGTTTATGATACCTAGAAACATGTTCACCTTGATTCTAAAATATTATGGTAAAGAACCTATTTTACTCTTAATAATAATAATAATAAATCTCACACATCTCACACACAGCCATCTGATCCCAAACTAGGCAGAGCCTGGACTATGGTAACCAGACTGCTGATAAACATACTTATATATTTTGAAATAGATACATATTATAGATAAATTACACCCAAACAGACCATGCTCATCACAGCATATTTGTCCTGGTTGGGAATCAATCCCACGACCTTCGGTTTAGCAGTCAGGGTTACTAGCCACTAGACCAACCAGGCCCGTTTATTATCCCGTTATTATTATTATAATCAAGGCCCTCCCCCTGACATGTCAGGTTTCTAGAAATTATCGTTTAGTACAGCTTGGAATCTGATTGATCAGGCAGCGGGGGTTGACCAATGCGTCACTATTTTCTTAACGCGAATGGACCCTACCATTCGCGTTAAGAATAGAGAAGAAAAAAATTAATCAGTTAGCTCAATAAATATTGTTTTCTATTAAAAACCATGTCAAATTGTGGATAAATTGATGAGAAATCAGAAAAAAACCGACGCAAAAAAATTATAAAACAATCCTTGAAGTGGGTTGTGTGTGAAATAAATAATATATTTATAAACTCACCGAATCAGCAGAATGTCTCGGTTGCTGCCTGGTGGCGCGCAGGTACTTCTGCAGAGCGCGGGCCAGCGACGGGAACACGGCCTGCGCCGCCTCGCGGGGACCTAGCGCTCCTGCTGGGGGTGGGACGGGAGGGAGGTGATCATTATTCTTTTTTTTTTCATAAATTTCTAAATAATAATCAAGTCTAGAAACTGTAAAATACGACTATTTACTGAGAACAATATTCATTAATCTATTTTATTTCTTAAATAATTTAATATTCCTGATGGTAATCATGTACATTTTAGCATTCAGTTTACCACAGGGGCTTTTTCTGTTTCGAAAAGATACTTCCATTGTGGGATTAAATCGATACAGAAATGTAATTTGGGAACAATTGCCTGCCTGCTTCTGTGTGGTGACGGACTAAGAATATGGAGTGTCACCACCGCTATTTATCCCGTGGGTGTCGAAAGAGGCAACTAAGGGAGTAAACTAGGCAGTACAACAGCACTGCAAAGAAAAGGAAAACTTGAAACAAATCCTATACCAACCCGTCTGGCTAGCATGGTATAGCAGGTCGAAACCTCCTTCCTAAGGAGAGTCCTCAATCTATTGACGCTCCTGCCAGCACGTGTAGTGTACCGTACCGTTGGCGGCGGAGACGCGGACCCTGCGCACGTGCGCGAAGGCGTCCTCCGCGGCGCAGAGCAGGCGCGCGCGGCGCTTGCGCACGCGGCGCTCGCGCTCCGCCTCCTCGTAGTAGCGCTCGTTGTGCGCCGACCCCGAGTCGCGCCGCCGACCGCTGCCGCCGCCCACCGACCCAGTCGCCGACCTGCACGATGACCATCTTTAATTAACTACTTATTAATGATAAAGCCGATTCTCCTCTCCACCCGTATACTAACTTAAACCTTAAAACGTCAGGCATTTCAATGGAAGTACTTAAAACCTATCATCAGCGCGTTAATTCCTGTAATCATAATTATATGTTACCCGTATAGTGAGGAGATTACTGGTTTTCAAGGCTGGCTGGCAGAGCAGCAGCTGTACTATTTATATTTCTTCTAGCGATCCGCTCCGGATTCACACGGGTACAATGTAGATACTACTAATGTTTTGTCAGTGTGGAGTAATTAATTAAACTATTATTATAAGACCATACTACAGGACATCTTTTTATGCAATATTTATAGGCCCGCTCCGCTCCTGCCGGCCACTGCCACCCGGGATGGACATACGGCCCGACGCGGCGACGGCCGCTTTACCCCCGCATTTTAAATCTCTGATATCTACTAAGATATTCATTTTAATGATTTGCTGTAAAGGGCAATTTTGATCTACATTAAATGCACAACTTACCTAACTTATTTATTTGAATAAGGAATAATAATGTATTTTTCAAAATAGCTTCGTAAATTAAAAATGGTTACTGTGAGTTATCCTTAGGAGGTAGATATAGGTATACCATCGCGGATTTTTTTGTAGATCTTTTTAATATATACAATTCAGTAGTACATTATTTTGTAAAGTTTAGCCAGTGTTTGAAATGTAAGCGCACAAAAACATGTTTTATGTTCACAAAAATATATTCATTATACATAGAGGCATCCAGACTCATGCAAATAGGCGTTTACGTGCTGATAAAAAATCGAACCCACTATAGCCAAAATTGTGTCGACCTCAAACAAATTTTGGGGTTGAGAAGAGGGTAGGCAAATGATGATGAGGCAGAAAATCAACATCCCTTTTTTTTCTGTGCGGGAATCCATTCGGATACCACCCACCGGTGGTTATGTCTCGGGTACTAGTAGCCGGGGAACCAGGTGTATCCTAGAAAGGGAAGCCGGCAGCGCTTTTCGCCGTCCGCCGCCCTGATATCATGTTAGAGGGGGCAGACGAGCAGACGGGTTACCTGATGGAAAGTGACCATCGCCGTCCGTGAACGTCTGCAACTCAGCCTTTTTGGGAAGGAGTACGCTCTTTTCTTGAAGGTTTGAAATACCACAGATGATAACCCGTTCCACAGGTTGGTTGTGCAGGGCAAAAAGTGTCTCGAAAAGCGCACAGTAGCAGAGCACCAACTATCCAGGTATATTATATATATTATAGACAGGCTAATAAAACTAAGCATTCTTTACTCTACTTAGTTAACAAAAGGAAGCTGTTAAAGTTAATTACGTAGCAACAGACAGTCGAAAATGTATGATAGTCATGTTTCGGTCATTATTACAACCGTTACAGTAAATTATCTCAATGCTTAAGCCGCCTTAGCTACGGATAATCGATTACACTGTGAAGATCGAGTTCTCACTGATCTTAACAAACTTTAAGCTTCCTTGATTACGTATTTTACTGATTTAAAGAAACAGTGCGTGTCGCGGTCGAAGCGAATGATTTTTATTTTATAATGGCTTTTGCCCCGGGTTCTGCCCGCGTGTATATCGGTTATCGCGGTAAAAAAGTTGTATATGGGTCTGTCCGATTTCTGCCCCCTTTTTGCCTTTGTACCTAATGTATCGCCCACAGTAATTTGTAGAGATTGGCCCCTTTTTAGAAATACCTACTTTTATTAGATTTTTGCCTATTCACGCAATGACCAATAGGAGCGGAGCATCAATGAAAAATGTTGCAAAAACGGGGAAAAATTATTAGTTTTTAAAGACATTATTAATCAAAATAAAGAAAAATTAACAATACGAATGTTTGAAAATAACTACAACTATCTGATATTATTGCTTAATGTGTTATGTAATAAATATTAATTCCCATGGGCTACTTCATCTAGAGAACACAGGGTCATCCTAGTTTGTGTCCGATCACACAAGGAACATAAGATTACACAACCTATTATTCCTGTTCCTAATTTACCTATTTCCTTACCGCATATGAAAACGATTAAGTTCCAAAGGGGGGTTGGCATTAGGAAGGCAATCAGCCATTAAAGAAACTAGCCATAAAAGAAATCAGCCACAAAAGAAACCAGCCATAAAAGAAACCAACCAACACCCTCTGCAATGTTTTACATCCGACTAATTCCAAAAACATTTGGATAGAAGCAGAAATGAAATAATGAATGAAGTTGATCAGTTCTTAAATAATAATCTGTTCATCACTACATTTTGAAACTGAAGTGTTTAGCAACTCAAGAGAATACAAAACTTACATCACAATTAAAATATTCCATATAACTGATACATCTTAGAATGATGTATTAAGTATTCATTCTCCAACATTGTAATGCTTTTTTTTTTTAATATATATTTGGTCCTATTTTTTTCGGATGGTGTAATACACAGATCTAAGGGCTCGCCCGCACAGCGATATTTCACCGCGAGGTTTTTATTAGCGCGAAGATATATAGACACCGAATCGCGCTCAACTTTGCATCAAATCACACTTGTTTTTCGTCATGTGTCACAGAATTTTGCGAAAAAAAACGTGCGGTTAAATATAGCTGTGCGGACGGGCTCTAAGGTTTGAAAAGACGAAGCACATAGCGACATAAAAGCCTCCCACAGGTACTTTACAGTACCTGTTTGAAAAAGTAACCATGGTTACACGCTTGTTTCTTCCTCTCAATTACTAAACATCTTATAGCATCATGATCCTCCTCAATTATAAAAATGGCTAATTATAAATAAACTTACCTAGCTTGCCCTGGTGTAGCATTCGCAGACCCATCAACTTCATAAAACTTTATACTGGACTGAGCTTTCCTCTGAGATTTAGATATGGGTATCTTCTCCAAATATGGGTTGTATATGGGAAATTCTGTGTAGTACTTCTGCAGAACCCAGACTGCCGCCCTTTGTATACTTAATTGTCCGATGGCATAAGACCTGCTTTCACCGTCTGGGCTTCTCACAATCTTCACGTAGTACACAGGCTCTAAATGCCTTATTTCCATTAATATAACAGCTATGTAATGTATAAATAATAATGTATCTGCAAAACTAGATACGTAAGATACTAGAGCGTTATAATCTATTGCTTCCTCACCAACAGCAAGTGCTTTAGTTGCTTCTGTGATCTGTACAATGTAAAACAGCCAATACGAAAATATACAAACAGCTAGAATGACAAGTGTCATTGCTCTGAAGACAAATATTCTAGGCAATATGGCGTTCCTTGGCCTCAGAAATACGGCCCAAACTCCAATTGCGAGTAAAACTAATTTAAATGCCAAAGAAAGTAGAATTCCTTTACATTCTGCGGTGCATGCAAGCAGCTGTATCCGCTGGCTAGGTTGTAGAGCAATATTATCAGTTAATCCCGGGAAAAAGCCAATCTTCGGTAACACTACCATGGCTAGGGGGCTGACAAATGAAACAAATGACAACCCGAGAGCTATGGTAGTTCCAAAATACCTTGTGCAGACGAACCCTATACCGTTGTCTGATTCTACAGGCCAGTTCCCAACATCCTCCATAGATTGAGATCCTTCTGAGGTGTTGCCGGTCACGGCTGTTGTGTTTTCTCCCCAGTTTTCATCTTGTGGTAAAATTTGGACTTCAATAACTTCTTGGCCGTCTCTGCCTATTTCAGGGTTAATATTTACACTAGTCTGGAACGGTGCCATATTGTCACTGCTGTCCTTTCTCTGTGATTTGGTGCTTCTAAAATAGACATTTAAAATTTGTATTACAGATGATATATCTCTAAGTTCTGTATTCTATTTGTATAGATTTACTAAATACAGTGCTAATTTGATGACAAAGGAGAATCTGAGGAAATTTATAGTCTATGCAAAATCTTACTATAACTCTTAACAGTGAACAAATGAAAATGAACTAAGTCATAACTACAGGAAATTAGGAGTGATTTAAGAATATAAACTATTGACTTAAATATAGAGGAGGGATGGTTAGTTGGACTAGTAAAGTAGGTAATTTAAATTTAATGATCAAATTAACTGAATTTACTAATGACAGTACAATTTTTTTTACCAGTCTTAATAATAATATTGAACAGGCTTTTGCCTCTATCTAGAATACTTACATTTTTTTTGTTAATGGTACCAAAGCAGGAAAAGTAGGAGGAACATAATTCACATTAAATTCACTAGTATTATATTTTATTTTAAATTAAAATTACATAATATACTAAGCCCAAAAAAGGTAAAACCCAAGGATCAAATAAGGGATGATACATTAAATAATATGGTAAACTAGGTAATCAAAGTATATACAAACATAGTCTTGTATAGAATTCTAGTAATTCAGAAATGCTGACCAAAGTTATAAAGCATTTCTTGTTACAAGTAACTTCAATGCTAGCTGCTAATCCAGATAGAATTAACTAAATTAAAAAAGTATCTATATCATCAACATTTATTTGACCATCTTATCATAACATTCGCCGCAAAAGCTTTAAGTTTAATAATGAAACCTGAAGCCCTACCGTGTGCTCCGATGGGTGTGCTGCCGGTGTCTTGAGCTCCGCCGCGACCGGCCACTCAACTCAGATCTTACCGACTCTGTTTCCATTGTTTACCTTCTTCTCCTTGACTCTACCCATCGGCACCGCACCAAATGCACCTGAGACACCACACAACAATGAACACACTAATTTTGTAAGCAATTAAAATGCTTCACGGGCAATGAACACGAGTACAGCAGATCTCTCGATTATCTTACATAAAATATGTTTCATTTCATGTAATTAACGTACTTAATATTAAACGTAATTATTTTAGGCAAGTTTTAACAGAAAATACCTTTGCATTATAGAGAAAAACGGAAAAATTCTTATTAGAGCGTCTTTCCCGAATGTCGATCAAACGGATTCATTTTGTACTAAGCGACGAAATAAGAAATGTTTGAAATAATAATCAAATGTCGGAACCCTCGCTCTAACAAGAATGTATTTGTATAAGGGTCTCACTCTAATCGAATTGTCGAACGGTTCATTGGTTATTCAACTTGATAGTATAATATTTTATTTATTTCGTTCGGGAACTGTTTAGTAATATATCAGTCAAGAATTTTTCAATGCACGGCAACAGTCGCGATAAGATCTTAATTTATAATTACCATATCCAAATGTATAGATAAAATACTACCACTCGTTTCAGTGAAACAGTGTACATATTAAAATATGTTTTTCGGGCTTGTGGTGTTAAAATAATTGGCGCTGATTTCAAATATATAGAACAAGTGATTACGCGAAAAGATAATGATAAGATAACACACCCAGTTCATGTAGATAACTTACTGACGAAACTTATTTTTTACTATGAAGTAATTATTTGTGTGAATAAATAATGGAAAACCAACGAAACGCAGGTCCGGTTCAGGCTGATAGAAGTGAAAGTAGAGTGGAGGATTTACATTTGGACAGAATTGTTGCGTCGCAGCCCGAAATAGGGCCTACACCACCTGATGGCGGCTACGGCTGGCTAATAGTTGTATCAGCAGTGATCTACCACATCACCGTACCAGCCCTTACGTCCTTGTACGGTATTATGATCCTGAAGGCGATCAGAGAAGAAGATCATGAGCGTGAAGAAGTAATGAAAATATGGGACATGGATATTGCCTTGGTGCCTGTTATAGCTGTGGTGATCAGGCTCCTGTTAGAGTCCTGGTGTCGGGCTTTAGTGAAGATCTTTAACATGCCGAGATTCATGGCCCTTTCTGGCTTATGTTTTATAGTATCAGGAGTTCTCCTCTCTAGTTACTCCACTGATGCTGAGAGCAATGATCACATTATAAGCATATTTTCTGGGATATTTATAGGTAATACAACTTTGTTTTATTCTTTTTTCAAGGTCTTTTTGACAATAGAAACGTCAATATATTTTATTGTTAAACTAACGCAGTTAATGTAGCATTGTGATGTAGATCAGCGTATGTTTGCATCGCATGGCATGAGTCGAACGTTATCATCGAGGCACCAAATTAGTTCACAATAATCGTTACCTTAGCGTTCTCTAAATTAAATAGTAAATAGATAATCACTTACGTACTTAATACCTAGTTACTAGGATGCATTTTAATGACGCATTATATGAAATACAATATAAAATAGGCATATTTACATACTTTTCTTTTAAATATTGACCAAATTTAGGAATTGGGAGTTTACTTAGATAATTGTTAAAATTCGCCTCTCTTTCGTATAAGTCCTGTTTTCTTTCCAGCTTCCGCCATGGTTGCAAGTATCGATTGCTGAGATTACGGGATATAACGAATCGTTTAAAGCGTAATGTAGTATAAAATCTATTGTGCACTTACCTCGTTTAATCTGTGTTGTTGAGTCATAGTAGGTACTTAGGTATATCACCTTATTTACTTGCCGTTTGTAGAAGAATAAGAAAACAAATGTATAAGTGGCCATAGTTTTCCTTGATTTGTACCTACTCATTATCACAGCTCGTCATTTTAGTACCTAGTTCCCAAAATGCTTTACTTGTAACTAAAATATCGTACGTAATGGTATAATATTACATATTCCACATAGGTCACATAATTGTGTGATGAACACGATCATTTTTTCTGTGTTGTCTGTCCGTGTGGTGACGGATTAAGAATACGGAGTGTCCCCACCCCTATTCATCCCGTGGGTGTCGTAAGAGGCGAGTATGAGAGCTAACGTAAGACAACCAGCACTGCAAAGAGAAGGAACCCGTCTGGCCGGCGTGGTATAGTAGGCCGGAGCCTCCTTTCTAAGGAGAGGCCTATGTCCAGCAGTGGACTATTAAGGGCTGTTGATGATGTGATGAAGATGTGTGTGTATTTAGAAATATATAAACAAGTATGTTTATTAGTATTCTGGTCATCATAATACAGGCTTTGCCTAATTTTAGAGGTGTGAAGTTATTACCTATACCTAATTCGAGTGTCATACATGTATACAAGTATTTCTGCTATGAATGTGTTTAAATAACAATGGTTTCATATCATTATACAAAGTACAGTAGGTACATTGTAGGTATTGTTTACCAACTTTGGGCCGAGGGTTCGATAACATTAGTATTGATTTTGTCAGGTATATATAGCACATAGATTAAAGTCAAAGGATTTCATAATTATTTTTGTGGAGTCGTTTGTTTTAATACATTAAATATTAAGAATTTCTAGTAGGTGTACAATATACCTTTCATTAATATATTTTATAATTAAAATTTACCGGTAATAATTAGCCTTTCTAAAACAATTAAGCAGCAATGTAAGCGTCATTTGCTTTTTGAATTTTTATAATTTAGTGTTAGCCTTGAAGAAATAAAAAGTAACCTTGATACAAATTATATTGTCGCTATTTTGCGAATTGAAGACAGGTTCTCTTATTTTAAATAATAATTCAGCTTTACTTAGCTGGCCAGTCCTGTTGATATAGGGCTTGTTTCAAGTTTTCCTTCTCTTTGCAGTGCTGTTGTCCTGCTCCCTTAGTCGGCTCTTACGACACCCACGAGATGAATAAGGGTATTGACACTCTATGTTCTTAATCCGTCACCGCATTGGCCAGCATGGTTTAGTAGGCCAAAACCTCTTTTCTAAGAAAAGGCATATCTCCAACAGTGTACTTCTAAAGTCTGTTGATGATTTTCTTAGCTGAATTATATCCTAGAAATATATTTACCCTAGAGCCAAGGAACAGGGACAGGACACGGTTCATAATTGTTACCCACAGATTATATTTATTGATACTTTTCGATTTGACTTTTTAAAGAAATTACTATTTAAAGAAGTAACCAAGACTACATACAAAATCAATTACTCATCGACTCATAATTAGAGTTCTGAGGCGACCCCCAGATAGTTAGACAACTAAATTAAAACAATATAATACATATTTACTAACTTTTACCTACGACTTCGTCCGCGTGGTGGTCGAAATCAGACATTGTAGAGAATACAGTCTTGCCTTCTTCTTCTTTTTTTTAAAAGACAACTCCCGCATCAGGAATATATCTTGTGTCGCGGGGGACTTTACAAACATACATGAAACGGACATAAAGAAAATCCAGACTCAGAACAACAATTTATGGATCACACAAGTGTCGTCCCGTGTGGGGATCGAACACACAACACTCAGCGTAGTAGGAAGCGGCGTGGCGACCGCTTCAACCACTACGCCTTTCGTGCAGTCATGGATCAACGTTATATATGTATATTCTCCATACAAAACCGCAATCCTTTTTTAGTTTTAAAAATTAATAACAACGTTTTTTAACACTTTTAATAATACTCTTTAAGTAAATACCCTTTACTGCGAGTTAGAAAACGCTACTACCAAAAATGACGATGTTGCAAATAAAATTCCAACGCCCATTTTACACTCTTAAGGGTTTAATTTTTGAAAATCCTTTCTTAGTGCACACATACGTCACCTAAGGAACATTTGTGCCAAATTTTATGCTTCTAGACCCAGCGGCTTCAGGCCTATCTCTCTAGGAAACACTCGCATTAAATTCGATTTCTTATTATTTTGTAACGGCTTTTAGGGAAATCTTAAATATGGCTGAAATTTTACCCGCGCCAGGTGCAACGTATTTAAAACCACACCTTTGGATACAAATCACCGCATCAAGGTCATTACATGCCATAGACTTATTATATAAACATGCCCATTAATATACACGCCATTGACACGTACTTTATAAATATACTTCTTAAGAAAGAACAATAGGATTGTTTATTTAAAATATGGTGCCTTAATTTACGCAGCTGGTAATGTAACACATCTTGTCTCGATGCTTGGTTCTTAAAAACAATGAAACGTATCTTATTTGCTTGAATTTACTAACTATTTTGTCTGTTGTATGATTGTCAGAAATTTAATTGCAAATAAATAGTTTTGAATGTTATGTCTATGTCCTTTTTTTTAAGAATCTAGGCTATCAAATGCACAAAAAAATGTTTTTTTTAAACTTTTGCAAGTAGTTTAAAAAGGAATTTTATAAAATTTTCAACCGTTTTGTCTGATTACGTGAAATTTAATCACGTAATACATGGCACAGCAGCGTATAAAATGGTACGAACCATTATATCAATGGTACGAACTAACATAACTTATTTTTTTCTTTTTTTGACTACATTGACGTTTATATTATATTACACTAGATATGCTGACGGCCTTTGCTGAATGATTAATTATAACGGACTCGATCGCATTTAATACTTAGGTATACACAAGCATTACATAAAATTATTTAATAAAAAATAATATTTTCTAGGTGCTGGCTGTGCAATGACAGGTCAACAAACCGAAGTAATAATAACACACTACTTCAGAGACAGGCTAACCATGGCACAACGAATCGTGAGAATGGCGCCATCAGTAGGCAACTGCCTTGTGCCCATTCTTGTCGGCTACCTCTGCTCACACTACACAGGAGACGTAGTAGTCATGATATATGGAGCCATTGTTGTGCAGAACTGCATATTCCTTGCCTCATACTCCCGACCAATTTACATAGAAAAAATTATAAGGCACACCTACAATACGTTAAGAGACGCTGTTGAGGACGAAGATGAAGTCATATTTTCTAATCAAAATTCAATACAAAACCCAGTTTCAAATGGACCTTCTCAAAGTGTACCTCCACGCGATGATGATACCACAGATGTAGTAGTGTTTAAGTCTAAAATGAACGCTGAAGAAATTATGGATCCCGCTGTTCAGTATAGAGAAAGCAGAAGTATTTCCAACGATGCAAGATTTTCCACAGACTTTAGCACTTTATCTGATGTTACTCATAATCGTTTTTCCTCCGACTTCGGTTCTCTTGATATTACTCATTACAGTAGAGTTGGCTACCGAGAGCTGGAGAATATTGACAGACAGCAGCCTCAGCCTTTATACAGAGAAACTACAATGAATGCTCCTCACGGCAGCGTGGTTTTTGCAGCTGAGGTTTCTCCAGGGACTGCTCGGAGAACAGCTTCAATTAAAAAGAATCTCATCACGATCACCAGTATGCTGCGGGATTTGAATTTCTATTTGTATGCCTTGTTACATCTCTGTACCACCTTCTCCATATTAGTTTTGGGCGTCGTGTTTCCGCCTTTAATTTGGGAGCAGAATCAATCGATGAATATTTGGTCGGTTAGTATGAAGTACTATCTAACAATTTAAACTATTATGACTTATTTATTCGTTTTATGACGTTTTTTTTTCAACGACCACACGCTCACATTTATTTTTCGAAACTTTGCCAAAGAGATGTGAGATGCAGCATTCTACTTTAACTTAATGGTGCAGAGTAACAAGTAAATTAACAATAGATGGCCTTCAATTACAGGTGTCAACCCTGATAGCAGTTTCTCATGGGTCAGCATTATGCTTCATCGTACTCTGTGTTGTGCTGCCCAATTCTATCAATGAGAAGGCAAGACTGTGTGCAGCATTTTGCGTCGCTGGTGCCACAGGATTTTATGGTGAGCACATCTGTAACCATATTTTTATGTTACACATCTCGTCTTAACTGATAAAGTAAATTCTAATATCTTGAACCTTCATTATTAAATAAGGACTCTTGCCTTAATTATGTAGTAAACTCACATACGGGTTTTATATATTATGACCCAGGTGGGTATCTCATAGAGATCATAAGTCTAAGTTATATTTAATGTCAAGAATCTTCATGTTTCTAGTGGTTTATTGGAATCAGTAGAAGGGTGAATTCTGTTTAATTCTGAATAGTTCATGTAGTGGTTTAAGCGGCCACCTCGCTGCTTCCTACTGCGCTGAGTGTTGTGGGTTCGATCACCACATGGAAAAACACTTTGTCTGATCCACGAATTGTTGTTCTGAGTCTGGAGGTTCTTCGTGTCCGTTTCAGGAATATTTTCCGCATATTTTTATATAAAATCACTGTCTCTTTCAGGCATCACTCTATCCACGAGCAAATCTCTATTGGTAGTATGGTGTATGCTAGCCAGCTTCTCAACAGCCGCCTCCAATATACTTCAGCAGCCTCTTTACAACAGTACCCTCAACGACTTTGACACCACGGCAACCATGACAGCTTCTAACGCCATAGTCGCCATTTTTATTATGATATGGTCATTGGTGTACAATTATGAATATAAAATATGTTTTTTGACCGCAAGTGTGCTGCAAACGGTAACTGCGTGTATGTTCTTTGCTATTTCGTTTAGGAGAAGGAGGTAGTTCAGAAAATAATATAGTCAGTCTACTTAATGTGAAAGTTTGCATAGACAGAGGCGAATGCAAGGACATTAATAACGGATTAATGTATCAATTTTTCGAATTCCTCCAAGCTCGGCAGATCTAACACAAAAAAGAAACAACACTGCAAATGGTGCTGTTTAACCGAAATCTTCTATAAAAGAAATATAGATTTAATATATATATTTTTGCAAACCCTCATGGCAGAACTTTGTTCATTGTACATTCTAGATTAAGTTTTATTTTTAATTGTATCAATTTTTATACAGACGTATACTCTTAAATAACATAGCTATTTGAAAATATACATGGCTATAAATAATTTATTCCCAGATTTTTATTTTATTTTATTTTGACGATACTCAATGTGCATTTCAGACTTACCTTCCGGTAAGTCTGAAATACCTTTTCGAAAATGTTTGCCAAATCTTTTAGCAACATGACAATACTAAAAATAACATGTAAAATTTACGAATAATTTAAAATTGTAGGTATGTCGGCTATTGGCCTAATACACTCATGGCAAATGGGTAAATCAAAATTCATAGTGTGATTGTGTATCATTTCGTGAAAACAAACAAAATTGTATTACAGGAAACGGCATACGAGGCAAAAGTGTAAAGGGCATAATAGGGCCCAGTGTGAGTTTATTTCACATCGACTCACGGTGACCGCGTTCGGCCTGCGTTGCGATTGGCCTACACTGAAATCTTCACCAATCGTCGGGTCTCCGTCGGGAGCGAGTTAATGTGAAATAAACTTGGACTAGGTCCTCATATAGTGCCAATCATACCTTTTTTTTCCGTGCGGAAATCCCCCCGGATACCACCTATCGGTGGCATGTCGGACTCGAACCGACTAAAACCGCACGCCGTCTCGGGTACTAAAAGCCGGAGAACCAGGTATACCATAGAAAGGAAGTCCCTGGTGCAGTGCCAATCATACCTGATTTTTTTTTCAGTTCTTAATGTTATTGATACTTATTACTAAGAGATGTCAGATTCAGATATTATACATCATATACGATTGTTGTAAGTGTGTGATAGTTGTTGTAAGTTAAAAGTAACACATATCTTGTTACTTTTAACTTACACCAAATGTGTGCGTGGCAGCTGATACACACAGCGATAGCGGAAAGGAACTTAGTGGCCAACATATGTAAAACCTACTAAAATAAGTCTACCTATCTAAAAATATCATAAACAAAGAGAAACTTCTAAGACTTCCATAACTTCAATTATGTACGAAAACTTAATTTTTATAATTTAATTTTGTAGATTTATTTATAAAATAACCAACGTAAATTATACGATTATAGTATTATGTACTATGTGGTGTTGCCATATTAAACTGTTAATAAAATATTCTACTTTTTTATTACTACTGCCCAAAACACAGTGTTATGTATAAGAAAAAAACTCATCTTTTTATTATAATTATTGCATCATACCTTAGAATTTCCTGATGTAGTTACAATGGCAATTCAAACATATGTACTTATTACCTATCGTGAGTTTTTTTTTTGCCATGCCATAAGGGGGCAAACGAGCAGACGGGTCACCTGATGGTAAGCAACCACCGCTGCCCTTGGACACCTGCAACTCAAAAGTCACAAGTGCGTTGCTGACCTTGGAGTCCCTCCCGCTCGAGTCAGCGAGAGGGGGGATTTGGGCTCCGGTAACCTCACTCACCCAGTGAAAGGCAACGAAAGAATTACTTAACACCGGTTTTCTGTGAGGCCGTGGTATCGTGGTATCACTCCGGTCGCGCCGGCCCATTCGTGCAGAATTTAATTAATGCCCGTAAACATAATTTTATACTATGGAAAGCGATAGTTTAAAAGGAGGCTACACGTTTCAGAAAAAAAACAAATAGTGGAAAAATATTGTTATATATTTCAATACAAAAACATATTTTAATTTACAGTTGCTAAATAAAATAATTATTTTTTCAAGTTCATACATTTAACGTTAAAAAGACAGTGTCAATCTTTAAGCAAACGTCAGTGTCAATGTATACTGTCAATATAGGATATGCCGCCAAAATACGAATGTGCAAGTGAATTTATTTTCTGGTTTTCTATATTTTTTTGCATTTCCGGCCTTTTAGTGTTTTTTTTTCGAACGATTTGGACTGCGTTACTACTTTACTTAAGTATTTTTACTACTTTATACAAAAAATATAACCTACCATAGTTTCGAGGTCATATTTCTTGATTATGCAATTGTCAATAAAAACTGAAACTATGGCCGTCTAAAAGTTCATATTTATACCCAGCTAATGGCACTAGTTTAAAACTCGTTTAACCATTTATCATGATTTGAGCCCAACGATGTAGTTAAGGAGGTAACCTCCTTTCTAAGGAGAGGCCTATGTCCAGCAGTGGACTATTAAAGGCTGTTGATGTGTGTGTGTGTGTGTGATGTAGTTAAAAATTATCCACTACCAACTGTTAATGGCTATAACAGTTAAATAAAACAAATACATATGTGTTAACCTTTAAATAAAACAAATATGTGTTTTTTAATCTATATTTTCATATTATTACATAATTGAAAATAAATAAGGATCCTAATATAAAATCACATTACAAATGTGTGTACCCTCATTTTAATATTACCTAATTAAAAATAAATTGAAATTAATACATAAATTAATAGGAATGTTTTTTGTGATCATTTTCACAATATTTTAGTAAAAGCAAATTACCTTGCGTTTATTACTTTTCAGTAACTAATATATAAACCTATAGCCCATTCGCTTTAAGACAATAGTGACGCATCAATCAAGCGGCGCATCCTGACCAATCACGTTTCAAGCTTTTGTACGAAACGATAATTTCCCGGAACCTGATTGGTTACCTGAATGGTGACAGGGCAGGTTTGATCGATGCGTCACTATTTTCTTAACGCGAATGTACTCCAAACTTCTTCGATCTCCAAGAAATAGTATATATCGTACTCTTTCAATACCACCGGGAAAAACAAGGACAACATGAGATCTAATGTTAATAATTAACTTTATTAAAAATCGACTTCAATACGCCTACATCATGACGAATTGTAATAATCCGTATTCTTCATTCCTTAATTTTTACCCTTTTGGGTGGAATTTTATCCTCAAACCAGTTCATTAATAACGGAGTTCTTAGCAAATATAAAACACCGAATTGGGAACCAGCTCCTTATTTTAAAAGTCCGTTAAATGCTTGTCCGTCAACGCCTTCTTAGTCAACTACTTTCTTTGACTGCACGGATGGCGTAGCGGTTCAAGCGGTCGTCACGCCGTTTACTACTACGCTGAGTGAGGGTCCGATCCCCACATGGGACGACACTTTGTGTGATCCACAAAGTGTTGTTCTGAGTCTGGGTGTTATTTATGTCTGTTTCATGTATGTTTGTCCACACAAGTCCACAGCGACACAGGATATTATCCTAATGTGGGAGTTGTCTTTTTAAAAGAAAAAACTTAGAGTCCATAGACTATTAATAAAAACATTATTGCATTTTACTTACTACTGTAAGACTTCTTTGACGTTACATACACGATATGTATCAATTAAACAAAATATTATAAGCTCATTACAGAGCTTTAAGTTAAAAAACTTGAAACAATTTTTATTAAGAATAGTTTTAACACTAGTCTCTGAAACTGTCAGTCAGATTTGAATATTCCTTTTAGTTTTGTTACTGTTCATAGAGAAATCTCTCTATAAATTGACGACCAGGTGTCGTAGTGGTTTGTGTAACAGACTGCTATTCTAAAGGTCGTGGGTTCGATTCCCGCTCAAGTCTAACATTTGTGTGCATGAACATTTAATGTTTGATTTGGTTTAGGTGTTTCTATGTATAATAAGTATGTATTTGCAAAAAAAAAACAAAAGTATTTATATCAGTTGTCTAGTACCCATAGTACAATCTGCTTAGTTTGGGACTAGATGGCGTTGTGTGAATGTTGTAGAATAAAACAAAAAAAGCGATTAGGAGCGGAGCAGTGACCATAGAAACGCAAGTAAAACTGCGAACAACAGCTAGTTATAATAGTGGATCAGTGTTATATTTGATTCTTTTTTCCATTTTTCAATAAGAGTGAAAAATCTTTGGTTATAATTAATTTTATTATAAAAAATACCCTTCAAACAAGAATGACCATAGATTTGAGCCAATTATTAAAAAAAAACGTTCCGGGTGTTCGTATGTCATGTTACCTATTATTCATATAGGAATCTGATTTGATTAGCTACAATATAAAATAATTGCACAAGCCCAAGATAAGTATAAAAATATATAATCAGACATGTAAATTATTTGAAATACATATATCTATACAAATAAATAAAATTGAAGTGTCTGTATGTAATGTCAAAATAATAAGGGTTTTCATGCTCACACACAAATATTTGCACGATACCTATGCCTAAAGCAGTTTAAATATTTTTGTCTGTCTGTCTGTCTGTTTGTTCCGGGTAATCTTCTGGCCTGGTATTCTTGCTGGACCGATATTGATAATATTTTACTACCGGATAGCTGTCTTTATAAGGAGAAACTTAGGCTATTTTTCACTTGGCAAAACCCTATAAAATTTTGCCCGGTCCGGGAATCGAACCCACTAACGCAGCGCTTTTCAAATTCCACGCGAACGAAAGTCGCGGGAACCAGCTAGTTTGAAATTAAAATGCATTTTTATTTTGCATTTGAAATACCTTTTTTTTCAAAATATATTTAGTATATTACTTGAAATACTTTATCCAAATATTTAGTATTTGTAAAATGCAAAGTCGTTTTGTTAATTTTTTTCAATTCATATTTCTGTTTTTTTTTTCTTAAATGCAGAATTATTTATGAACGCACCCATCCTAAATGTTGCAATAATGCCAACAAATCAAAGTATGTATTTTTATATCCAGTGAGCGAGCTCCTACCAATACTCCGATTCTTCAGCAGCCAGTGGTAACGCCAATATTACTAAATACGGGGCAACACTACAATATTTAGAAGAAGAAAACAATACTTTAGAATTCTTGAACACATATCCAAATATAAAAACTCTTCCTTAAATATAATACCTGCTTATCGAGTTCTGCGCCTATTGAGCGACTACTTTTGTTCCGTGGAATGATTATGAGGCCCCATAGACGGTGTATTATTGGAAAAAGGTATTTTGCCGCCCATAGACAACTGCAACTCAATCAGTCAAGAAGGGATTTTGGGCTTCGGTAACTTAACTCAGTCGGTCAAGTGGCTGTCGGCTCAAACAAGGAATGGATTGCCCAGGTATAGGCACACAGGTTTTCTGTGACGCCGTGGTATCACTCCGGTCGAACCTGGCCCATATATTCCGAAGTATAGCTGTCCCATGATAAAAATCCGTTACTCAAACTCTTTGCCCTAAATTACCTTCGTCCCCGCGATAGGCAGGTGGCCACTACATAAGCCAGCCAAAAAATAATTCACTGACGCAAAATTAAAAAAAAAATGGCTAGGTAATGACATTCTCAGCATTGCAACTGATCAAATCGCCATTCTCATATAACTTCGTGACGAAACATTCACACCAATCCGCTTACAGATTTCATTACAATCCGACCAATTTAAAAATAACACCAATTATAAATATTTAACTTAAAAGATCCATCATCTCATTATCGGTTAGTTTCTTTACATTATTATTAGTATTTTGATTACTATTTGCTGTTGGTAGAAGAGATTCAAAAGCTGACCAATCTTGCTTCACGTTTGATTGACTTGTCTGGTTATTCGCCCATTTATTGTTGAAATTCCCTGGAGATGCAGTCCAGGCGTTAGAGGTCAATGCTAACTGGTTGTCGAAGTTTTGATAACTATAGTTCGGCGTTATCCCGGTTGGGTTGTATTGGTTGGTAGTGGTGGGTAGGCTCTGGTTGCTGGTTGATTGCTGTGATGGTTGGTTGGTCGGTTTTAGGAATTGGTTCAGATTTGATTGCAAAAGAGAGTTGGTGAGGTCTACTGGCTTGCGGATTTGCTTGGGTGGGGCTGGGATTGCGGTTGGTTGGGGTTGGTGTGAGAACTTTCTGACGGTTTCTTGCTGTTGTGCTATCCTGTAATTGAGAAATTGTTTTTTAGTAATTTAATAACTCCTAGGTACGATAAGCAATTAAACCTGAGGTCTTATCAGGTGGGTGATACTTCTCTTGTTAGATTTTGGATAAAGTAAAAAATAAGGCAGGAACGATGGTTCGTCATTTTAAAAGTTAGGAACACGAAATAATAACGCGAGCGAAACCGCGGACATTGGCTTGTTAATTTGTAAATTGAAATTAAAATTTTCCGGTTACCTATAGATAAGGTAACCTTTATAGTAAAGTAAAGTACGGTAAAACATACTTTATTGGCAGAGTCATAAAGCTTTTTCTTTTTTTTATCCAATGTTCACGTTACATTACATCAACTGCCCTTAAAAGTCCACTGCTGGACATAGGACTCTCCTTAGAAAGGAGATTTTGGCCTACTGTAAAGTAGTAAAGGGTTGTGTCAAGTTTTCCTTCTTTTTGCTGTTCTGAGTAGTTTAGTTAAAAATTAGTAAGTAGAAGTAGTTTAAAAGGTAAATAAATAGTAAAAATAATAATTTAAATTAGTAGCCTGCGTAGTTTAAAAGTAAAAATAAATAAATATATTGTTTAAAATAAATACTGTACCTCTGTTTCTCTTCGATACTAAGATTTCTGCTTTCATTCATCGTCGGCAATATGTCAGGTTTTTCTTTAGGCTGGCTATGGGAGAATGTGTCCATGTTCAACCCTGAGAATACCTTGTCCAAGTCCGTGGAGGTTTTAGCCGCTTCTGGAGACACCAGCGTGTCTGCTGTTGAGGGTAGATTGTGTTCTAGTGATCTGGAATAAGAAATAATAATTTTAGACATCATCAATCATCATCAACAGACTTAAGTAGTCCACTGCTGGTCCCCTTTTATTAATGGTGTAGAATAGTGCAATATAATAATAGTACCGCAGTGATGACTCCATGATACGGTCGGAGGAGTAATGAAAGATCAATTTTGCTTATCTGCGGACTGCTATTACTTAAGTATAGTATTTCATCACATCACATCAACAGCCTTTAATAGTCCACTGCTGGACATAGGCCTCTCCTTAGGAAGGAGGTTTTGGCCCACTACACCAGGCTAGCCAGACCTGTTGGTATAGGGTTTGTTTCAAATTTTCCTTCTCTTTGCTGTTGTCCTGCATAGTTCGCTCCCTTAGTCAGCTCTTACAACACCCTCGGGATGAATAGGAGTGATAAAACTCCGTATTCTTAATCCGTTACCACACGGACAAAGTGGTGACACCTACAACTAAAGTGCCACAAGTACGTAGACACCCATGAATTACACCAGAAGTAGGGGAGAGGATTTCGGCCTCCAGGACAAGATGACACACTTACTTAAAACTAGCGTTAAAGTACCCTATGTTACTCGCTGATAATGTACCTTTCTATTGGTGACAGAATTTTTAAAATCGTTTAAGTGGTTTAGGCGTGAAAGCGTAACAAACAAACAAACTCACTTATACATTTATAATATAAGTAAGTAAGAATAATAATAATAATAACATAACCGTACAAGACAAAATTAACAAAACCACCTACCTAATTGATATTGCAGTACCGAATACACACAATCTACAGAAAACCATCACAGAAAAAAGTAGCAAATACACAGAACTAAAAGAAGAAATAATACGAATCTGGAGACAGGAGAAAGTTTACATAGTACCCATAGTTCTATCTACAACAGGAGTTATACCTAAACATCTTCACCATAGCCTTAAATTAATCAATTTAAATGAATCCGTGTATTTTAACCTACAGAAAGCAGCAATATTGAACACTTGCCGAACAGTCAGAAAGTTCATGGATATTGAAGAGAACGGAACAGCACAACACACACAGCAACCAACATCTACATAACAAAGACACACACCTCACTGTATTTACTTGGTTTTGGCCCGTAAATACAGTTGAAACCAGCCGTGAGCTGAGAAAAATTAAGATTAGAAAAATAATAATAATATCTTTATTAATTTCTTAAACATTCTTAAACAAATAAACTCACTTGGACTCATTCTGTATAGAGTTAAGCTGTTCTAGTTTAGCTCTGTGCTCCGTCTCCACCTTGGAAATCATCTGCTTCACCAGAGTTACTAGAGCGTTGAACTGGTTCAACGTGAGCCCGTTCTCCACGCAAAGAGGGATCAGGAACGGTAGGACTTTTGTGGCCATAATTTCCTTTGTGATGCCGAGCTTGGAGTGGCTTAGAGCTAACTTATATATACCTGTAATATAGAAATAAAATATTGCTATAGTTAAACTAATCACAGGCCTGTTGGTTCAGCGTCGAGCAATACTGACTGAGCTGATGAGCTAGAGGTCGTGGGTTCAATTCCCAACTAGGATAAATATGATGTGAGAGTCTGGGTGTAATTTATTAATATTATAAATGCGACACTGTGTCGGTCTGTCTGTCTGTTACCTCTTCACGCTTAAACCGCTAAACCGATTTATATGAAATTTGGTACAGAGATCGTCGAAGTCCCGGGAAAGGACACAAAGGGTTTTTATCCCAGAAAACATAATGTAAGGGGGTAAAGAGGGGGGTGGAAGTTTGTATGCGGAATCAATCGAACAAAAATCAAACTGCTCAACCGATTTAGATGAAATTTGGAATGAAGATACTTTGATTGTTTAGGAAAGACATAGGCTTAGTCTGTGGCAAGACATAGGCTTCTTTTTACCGCGATAACCGACACTTACGCGTGCGAAGCCGCGGGCGAAAGCTAGTCTTATATATAAAATTCTCGTGTCACAATGTTCGTTCCCGTACTCCTCCGAAACGGCTTGACCGATTCTCATGAAATTTTGTGTGCACATCGGGTAGGTCTGAGAATCGGCAACCATCTATTTTTCCCCTAAATGGTAAGGGTGACCCATCCCTAATTTTTTTTTTTGTTTTGCAATACAACGTTTGCCGGGTCAGCTAGTTTATAATATGTATGTATTTGGAAATATAATGTGCTTGACAGCAGCGGGCTCGACTCTCATTGCTCGAATTTTACTCCCACTTATATACAGTGGGAGTAAAATTGTAGTGGGCAAAGTGTAGGCCTTTTTAATACACCGCTGTCTAACCTGAAGATGAAGACTTGAATGTGTGTATATTAAGCTAATAAAATTATAATATTTAATTGCAACGATGTTTTTAAATTACTTTTATCAGGCGAGTGAAGCCACAGGCAGTAGCAGCCACCGAACCAAGATGGTTAAAATACCGCTCGATCACCTTCAAGGTCAAAGATGATTGACGCACTCAAAAATCACTTTACTTGTTGCGCATAAACATGACACTTTTTATGAATATTATACATAAGTATCAAAATCGTGTGACCGTGAAACATTCTAGAAATGCACCGACTAAAAACATATCGCGTTCCACTTACTAATAACGGTACTCTGTTAGATTTCATTTCTTAAACTTATTTAACTAGTAAAATGCAAGCCACGCTAATAATGTTCAACTTATTAAGCACAAGCTATTCCTAGCAGTTTCATCTGTGTTTATGGCAGTGGCCATTCAACATGAAGCTGCTAGAAACAGCAAAGCAGTGGCTCTGCCCCTAAGAGCCATAGCCGGATGCTACAAAGCATATAACCTTCCTCAAAGAATACTTTATTAATAATTTTATTGACTGATTGATGTGGTTAAAAATTTAAACACAAAAACGCGGCTGTCTGATTTCAAACTAGGCAATAACCAGGCGGTTAATAAATTTACTTATATACCTACTACTAAATATTTATATATTCATAAATATTTATTACACATAGGTAATACAGTATATATTGATTTAAATATTTAATCTGTTGCCTTATTAATCAAAGTGTGCTTGTGTTAGAGAGGCTCGTGGCTAAGTGGTAACCGAGTAGGTTAACACATTGGAAAGTTAAGCAATCCTATCCAGGTCAGTCTATGGATGGGTGACCATTCTTAACACATCTCTCCACTGCTGTCCACTGCTGGACATAGGCCTCTCCTTAGAAAGGAGGTTTTGGCCTACTATATCACGCTGGCCAGTCGGGTTGGTATAGGGTTTGTTTCAAGTTTTCCTTCTTTTTGCAGTGCTGTTGTTCCTGTGCAGTTTGTTCCCTTAGTCGGCTCTTACGACACCCACGGGAAGAATAGGAATGGTGACATTCCGTATTCTTAATCCGTCACCACACGGATAGTGTGTTCAGTACTTCTTGTATATTTAGGATACTCTAATATAAATCTGTACGAGCTCGTATTATAAATAAAATAAAAAAATCTTTTAAAGGATTCATGTTTAGAATTTATAACAGGCTCACCTAAAATCCCCATCAACACAGCCGGCTCCCTCGACGGTATTTGCGGCAGAAACGGAATAATCTCATCCAACACCAACCATTTATCCAAATGCTCCAACAATTTGCCCAAACACAGTAAACAGTTCACTCTCACTGATATGTAATTTGTCGTCATGCACAACTTCTTGATACGTGGCAAAAGCGCATTCTTCATCGCAGGATAGTCTATCAACGATGCAAATGTAGGCAGAACTGAGAGACACAATTCTTGTATTTGTTGAGCATCCGATTCCAACGCTCGATACAACATTGGCAGAATGTCCGATTTGACTTCTTCCCCTGGCGTCAGTTTTAACAGCAACTCCATCTTTTGCATAAATATCAGGAGTATCTGTATGGGATCTTGGATTAACATCACTGGTTTTAATACTGGTAGTATGTATTTTATGAATTCTTCTTTAGTAGAACTCTCAGCTATAAGTAACACGTTTGGAAGCACGAACGGCACCATAGGTGGGTTCACAAATTCTCTCGTGAGACATGGCAGGATTCTGTAAATACATATGCGGTGAGGCATTTTCTGTATAATCTGCGGTAATCCCTTATAGAATTGTGATTTCTGGAGGTTGTCCCATTGGAATAAGGAATCTAAGTAGTTGAGAGTTTTTACGCCGACGTCTTCAAAGTATGATATCTGTGAAACATACAGTACTATTGAAAATATATGCAAGTATAACATCCCGACTATTGTAAAAAAAATAACGTTCTGAAAAGCATATTTTTCTCTGACCTTTTTCGCGCTTGATAAATTAAATAGCGGCAATTAAAAAAAATGGAATTAGGACCTGATGCACATTGATAACTATCAATGATAATCGGCAGAACGACGATACAGGCCTCTGGCGGGTCCAAATCTAGGCAGTCTTTTTCAAAACATGCACGACCACAGGTCCATGTTTCAAAGATTATGTGGATACTTAATTCCTTAACGAATCTAAAACTATGAAACTATCTATTTTTAAAAATGTGACATACCTTCAGAAACTGATGAGGATCCGGCCTCAATTCTGGAGTAACATTCAACATTAGTTTAACGTATTCCCTTAAGCCATCCGCCACACAAGACAGTCTAGACGGTTGCAATTGTCTGATCTCGTTCACAAATCGCTTAAACTTAGTATAGTCCGTTCCCACGCTACCTAATGTCTGATGCCCCGTACTGTGCAACGCGTATATCACCATACCTAAAGAATATATATCACTGCTAGGTGAATGTGTGGCGGAAAGAACGTTTTCTGGTGCTAAATAATCCAGAAGTGGCTGGGTCAACGGATGCATTGCTTGACAGTATTCGTTGAAAGGCCAGAACGGGGCAGATCCTGATGCACTTTGATTAGCAACGCAAAAATCGAAGCCAAATATCTTCCAAGCTCCTTGCTGGTTTACTATAATAGACTCAGGACAAATATTGCGATGAAGGAGTTTGACGTCATTGTGGAGAAATGTTAGGCCTTCGGCAATTTGCATCAGACCGTATTTAATTTCGAGCTCATAGAGTTTATAGTTTGCCAAATGAGATGGTATTGGAACTGGCATGTTTTCTGTATTACCAAGGATGTTAGCAAGACTTGCAAATATAGGTTCTGTGGCGAAAGCAAGACTTTCTCTACTTTCTTCGAGACTGTGTTGTACGGTAAGAATTTGAGGGTGCCGTAGTTTTGTCAGTTGGACTATACCACGTTTTAAAGTCTCTAACATAATATCTCGATCGCCTTTTGTCCATCTGTCAAGTTGTTTCTTCTCAAACACGAATATGGAAGCTTCTTGCTTAGTCGATTTTTTGTAACCTTTGTACACTTTCCACAGTAAACCTGCAAGGAAACAATAGCTGTTAAAAAAAAACAATGTAATGTTGTCAATGGCGCTATTTGATTAGTAAAGAAGAGTTAAGTTAAAAACAAAAGAACAATTTACCATACGACGTGATTACACCCGAATAAAAGTAGCAGAATGTAACAAACGGTAAGTAAAAAAAGTAATGCAGTATCTTGATAACTGTTTAGATATTTAACTCTATCTTTTAGATAATAATCATTTCTTGGTTGACATATTTTAAGCGAAAACAGCACAGATATACACCTTCTAATGTATAATAACTACATAATGGATACAAAGCTTTTGCATACGGCTCCGCCCGCCTGTATGCCGGTTATCCGTGTATAAAGTAGCCTATGTCCTTTCTCAAGAATCAAAGTATCTCCATGCCAAATTACATTAAACTCTGTTCAGGGGTTTTGCCGTGAAAGCGTAACAGACAGACAGAGTTACTTTGGCATTTATAATATTAATAATAGGGATTAGAATACATATTTGAATTCTTAGATATGCAACAAACTTTTGCCCAATGGGACCTGGAGGCGAGAGCCCTTGCGGCTTTGTATCGGTGTGGCGCAAGGAGGCGCGGGAGTTGGGTCTGAGTCCTGAGACTTGAGAAATCGAGGATCAGAAATCCCAGCTCCGCCAGGTCCTCGTAGAGGAGTGGAAGGAACGACTTGGGCAACCGAACGCCGGGCACGCCGTTATTGCGGCGGTAAGACTCGTTATGGAGGATTGGCTCGAGAGGCGTCACGGAACCATCTCATACCGATTGACGCAGGTGATCACCGGAAAGGGTTGTTTCGGAGATCACTTGTGTCTGATCCGCAAGGAGCCAACGCCTGAGTGCCACCACTGCGATGGCCGGACCGTGGACACGGCCCTGCACACGTTGGCAGAATGCCCGGCGTGGGTGGAGCAGAGGCGTGACCTCGTGGTGGCCATCGGGGTGGGAGTTCTCTCGCTCGGTAGTATGATTGCAGCCATGGTACGGAGCGAGAGTGCGTGGAACTCCGCCGTCTCCTTCTGCGAGCAAGTTATGCTTGCGAAGGAGATGGCGAAGCGGGATCGGGAACTTAGAACTCTCCCAGCCAGCCAGGTCGGTTCGAGTGGGACATAATCACCCCGGTGCATTTAGACCCAATGTAGGTCTAAATGCAGAAACCAGAGCAGTCTAACAATACTACCACGAAGAAAAAAATTGCATCATTTGTATGCAATAACAATTTTTTTTTCAGAACGATTATAATTTTTTGAGGCATAGATAAATAGAATTTCCTATGATAAGTAGGAATTCTAAATTACAACAATTCAAACAGTCACATTTCATTTTCAATGTATTTGATTTGTTGTCACTAACAAAATTGTATAAAACATTCTACAAAATAATAAATACTAAATACTAATGAAAACTCATTTCAATTTAATTTTAACTCAATTTAAGAAAATAGTTATAATACTAAATACTATTGGTATTTAGTATTAAACCTATTTACCTAAATTATCTATACAAATAAATAAAATTGAAGTTTCTGTTTTTACTGTGAAAATAATAGGGTTTTTTCATGCTTACACGGTTATTTGCACAATCCCTATGCCTAAACACCAGTTTACATATTTTTTGTCTGTCTGTCTGTGTGTTTGTTCAAGTTAGTTTTCAAAACAGCTGGATCGATAATAATAGAATATATAACTAACAATATTAATAGGTAATAATATTTTACTAACAGGTAGCTGTCTATATGAGGAGTGATTTATGCTATTGTTCATCTCAGAATAACTCATAAAATTCTTCCCGGTCTGGGTATCATACCCTAGGCCTCATGGACTGCAGTCCCTTTTTAAATTCGCGGGCACCAGCTTGCATTATATAAAAATGTTAAGTTGGTTTATGTTTGCTTAAAAACTCAAAGAGTTTTGAGCTCAAATTTTGACATAATATATCAACCGCTTCAAGGATTGTTGTTACGTTCGATAGGTGTGGTTCTTTTAGAAATAAATAACGAGAATTATGAACTTAGTAACTTTTATATTGTAAAGTGACTTAAATAATTATATTAGAGTGCATTGCTCACAACACATGCTGACAAGAAAAGGCAGTTCAAGATGGCGGCTGGCTAATCGTAGGGAGGCGACCCGGGCGCCTCGTGCATACTGCAGGGAAACCACAACATTGTTTTTATCTATTTTTAGCATCAATTTTGTTCCTTAATTCTTATCAGTGCAATAACAATAGGCCACAGCGCACACAGCCACAGCGTGACAGGGTACAGATATTAAATATTTTTTTGTATATATCAGCTTGATTATGTACTTTCATTGCTACAACATTTTCTCTAAGAAGTCCATCTTATTTCATTTATACTAGATGCTATAATTTGGTCATCCTAATTTTCTATTTATATGTTTCAGTTCTATTAAAATAAATTAGTTTTGTGAGGAATAATTGCATATATTATTATGTATAATGCAATCACTACTATTCTTATTATTATTTAAATAGCTGTTATGTTTGAGAAGTATTTGATGACTCCTTCTGCAACATTTAAATAACACCTAAACTAAGGAGGACCCTGATCTCATCTTTGTCCATCAGAATGTTGCCTGTAAGAAATTGCTTTTAGCAATGAGGCTATCTGGCTGTCCTTTAAGTATTTTTACTATATGTCTTGTTTAAATTCTGTTGGTGACTAATATTTTTATTTTGTATTTCCTTTTATTAAATTATACCACACTCAACTATTAGGAATAGAGTTGTATTCATTGACGCCGATAAAATGTATTACTTACTCCGAATGTATCAGTAACTCAGTTATAGCTCACTCGCTAAAGTGCGCTGATCTTTGTTTCATGAGTGAGTGAGAGTAAAAATAAATGAGTGAGATAGATCATGGTTCAGTTCATGCTAATTTAGTTTCTTAAGGGAAAATGTACATTATTTCTATAGTTTCAAAGTTTAACATTACTTTTTATTATTTGAGAATGAAGCCTGCTAAGTTTGAAGGAAAATAAATCATTATACAACCTAATAAAGTATTAAGTTTTTTTTTATAAAATTTCTTATTTTCCATTATTTTATAAAAGGGTAGGAAGGATGGAAGGGAATAAAAATTGTATTTCAAAATAATGGTTAAAAATGAAGTTTCAAGAACTAATTTTTGGGTTGTGAATGTATACCTGGTTCCCCGGCTATTAGTACCCGAGACGGCGTGCGGTTTTAGGCGGTTCGAGTCCGACATGCCACCGATAGGTGGTATCCGAGGGGATTTCCGCACGAAAAAAAAAAAGAAGGTTAATATGTGAATAAAGATTTATATGAGCAAGAGAGGTTTGAAGTGAGTGATATAAATTTACTGAGCTAAACGATCTAGACGAAAAAATGAATGAATCAATCAATTGAATTGGAGCACTGAACTAAATGAGTGATATATTTCTTTAGAATGAAACAATATGTATCTATCTTTTCAGCGCATCACTAATTGGGACGAGCGAAAAATCACCATCGATATTCTACTATAAGTAATTATATTTGTTTTTTTTTCATCAACTTTTATACTGGTAGTAAACGAACAACCTAGATAAACAACCACAATTCAGCTCCATAATAAGCCCTTGTGATAGCTAATCGGTAATTTTATGAAGCGGTTTCTAAAACGAATTATATAGATGTAACTTCAATGTAGTCTATTGTTATATTGAGGCTTTTTACCTGGACCAGCGCTTGCTATAAATTGAGTAGCTTCGAACTCTCTCGTTACAGGGTTGCCGGGGAGTACGCCTGACAACTGCGACACTGTATTACTAACCGACGAATAGAACTTGTTAAACACTTCCATGATTGAATAAAACCTTTAACTTATCAGTGTTTTGTTAAAATAAAAATCATTACGACGGAACGAGACAGACACCCACGGACGTGAACTGTCAGTTTGATGACTTTGATGTATTAGTGTACGTTTATTATCGCAAAAGTCATACCGTGTAAAAATAGTTTAGGGGAATGTCACTGACTTAATAAATTGTTGAATTAACTTTTACATTAAATAAAAATCAACAACAACATTATAAATGGTTTATTTTTTTACGTTGCTATCTTTAAAATGGTACAATACACCGTAGTAAAAAAACTACTTAAATTATTATTTTAAAAGGTTATAACTTAATCAATATAATATTTAAAAATAAAATCGACTTCGACTGTGTTGCTTGATAAGCCCCGATACCTACCCGAAATACCCTTCCCTTTTTATTTTTTTAGCAGTTTCAAACAATATTCCAATGAATTCGTCCTTCGTTAATTTTTAATAACCCTATAGGAACTTAATATTTGCCGGGATGTTGCACGCGTTGATGATTAATTATGTCAATTTTAATCCATATCTTCTGATTTTGAGTCTGTCTCTAACATCAAATATACAATCTTTCACATTCGGGTATCATTTTATTAGAATAAATTACATTAAGTGGCGTAAGACAAGTTGCTGTATAGTCTTCATAGTTGGACACTCTCGCCAGAGTTGTCGTGGCCTTGCTACATTATAGTAATCTGTGGTCGTGGCTGTTAAGGGGGCTCGAACGCTCGGTGGCAGCTCTTCGTCGCCGCTCACGTCTTGCAATGTCCCTCCATTTGCGAGCACATTGTGCTGCAGTCGATTCGGTTGTATCGTTGCTTTAATAAGGTCGATCCAGTGGATTAAGGATTTACACCGGGCACGTTCCAGCCTGCAGATATTAAAATTTCAAAATAAAAAAAATCTCATTTTATAGATCTCAATTAGCCCTTTCGACCTACGTTAATTAATTTATAAGCCCCTTTTTCGTTTTCCCAGGAAAAATAGAAATATAATTTTCAATTTTCCTCTACTTAAAATAGCCATATCTCTTTGAAAAATGATTATTTTTTACTCTACCAAGCGTAAAAAAATTGCCCTTGCGCTAATTTAATTTCTTCTAAACTTTCTTCTAATTTAATTTTATAATAATTAATAAAAATAAATAAAATAAATATTAAATAAATATTAAAAATAAATATTAAATTATAAATATAATTTAATATTAATTTCTTCTAATTTCTTCTTAAAAACTTCCCGAAACAGTAATATAATAACTTTTAAAGTCCTTCCGTGCGTGTAGCATCAGCTGATTTCTGTCTGATTCTGTCGCGCATGCGCATAATTGGCTTGGAAATGCCACGACGGTTTTTTACTGTTTACAATATTAATTATTGAATATTTTTAAGAATTAGCACGCGGGCAAATTAAATTAGCGCAAGGGCAATTTTTTTACGCTTGGTAGAGTAAAAAATAATCATTTTTCAAAGAGATATGGCTATTTTAAGTAGAGGAAAATTGAAAATTATATTTCTATTTTTCCTGGGAAAACGAAAAAGGGGCTTATAAATTAATTAACGTAGGTCGAAAGGGCTAATTGAGATCTATAAAATGGGATTTTTTTATTTTGAAATTTTAATATCTGCAGGCTGGGACGTGCCCGGTAGGATTTACCCTGTGGTCTTGTGCCCTTACACTACAGGTCCTACCATCGAGACTTCTTTTCTAGAGATGTGCCCGAAAAACTTTAGTATTTGCAACTGCACCATCGACAAAAACCTATTTATTTTTAAAGAGTTATTAGTGCGAAACGTTGTCCAGGATATCTTTAACAGTCGTCTCCAGTGCCACATCTCTAAGGCATAGATTTTTTTCGCGATCTTGTTTTTTAATGACCTGCATAGTTTAAATGCAAATTTAAGTTACTTTAGAAGCGATACCACGACAATGCGCTCTATTTGTAACATAATCCAAGTCCAACCCATGGACAAGTGACAATTTGACAGTTTTTGTTACAGTCAAACGTCAAATTGGATCACGATTTGTTTTTGTTGATTCCATTAATCTAATAACGAAATACGTCGTAACGTTTTGCTCTGTGTTGAAATGTAAATAGCAAAATGACTAGTGTCAGCATAATATTTTCAGTATCAATTATTCTCATATTGTCACCCACCATTATATCAGAGAGCGACTCGTATCCAAAAGAACCATACCGACCCCTGGGCCCATTAGTTAAATGCAAGTTTTTGCCCCTGGAGTTTCTCGATTGCGATGAACCGATCGATCATAAAGGAAACCACACAGCTAGAGATGCAATAGGACATGGCTGCGTAAAGTTTGGAGGCGTAAGATACGACCAAGTCGAAAGAACAAAAGTGCAATGCAAAGCTCTTGATGGAATCGAGTGTTTTGGAAGCAGGAGCTTTCTGCGAGATGGTTTCCCTTGCGTACGATATTCTGGACATTATTTTACGACTACATTGATATACAGTATTCTATTAGGATTTTTAGGAATGGACAGGTTTTGTCTAGGACAAACAGGTACAGCTGTGGGTAAACTTCTAACGTTAGGGGGGTTAGGTATATGGTGGATTGTAGATGTAGTGTTACTGATAACGAATAGTTTGCATCCAGAGGATGGCAGTAATTGGAATCCCTATGTTTAGATGGGTTTGTTATAACATCACAAGGCTACTGTTTATAAGATAATTAGTATGTAAGAAAATGATCTGAACCAGTTTTTTACCAAGACTTAGCTACAAGTTTTATTGTAGTGCTTTAATGTTTACAGAATTACCACAGTAGTATACCAATATAGGCAAATTGTTAGAGTTTCAAATGGCACACATTTGAGGGAATAATAAGAATTCTTGTAATGTATGACCGATTACGAAATGTTCCACTAAAGTAACTGAATGTTTAAATCTTATCAATCACAAATGCAATTTTTCTTACTAATTCTAAAGCCTAGGCCAAATAACTGAACTGAGTTCTAACCTTTTTAGGATAACACACTCATCTAAATGAATATACCCTATGACATGTTCCGTTAGGAATGCACAGGTGGGCATAATCTTTTAAGCGGTCACAGCACCGCTCACTACTATGCTGAGTGCTGTGCACTTTGTGTGATTTACAAATTGTTGTTGAATCTGGGTGTTCTTTGTGTCCGTTTCCTGTATGTTTGCAAAGGATTTAGTCCTAGTGCGGGAGTTGTCTTTTTATATAATCTAAGAATACAATACTAAAAGTGCTCAGCTCATTTTCTTTATGTGGATGCAATCTGTACACCTCTTTAAAATGCATTTTTTTCAATGGCTCTGTAATGTACCTACTTTTATTTTGTTATAACTTAAGAAGCCAAATGCTTAAAAGCCACTTGAATTGTAAGAATTCCTTAACACTTGTACTGTCAAACTTGAATATGAATTCTAGTTGCAAAATAGGGCTTCACCAAACTTTAATCAAGGGTTGTCCAATCATCTATAAATGTAATGAGATAATGTTTTTTTTGAAAACTGAATATTACTGACTGTATATTAATTCCATGGCTATTCTCCTATGTAAATTTTTGATAAATATAAGTAAAGGTCAGTTGAATTGTTAAATTTTTTTTAGAAAAGTGTTTGTTTAATAATAAGGAAATGTAATTTCAGAAATGTTGTAAATAATTATGTGAATATATTCATTAAGAAATGATCAGCTTTTAAATATTTTACCTTTTTATAGAGTACTTTTATACCACCAGAGGGTTTAAGAGACACATGCATTGCGCTTCCATTTAAATTGTGGTGGCCACTTACCAACAGAGCAGATTCCATTAAATACATACTACAAATCACCACCTTATTAACAAATTACTGTGGTAGATAATGGCAGTAGTAGTGATGTTTCCTTTTAGGTTTAAAATAATTACTTGAAAATAATAAAAAGATGAGAAATATCTATTCAATTTTGTCTAGCATTTTTAAGGGTCCATTGCATGACAGATATACATATTAAAATGCGTATCTCGGCACCAAGCCAATTAAAACAAGTTTCTCTAAAAACGACTTGTATAGGCAGCCTTTAAAAGCTCTGAGAATTGTACCGAATTATCTTAAAATCTTGTAAGTGTCAGAAAACAGTAATCATTACAATTGCAAACTGTGTATAAACACTTGGTGTTCTTGATATGGACACATTTCTGATATTGTAGTTTACCTCGCACCTAACATGAAACTCTACTTTATCCAATCCGGAAAACGAACTTAAGAATTTAAGAATCGGCGCCGATGTTTGGATTACATTTTTTTGTTTGTTACCTACATGTAACCCAATTCTATCTGTTCTTTTTTAAATAAGTCGATTCTTTCAAATCTCTACTCTCGTTTAATGTAGAAAAAAAAATCTATGTGAGCCGCTTTCAAATATTATGCAAGTTAAGGTACTCTGGTGAATAGTAAACGGGCTAAGAGGTCAACAGCTACATTTTTTTTAAAGATATCTTTGGAATAAAAGTATCAAAATAAATTACTACACTACACTACACTATTGGTTCTTTGGAGTAATCTGAACTTGTCTAAAATAAGATCCCTAATGATAAAAAAGTAATGGCACAGACACTAGGTCCACAACCATTCCTCTTAACAGGAGCCTTTTAACTATCTTTTCATCCAAGAAAACAAAAATATGTAAACTTATATAGTTTATTTTAACTTAGGCCACCAGAGCGGAAGCGGTGCTTGATTCATACTTCCAGTTAGGCGGGAGCACGCTCTTTGTCTTGTAGTAGCGAGCTAATCTGTGGATCCTGGATTCGACAAGAATCAGCCTGAATTTGCTGTCCTTGTCCTTCCTGTTGCGCTCTAAGTGCTTCCTCATGGCGACGGCCTTCTTGATCAGGTAGTACAGGTCCTCAGGTAGGTCAGGGGCGAGTCCCATAGCCTTCATAATACGGAGGATCTTTTTGCCAGTGACAAATCTGACTTGTGCGACACCATGGGAATCCCTAAGCATGACACCTGTAAAGAGAGAGGGAAATCGTCAATTAGCTTTGTGAACATGAATGTCTTGAACAAATTATTTTGACTGTAGAAAATGAATGATCTTAAGCATTGCGTTTGTGAGTATTTAAGGCTATGGATAAATATTAAAGATGTCCCGACTACACGGCCACTTTTGTAGTCGGGGACTAGTAGGCCCCGGAGCCGGATAGTTGATGCTCTTTGCCGAATAATCATTTGGCAAAGAGCGTCAACTATCCGGCTTCTTTAGTTTGTATATACTTCTGTAGGCAACCGCCCGAGGCCTCGCGCAAGGACGGGAATTTTCCGTGTTTCGTTTCGCCTGTCATTTTGATTTTTGCTTATATGTTTCAAGTATCGTCATTAAAACCAATTTCATAAAGATTGGGCCTAGCAATAAACTACCCGCCCAGGGCCTCGCGATGATCGATCCGCCGCCATGATATAAGCATGGATAACTTGGTTTGTTCAAAATAATAAGTCACATTTGCTCATAATTTTATACTAGGAAATGATCTGAAAAAAAACTACGTTTAAAAAAACCGACTTCAAACACTAAAAATAGTATTTAGTAGTAGTATTTAGTAGTATTATAAAATAGTAAATAGTATTTTATTAATATTAAAGGTTTGCATAAGAGGTGTATTAAATTTAATCTTTATAAAGTTATTTTATACATTTTAGTGTTTGAAGTCGGTTTTTTTTATTTTTTACTTTTTAGTGTCGGAAATAGGTTGTTCTGTTAACTACAGTAGGATTTTTCTAGATTACATCAGGTAAACTACAACATTTCGTTGCTTTTTATTGTCATATATCTAAAAGTATTTTTTTTAAGTTTTCAAATAGTAAGTAGCTATGGGTACGCCTACGAAAGACTACACAATATAGATCCCAAGGAACGGAAAAAAGGAATCGACTCCGAAAAAATTTCACGTTCTTGTGAGACAGAGATAGATCGCGAAGAACGTTTGTTAGCTATGAAAAATTACGTTCACGTCAAGAAACTCTTGAACAGTATGAGTCTAGACTCGCTAAGATTCCAGAATGTCTTGCCAAAGAGACGTCTGAAATGGTAAACGGCCTCCGCATAATGTCATTCCTGTAGATGTTAACAACTGTAGTGGATTGTTACACAGCATTAAAATAGGGATAGGCTCTAGGGTGATGCTGAGAAGAAATATGGCGGTCTCTGATGGATTAGTCAGCGGAGCAATGGGTGTAATAAAAAAAAATAAAGTGGCCAGCCCTTCGCCGTGACCAACTAGAAGCAGGAGAACTGCCCGAAGCAGTATTGATTAAATTTGATGACGAGACGGTAGGCACTAGGGTAAAAGATACGGAGGGCCTAGTTTCAATCGCATCAACATCTGCACTTTTCAGACCAATAAAGGTTACGGTGATGTCGAGAGATTAATGCTGCCACTAATTTTAAGTTAGGCTGTCACCGTTCACAAGCTCCAAGGTACGACATTGGAGGGCGGTGATAAACCTGGGAAAAAAAATTTTGCAAAAGGTCGGATATATATGTGGCTTTAAGTCTGGTGAAGAATTTAGATTGCGTGGCATTAAGTGATTTGGAACCATTTAAATTATTACACAAACCACATGATGACAAAGCACTACAGGAAATGCAACGATTTTTTTTTACTTATTTTTAAAATTTCCTTTTTATTTATTTCTTCGTGCCGAGATTTTATATGCAATGGTATTGGTTATAATATTTCTCAAATTCTCTACTCCGCAAGCTTGCTCCGCTTCAATGACAGGTAGCCTAAGACCCACTTATCGGGACACGGGTTAATAGTAATATATAATCAACTTAAATGAAAACTCCTAAAAAGGCAGTACACAAACTAAAATTATATCATCCAAGTAAACATTAATATTCATTAAAAATGTTCATAAAATGAAAACTACTGGGCCTAACTATGTTAAATTTTTAGGGAACCAAATGGCAACTATTCCGCATCAAACTAAAGAAGGATCACGTAAATCGGATCATAAATCTCAGAGTAATCGGTGTACATACATAAAAAAAAAAAACAATCGAATTGAGAACCTCCTCCTTTTTGAAGTCGGTTAAAAATCTGAAACAGCATATGCTGATACAGTAAAATCCTGAATCAGCAACAATCCTCCTAGGTTAGGTTACCTACAACTCGTGTGTGTCGCTGTCTTTGACTATCCCACAGTTAGAGGGTTGGTCAAGTGGGAGATGTTACTGTAACCTCAACCATTTGTCAATAGCAAAGCATGTTTTTTTTTTAAAAAACAACTAGGAATTAATGATGGCATAAAATCACATTCACATATGATAAATCATATGATTAAAAAATCTTGTCGTCACACCTGTGACTTATTTACAAAACCACTGCAAAAGAATTTCAATTGATTTTAATGCCATTTATCTTTGTCTATGAAGAAATCACAATCGCATGTGAAATAGCTGTCTAAATCATTTCAACAAGTTCATTTGATTATAAGTAGCAATAATTCCTATGTCTACTAGGAATGTATCCTGTGTCATGGCAGATTTTACAAACATACTAAAACAGACAAAAAGAATACCTAGACTTAATTGCTATTGAATTAATTAATAGTTGACTGCTGGACATAGGCCTCTCCTTAGAATGGAGGTTTTGGACTACTATACCACACTGGGGAGACAGCTTGGTATAGGGTTTGTGTCAAGTTTTCCTTCTCTTTGCAGTGTTGTTGTCCTGCATAGTTTGCTTCCTTAGATGGCTCTCCCAATTTTGTACTTGTTTATTAAAATTGTTGTGATTTGCCAAAAACCGCTGGACATATGAAAAAGATTGCACCTATGAAACTTATTGTTGTCCTGAGCCAAAACCTGGATACACTTTTAGTGTTTTCTAATACTGAAGAGTATGGTCACAAAATAACTTCTTATGTAAAAAATTTAACAAACTTATTTAACTTAGACCTAGAGAGACAATATTTTAGATATTACAGAAGAGGGGTCAAAACTCTTATTTAAAAATTAACATTTTCCTCCTGCATATTATCCCTGCTAGTAGAGGCAGGCCTAAACAGTAAATATAATGAACCCTCTGCTGAGCCAGATTAAAAAAAATTATATTTAAAAATGATAACAGATTCAATAGTCAAAAAAAATTAGTATAAGACTTAAATTCTTAATACATATCCACATGTAAGGACTTATCACTAATCTGATAATGACACCAAGCACTTGGATTTGGCTTTTTTTTGAGAGAACAGCCAAAATCCAAATCTTTTTAACTAAAACATATGTAGTTATGTGCATTCGACTAGTTTATATAACTTTAGTCTATAAGCGCTACTAAGTGTGAAAGATTATTGTCTCATGTGGGTCCTTGACAAATCTCAATATTTCTCACTGAACTTAGAAGATCCAAAGATTTTACCTCATAATCCCCTACTAATTAACACATAATTCCTTACATCAACACAATCTGCAACGAATAAATCAAATACCATTAAAACATTGTCACTTACCGATTTGGGAGGGAGTGAGGCCTTTCTTGGCCAGTTTGAAAATCTGTTCCTTTACATCATCTGCGGTCAGTTTTAACCATGTTGGGACACTGCGACGGTATGGCAGCGCCGACTGGGAAATACCCTTACTGAAAACATAAAAGTTACACTTTGCTGTAAAGCCATGTGGTGACCACTCAATCAAAAGGTTATGTTACCATCACTAAAACTTCAAAATACGTGAAATGTATGCTTGGACACTAGCTTAATATAATGCACTATAAATAACACATGAAATTACCCAGGTGCGTGCATACGACCCATGGTTGAGGCTTTTTAATAAAATCGCCGATCTGACAACGACAACAAGAGAAACGAAAAAGATGGTAGCCGGAAAGCGCGTATTCATTCAGTAATCGTTCTTCGCCTTCCCAATTTATGGTCGTTCATTCACTAGTGTTGTATGTGTTATTTGACGGTTAGAGGATACCGGTTTTTAACCCTGCTGTCTATGGCACATTCATCACGTTCAATAGTCCCCACTGAGTAAGTTGTCACAAAAGTCAAACTTAAATGACGTTTCTTTAACCCTGTAAGTTCTGTCAATAGCGTCAATCAAAATTCACCTACCCAACTACTTTTTATGAAACTCAAATCAAAAGACTTGAGAGGCTCGGGTCAAAAATGACCAACCCTTACGGTATTTCCGATGCAGAATTTAATATCATTAAGCAGCAGGCTGCGAGGCGTGCTACCTTGAGAAAAGAATTTATCAAGCAAAAGACCAACCCTTTTAAACATGCCAATGAAGCTGGCTATGTTGTGAGTATTTATTACGTAATTTTGTTTTTAATTTATAGACCATATATAAATGTTTATCACCATTTTAGGCGATCGCATACAGGGTTAAATTTGATATTATGTTTCGTATTTCAGTTTGACACAGCCATACAAAAGTTCTTGTCGATGAAAGTGACTCAGTTGGATTACTTTACTGCAAACAGAACCACTAGCGTGTTCGGAGTCTGCGCTGTTATTATTCCTATGTTTGCTTATGGATATGCCCTTTGGAAACATAGAACCACGCGCGAGGCACAAATAAGGAGTGGAGAACTTCGTTACAAGGACAGGCTGTTCAAGTTCGCGTAAATAATATATACTTCACTTGAAATTTAATACATGAAAAAATCTGTAGAAATAAAATCATTTAATTGTTAATTGTGTTATTACTCATTTGAAAATTTAAATCGAATTATTTATTATAATCATTATTATGTCATTAATAATGATTTTGTTATTGATAGTACTTTTAAGGAAATATACCTGGCCACTAAGACTATGACATGTACACTTTTTATAAAAAAGAATGTTAGTTTGACAATGGCAGCCTGTTGTTAATAATGACCATTGATATTGCATGTTAATATTTATATTTTACATACAATGGGACAATGTAAAGGATCTGATTTTGGGGTGTCTGATTTAGAGCTAAAAATTATATGTGATCAAGTTGAGCGACGCAAACGATATAGAGAGGAATTTTTGAAAGCTAGAACTGATCCCTGTTTACATTCTAAGGAGGCCGGCTATGTAGTAAGTAATACATTGTTTTTTTCTTTCTATTTTTCATGTGTAACTAAAGAGTCGCGTTGCTGGCCTTTTATATTTCATTATTTTATTTCTCAAGACAAGAATATATATATCCTGCATCATGGGGGACTTTACAAACACACAATACATGAAATGGACACAAAGTACACCCACACTCAGGACAACGATTTGTGGATTACACAATGTGGTGTCCATGTGGGGATCGAACCCACAACACTCAGCGCAGTAGGAAACGGCGTGGCGACCGCTTAAACCACTACGCCATCCATGCAGTCTTTGAGGGGAGAGTACACTCTTAAAGTTTTGGAGATTGTATTGTTCCCGAATTATCGCCGGCGACAATTCCGTCATGATCGTAGATTAATTTTGGTTTTGAAAACATACTGAATTCTGTTTTTACAATTTTTTGATACTACATTGTCTAAATATTAACATTCAAGAAAAAATTGTATGGATTTTAGATTTTAAATTATTCAGTCGGTAAACTGACGGATTTGATGGCGCTCAAAGTAAAATGAAGCATGTGATTTTTCTAGAAAATTGTGTAATTATTAGTTTTATTTTTATTGCATTTTAAAAACCCTATTTTTCACTTGTATGGCAATTTTGTCCTTGTGGTGACGGATTAAGAATACAGAGAGTCACCACCCTATTCATCCCGTGGGTGTCGTAAGAGCTGACTAAGGGAGAAAACTATGTAGAACAACAGCACTGCAAAGAGAAGGAAAACTTTAAACAAACCCTATACCAACCCGTCTGGCCAGTGTGGTATAGTAGGCCAAAACCTCCTTTCTAAGGAGAGGCCTGTGTCCAACAGTGGACCATTAGAGGCTGTTGATGAAAGTAAAATGAAGCATGTGATTTTTCTAGAAAAATTATTAGTTGTTATTTTTATTGCATTTTAAAACAAACCCTATTTTTCACTTGTATGCCAATTTTCATAATTACTGATTTAGAATTATAAAAGTTATGTCTAAAACTAACATAATTATTTGAAATGGCTGCCCTGTAAAGTTCAATAAATGTCAGATCCGACACAATTCTACGACTATGAGTTCCACAGATTAGTCGAGCTAGAAGTTTTTATGTTTTAGTATATAATAAATCAATCTCCTATGTCCAGCAGTGGACTAGTATAGGCTGTTGATGATGATGATATAATAAATCAAAGGTTGTAGTTATGAAACGGTCAACAGCACTTTAATTTATATAGTTTTACCTTCTTATATGGCGCATTTACAATGGGCCAATGAATTGCATAACGGAATTCTATACCCTTACATGTGAAAAAATTAAGGACTACTTTCATAGCACACTGTAAAGAAAAAAAAAAACAGTTGGTCTATGGCGTTTTCAATTCAGGCTTAATGTCTCTAGGTTCACATATCATTCTACTAGTGGGGATGCAGCTTTAAAACAGCTTTGATATACCTTCCTGAAGCCGGCGTATCACGGGGTGATACGGATGTGGCGAAACATTCTGGACTGCAATGTAGAATTTGCAAAATGTTGAATTCCAAAGTTGAAATTTTAAAAAGTTATCGAGAATATTATTTTAATAACGTTTTAAAAACCAAAGAAATATTCGTTAATTTTGGTAGTGTAGCATTTTAATATTTTTTTTACGGTAAATAGCTCCACCGCGACCGCTTCTGCGCCTCTCGCATCCTCAGGACTCAATATTTTGCAAATTCAATTTTGTAGTCCAGAACCGTGGCGAAGCATGATTCTACAGCAACAGCAAAACCGATTTTAGAGATCTTCAGCATTTACTTGACTGTTTCAGTTCGATCCGGCTATTCAGAGATTCCTGTCATTGAAGAACACTCATTTGGAATACTTTACTCCCACTTTCGCGAACATAAGATTTGGGGTGTGCATTATTATACTGCCGATGCTAACTTATGGCTACGCTATATGGACACAACGGACGAAAATTGAATGGGATCGACGCTGCGGAAAGACTAAATACCGTGATAGATTATTTAAATTCGCTTAATTGGAGAGTTATTATTGATTAGAAATATATTTTGGCCCTTTGGTATTTTGATTTATTACCTCTAGTTTTCAATTTAAAAAAAATAACCTTTTGACATGTCAATTTTTTAGTTTTCGACAGGTCAATTTTTGGTTAAAAAGCTTCTCGAGAAGTGTTCTGTTAGCGATATTCGTAAAGAAAACATATTTAAGTTAAAACGTGTTTTAATTAATTAACGAGTATTAGAAGAAGAATTTATCGATCATCCAGTGACTTGTCTCTAGTCGTGACTGCGTCGTCAAACTTCACCATGTACGTGGTTCCTTTGTGCCAGTGCGCTGTCACTTTCGCTGGCTGAAAATAAATATATTTATTACATTATAAATTGATACCAAAATGTCTATGTAGGATGTAATCATTTACCCAAAAACTCAAATTATTAACTCGACACATACGGCCATCTGATCTAAAACTAGACAGTACCTTTTTTTTTTTTTTTTTTTAACGTGGAAATCCCCTCGGACCGTCACCCCTCCGGGGTTTGCGGCGGGGTGGTGTGTCGGACTCGGACCGACTAAAACCACACGGTGTGCCACTCTGCGCCTGTAACAGGAGGGATCCGGGAACAGCTGTTGTTAAGACATCCGGACCCCTCCTAGCGCCAGCCCGCTCCTGGTGCGGGCTCCGTCTCAATGTTTTTCCTCTCTTTAGGCGACGTCCGGCACACGCGGACGCCGCCCCCTCGCGGCTGGCCAAACTAATGCGGGTGGAGGGGAAACCCACCCCGTCCACCCGCGGCCACACTCAGGGCGGCATGAGGCTGTGATAGGGCCTCCGCCGCCCGGTTCGCCGGCGGCGGATCGGGTCCGAGTGGAGGTCGTCCTCCCGGGCCCTCTCCGCCGCCTCCTTCCGCAAGATTACTACCTCGCAGAAGGTTGCGACCGCGGTAAAACAACTGTCGCTACCGGCCATGGAGCGTACTACGGCCGGTAGCGAGAGATCCACTCCGATGACTGCAGTGAGGGCCCGGCGCTGCGCCGCCCATGCGGGGCAGACCGCCAGCGTGTGCTGGGCCGAGTCCTCACTGCAGTCGCAGTGGTGGCAGGCGGGACTCAGTTCCCTCCTAGCGACCGAGTGCAGGTACTTTCCGAAGCAACCGTGCCCGGAAAGCACCTGCGTCAGCCGGAAGGAAAGGGTCCCGTGCTGCCGCCCTGCCCACTCGGCGATGACCGGCTGGAGAGCCTCCACGGCGGCGAAGCCAGCGCGTGGAGTCTCCAGCCGGAACGACCAACGAGCCATCGTGGCTCGGCGAGGGGCTTCGCGCCACTCGCGCACATCCTCGGGCGGAGGGCGAAATCCGCTCTCCGCCCGGGAGTCAGCCACTCGCCGATAAACTTCGGCGAGCACTTCCGCCTCCAAATCCCACGGGGGAGTTCCGGCCAACGCGCATGCCACCTCCGTCGAAACGGTGCGGTAACCGCGTATGGCTCTGACCGCCATTACCCTCTGAGGGCGCCAGAGGCGTACCCTATTCTGGGCGGTCAGAGCCGCCGCCCACACCGGTGCACCGTACAGTGCCATTGACCGGACAACCCCCGCGTACAGCCGTCTTGTCGCGACGCTGGGTCCGCCCATATTGGGCAAAAGTCGCCCTAGGGCAGACGCAGCGCCGACCAGCTTTGGAGCAAGCTGTCGGAAGTGCTCGTCGAAGAGCCACCTCCCGTCGAGGATCAGGCCCAGATATTTCATCTGGGCCCGAACCGGTACGAGGACCGAGTTGACCACGATTGAGGCGCCAGGGGGTGGACCACGACGGGGCCCATGAAATAACAGGGCCTCCGTCTTATCTAGGGCCACCCGTAAGCCCAGCGCCTCAATGCGCCCGACCACCAGGGAGACTCCCCCTGTGGCCAGGCGCGCCGCCTCTTGGAAGTTTGCCCCTCGGGCTGTCACCAGGGTATCGTCTGCGTAACAGATTACACCCAGCCCGGGGGGGAAATCGGCGCGAAGGGCCCAGTCGTACCCTATGTTCCACAAGAGGGGTCCAAGAACAGACCCCTGTGGAACACCGCACGACATGGGCCGACACCTCAAATTACCTTCTCGGTCCTCGTACACGACGGTACGCTCCTCTAAATAGTCTGCCACTAGCCGCCTCAGGTACTTTGGCACCCCATGATAGTGGAGTGCTTCCCTGATGCAGCTGAATGGCAGACTATTGAATGCGTTGGCGATGTCTAATGACACCGCCAACAGCACGCCGCCACAGCTCACGGCCTCTTCGGTCACGGCCCTCAGGCGCAACACGGCGTCGACTGTCGAACGCCCCGCCCGAAAACCAAATTGGGCGTCCGACAGATCGGGGCCCACCTCGCAGCGGTGCCGGACCATGCGGGCAGAAAGAACCCTCTCAAACAAAAAACTAGACAGTACCTGTGCTATGGTAACCGACTGCTGATAAACTTCAAAATAAATATTTCTGTCCTTTATTTCGTCCTACTTTTCGTTATACCAATTTAAATTTATTGTTGCATGTTAGGGTTAGTTGATTTGGAATAATAAACCTAACGACCACTTTAAGACGTTCAAACAATACTGAATAATAGCCGAGGTTGCTGGGTTACACGTCTCATCAAACTGAAGACGTCTCCAATGAAGACGTGCCCTTATTTACAATACTCGCCAGAAAACTAAAAAGCTCTTTACAGCTTATTCTAATCCCCAGAACTTTCGATTTCTGAGAAATACAAATTCGTTTCAAATGTAAACGGGATAATCGTGCGGTGCGACAATATATTTTCGATCTTATGCGTGTTTTTATAGAACTCATTGTTCCGTTCATCCCTGCATTATTATTAGAACTCTTTCTGGATTGCGCAGTTATGTAAATCAATTCTCTCTTTCTTGAATTTTCGTGATTTTTCGTGACAACATAATATATATGTGACCAGAATAACGGGGTCCTATATAGCCTGAGACCTATCGGATTATATGTGTACACATAATATAGGATAAGGTTTTACAACCTTGCACACCTATATTTTCTCAACAAAATTTTTGATACCCTCACATAATAGGAAAAACAACCATTGGCAAGCATTTTGGGAGTTAAAGGTGAAAAAATAGTAATCGAAAGAAGGATATTGCAGATGGTTTGGGGAGTATAAGCATTAGTTTGAAATATATACATTAGTGACATATAATTAAGGTCTCGGTACCGGAAAAAATTATTTCGAGAACTGACACCCCAAGTTACATCGTCATATGAAAATGAGTCTTAAAACTTTGTGTTAAGTTTTAAATGGTTGTAGTAAGTTTGAGTAGCATTTCTATAACAGATACTGTGAATGGAAGTCTAGCCTTTGAACTATCTATAGTCCTATCAATATCCTAACTGATTTTCAAGCTCAAATTATCGATAGTTTCGCATCACTAGTGTTATCTCTAAATAATAAAAAGTGTCTGTGCCATGTTAATGAGGACATCATTGTTGCTATACTCACATTTTTTAATTAATATAATATTACTAGCTGATATGGCAAACGTTCTAATTGTAATAATCGCAATTAAAAAATAGGTGGTGGACGGTAAGACGTTGAAAAATACTTCACGACCTATTCTTATACCTACCTAAAATACAAAAAAAATAATCTTAAAAAAGCAGTTTCGAAGGAGTGCGACAACAAACACCGTGACACGAGATGTTTATTTAAACTAATTTAATATGTGTACTAATATGCACATAACCACTTCTGTTAGATAGTCATGTTGTTCAAGTAAAGTTCAATACATTATCTATTGTGTTCCTTATGTGGCGCTAGATGGCGTTGTGCAAGTCGATGCTAAGATTCCCAAGAGGTGAGAGGTCACTCTGGGGTTATTTGAGGATACAGAGATCGTTAGTGCTATTTCGTGGTCCTGATCCTATATAGGTCGGATATATCCTACCAGATTTTTTATTTAGTATTCTCGGCCACAATGATTGGTCCTTCGAGCCGGATATGAACCAGTGACCTATGGATACAGTCTACTCTATAAAAAATTGTAGTTATTGTATTTACTTACAAATCCACTTTTAGTGAGCACAGCTTCTATGATGCCTGCATTGAAGGTGGCGCAATTCAATGAACCCTTGTCTTTTGGTACACTGATGAATTTATTGACCTGGAAACATAATAAATAAAAAATACCTTTTTGTTTTTCTTCTGTGCCTTAAAATGCTTTGTTTCCTGTTTGTCAGTCAGCCAGGATGACATCCATCATCCATCCATAGACTGACCTGGCTAGGATTACTTAACTTTGCAATGTGCTAACAAATTTAATTGCCACTCCTTGCACTTATTTAAACAGTTAATTAAATTACATGTATTTTCAAATTTCATCATAATGGTGAAACAATTAGTTTTTGAGTACATAATAAAAGCAAATCCTTGAGAAATTCTTACGACACTTAATAATATATTGTATTCATCATCATCAGCCTATTGCAGTCCACTGCTGGACATAGGCCTCTCCCATTGCATGCCACTTAGATCGATTTTGGATTTCTCGCATTCAGCTCCAGCCATTTTGGGCAAATCGTCACTCTACCTGGCCTGGGGACGTCCTACACTACGTTTGCCGAGACGCGGTCTCCACTCAAGAACTCGTTTTCCCCAACGGTTGTCGGTTCTGAGGCTAATTGTATTAATATATTGTATTATATTAATTTGAATTATATGTCAGTTACCATTTTCACATATTCTATTTAAATTCAAGTTCATGTATGTACCTAGTATACCTGCTTTAATGTGGAGAGTCAATACAAGGACAGTCCCAACTCATACTGGAAAATTATACCTTGATTTGTTGAAAGTAGGTGAATTGTTTAACAAAATATTCAACATGTAATTAATATGATGCAGTTATGAACTACTCACCAAAGCATCTTTCTCTATAATATAATATGTTCTCTCATCATCATTGGCATGTTCCAATTTGTCTGCCTCCTTGCCAAACAACACCTGGAAGCAACATTTACCTATATTAAAAACTAATTTGAAGACAAATCTAAATTGTTTTAATAATAGTAAGTTTATTTGCATAAAAAATTAATATGAAATGTATGAATTTTTTGGAAATGGGAAATACCGAGAAGCGATTTTTTTTAAGACTTCATTAACAGAATAAAAGCACTGTTCAATTATCCATTTCATTAGTTCAACAAAATTTATGGTATGGTTAGTTTACAAATTTTTCAAGTAATGCTTAGTAAGTGGTGCCATGCACACACAGCTTGTTCTGACTATCTCTTTTCTTTTCTTTTTTTTTTCAAAGACAACTCCCGCACTATGAAAATCTTGTGTCGCGGGGGACTTTACAAACATACATGGTAACGGACACAAATAACACCCAGACTCAGAACAACAATTTGTAGATCACACAAAGTGTTCTCCCCTGTGGGGATCGGACCCACAACACTCAGCGCAGTAGGAAGTGGTGAGGTGACCACTTAAACCACTACGTGCAGTCAATTGAAAAAATAAAAACTCTAAACAAGATACAGGAATTTTTGAATAGATTTAGTTAATTTTAATGCTTATATATGTTATTATTATTTTTTGGATATTTGGTGGGTATAAGAATAGGTCGCAAAGTATTTAAAGTCAGATTTGCGAGTTATGTATGGATGCATGAGCGTAAACGGAGCTGTTGAAGGGTGACAGGGTGTTGCGGTCGATGGATACGTATGGGAGGACATCATCATTAGCTTCAAACAATCCTATTTCACACTTAATGAATTCTAGCTTAACTGTAGTCTTATTGCTGCTTCACTCTACTAAATGAATATTCCTTCTAATATTACTTGTATCACCAGATTAATGCTTTTCAGCAAACAAAAAAATTAGCTATTTTATTATACTACTGTAGATATGTCTTTTGCATTAATAAATTGTACAGAAATCATACGTACAAATTATTCAAATTAGTGCTAGTAAGTGTACTAGTACTACTAATCATTTAAAACAGCTGACTTACATATGCATGTTTAAGAGTAGTGGTGTGTGACACACCTTTGCCAGATTGCTGTAGTTTTAATGTGAGATTGATGGAATTGACAGTATTTTTGAATACCAAGAGCGGATCCAACCTTAAACCTCAGGGATAGTTATCCTTTTATTGTAGACTCAACTTACGACTCAACTTAGTAGGTTTTATGACTACTGGGAACTGCCCTTGGTAAACACAAGTTATTCCCAATTCTTAGGTAGTAGGTACACCATAAAGAAATATATTTTCTTTCATAAATAGAACATTACAAAATATTACCTTCCATAATGTAGACTTCACAAATAACAACATATTTAGTAGTTTTATTTCACGTTTACTGCCTTTTTCTCTCACAAAATATAAGTCAAGCAGTCTAGTGCCTACATCTTGCCCTATGTCTGATAATCTGAAAGAAGACAAGTACTAATAAGCTTCTAAAAAACGCTACTTTTCATTAGAAAAGTGGGCACAACAATTATTATTAGAAAAGCATTTTTTTGAGGGATTACGTGTGTAAGTAATACTAAAACTTACTTGTTCTGTAGCTCGTGGATGGAATGTGATCGGTTCTGACAATATTGAACTATTTCTGAGAATAAAAGTGCATAAAATGCTAAGGACACCTCCCCTTTGCCTTTGCTCAGCGGTTTGTCTAGAATCGACGACTTTGAGCGGCCAGACGACATTTCATTTATTTTCTATTAGAACACCACAATAAACAATGAAAATAATATTTGAAATTGTACTTTTTCCGCTTAGAAAATAGGTTTGATACTGAAAGCGAATCTACGAACTGTCTGCGAAAATATTTTTTAGATCAGTTTGTAAGAATCACATTTAAAGCATAATGTATATTCTATCTCTTTTCCGAACGCAGTAAAAGGTATCCGTTTCTCTTTTCAATGTTACATTCGTCATTGTTTTAAGGTAGCCGTAATTTGATTTTAAATGTTTGAAGTTTGTTTGTTGCATGACAGATGACGATATTTTGTTTATAATGATAGTGGCTTTTGAGCTCTTCATCGTTTAAATTTTACCGAGTACCAAACATTTTCAATTATAGCGTGAACATGAAAATAAAAACTGTCTGGGGAGTGTAAATTGCAGTTTCTATTGCAACACTAAGTATCTATATATATCCATGTAATATGAGCAAAAATTTAGAAGCTATGGTATCACAGACACACGTACTATCTTTAGTACGTGCGACTGACTCCATCCACGACACGACATCCTCGACCTCTTCGGTCTGCTGGAGTTTCAGTCCTATTTCTCCATCGTATCCCTTATCCCAGCTCTGCCGGCGTATTCGTCCACCCTACCCCAATTTATCTCTTTCTGTTGTCTCGTCTGCAAACGATTAAATTCCCAGGGAGGATAAATACAAGATTTATCAGATTGATTGAAAAAAAAAACGTGTCTTGTGTCGTTTGTTGTTGAAAATTACCTCAGTTACCAACAGACCACTCAATTCATTCGCCTAGTTGGACGGTTAAGAATTTCATTCCTATCAAACCACAACAAATATTCTAACTGACCAGTAGGTGGATAGCTTGAGTGGTCCGTTGGTATTCAAACTCAAACTCTCTTTATTTCATAAAATTTTGAAAATTGTTTGAAATCGTCTTTTATGTAGACTCTAAAGTCATAGATCAACACACACAAAAGCAACAATCTCTGTTTTGTCAAATAGTAAGCAAATAAATTTAACAAAAATCAAACCCATACAAAATCTATACTAATATTATAAAGCTGAAGAGTTTGTTTGTTTGTTTGAACGCGCTAATCTCAGGCACTACTGGTCCGATTTGAAAAATTCCTTCAGTGTTAGATAGCCCATTTATCGAGGAAGGCTATAGGCTATATATCATCACGCTAAGACCAATAGGAGCGGAGCACCAATGAAGAATGTTTCAAAAACGGAGAAAATTTATTACTATTGAGAGACGCAGACGAAGTTGCGCGGGTCAGCTAGTCTATGATATGCCTGTGCCGATCTACAACCGCCCGTTTCCAAGGGGTTGAGCCTTATGAGAAGAATGGGCAAACAAACTATTGGCCACTCTTTTGCAATTAACAGATAGATACAATGGCACTATTAATACAATGGCAATATACCACAACATTGTTTTGAGGTCATCATGATGATGATGATTGTTTTGAGGTATTCAACTGAAAATTATATCAACATCGTTAAACAAATTCTTTAACTTCATTAAAATTTTCTGTTCTACCAGTAACGAACTGTATACTTGTAATTTAACGCGGGTACAACAATTAAGTTAGATTTACCCGTACCATACCAAGCTATGTATATACCTATACACAAACAAACATGAAATGAACACGATAAGGTCATATTACAACTGTGTAATAATGAATGATATGCGCACTTGATATCTTTACGTTTCTGCCCTAATTACGTGCATGTACACAGTGGATCATTTGCATGACCTACAGTCTAGCGTGATCATAATCACTGCGCACTTTATGTAATACACCATTTATCTATCTAGTGAGAATTAGGTAACTTCACATACCGGTAAAATCAATACAAGATATAATAAAAAACGAAAATACTGACAGGTTCAAACATAATAGGGACCGCATCTTAACAAAGTCAGTTTCCAAAGTCGCCTTAATTTTAACACTTCCTGAGGCTGCACTTGTGACTCTTCAGTTTCAGATATCCTTGGACGGCGTTTTTTTGGTTGTGTGGTAACCCCCTCGCTTGTGCGATACTGCGCCTTAAACTGGAGGGATCCGGGAACAGCTTTTATTAACATATCCGGAGCCCTACTAGCGCTTACCTGCATAAGCACGGGCATCACCTTCGCTTAGAAACTCTCTTAACCGTCAACTGCGTTGATGCTACAGTGTCCAGGCACACGAGGACGTCACCTCCTCGCGGTTGGTCTCTATGGCGGGTGAAGGGGAAAAATTGTCTCGCCCACCCACGACGGCATAAGGCCATACAGTAAGGTATTGGTTAACCTTTTAGAAAATAACAAAAGAACTTTACCACCAAGCTGAAACCAAAACAGGTACCCTATCTAGATTGACGACAGAATACTGTTTGTCGTTCTTTCTTACATTCTGTGCCATATAGTGGCATATGGTGGTGGAGTCAATAAGATAATTCGTTAAAGGTGATTTTGAAATAAAACAATAACAAACTAACAAGAAACTTTACTTCATATAAAGCATTATTATAACAGCATATTTTAGTTATGAGCTACAAAAAAAAAACAATTGTGAACATAAAAATACAACATAAAAGAATTTGTCAGAAATTACGTTTCTCTAGATGCGGCAATCTGTACTGTCGTGAACTACCTTAATCTTGTTTTAAATCAATTTGTTGTAATTAAACCAATGTATTAATTATGTAACATCCGTATGGTATAAATGTAATTTACATACCGTTATACGCACATTAGTGGCTCACTTTATTATTTTTATGCAGGATCCATAAACATTAAGTGTTATACATAACCTAATTATATGAGATTTAGTATTGTGATAAATCGCGCTATGAATTGTGTTTTGTGCTGCCAAATTGATTTAGTAATATGGATAATCATTATTATTTCAGACGGAAAGGCCTCTTTTTACGTGGATTACAAACATGTTAATAACTGTTACTCAATAAAAAAGTTAATAATATTCCATAATATGAAGAATAATTTTTTCCTTATTGCGTTAACACTAATAGACATTCATTGTACAAATTTACAACCAATCTGTCAGCAGTCCGAAAATTTATGGACGGTCGTAGACAATTTTAGTTTTTATTAACAGGCAACACTAAATCACTCTTGCTGTGGAGATATTTTATGTTTATACTGCCGTTAGTAGTCACAAAATTTATAAAATATTTAAAAAAACTGTTAGTATTCATACAATTTCGAAACTCAGAATTCTCATTCAACACGCGCTAAGATATTAAAATAGATAATTATTAACATAACCATAAAGATTTTACCTCTAAAATAATAATAAATTTAAATGATTATACAATGTGTCGCAGGTACAATATTTTAACTTATATTTAAGAGTTAGTGAAAAGTGTAAAAACTATAGACTGAAACACGATACATCGTAGGGATCATTTTCGAATTCTTTGGTTCAGATTATATGCGTAATGTATAGCTGTCCAAATGCCACAGTCATACAAGGTTGGTAATAAAAAAAAAAGTGTCAACTGTTACAGCACTATGATTTAAGGTGGCTGGTGTCTTAGGTCCATTTTTTTAATTTTTTAGGTTCACATTGCATTGTCGTTTTTTGTAAAACAACTTATATTGTTTTAGATTTCTATTGTTCTTATTTATAGAAATGATGAAATAAATATTGGATTCTGCGAATTTAAAGTTGTACCCATTTAATATTTATTTATTTTATTTTTATACCTCATACATATTTATAGCAGTATTTAACTTTGGACGTGCACAATCAGTTTACGGAAAAGTAACTAAATAAAGATTTATAAAAATTATTTTTTATTATTACATATATTATTTACAAATTAATAAATATACACGTCACCATAGATACCACACAGGACAGAAGGCTTTTGATCTATATAAAAGTGTTGTACATGCTCAAATAAAAGTTAAAAACAGAGAATGTTGTGAAATAAAAAACTTACGGTTTCTACATAAAATCTAGTACACACTATAATAGAACGTGTATTCGTAACGAAAGTACACGTGAAGCTAACGTTTACTGTGTTTAATGGTGCTTGAAGAGACCTTGACCAATATGCATACAACTTAATATGTGAGATGTTTTGACAAAATGAAAACTTGACGCTTGATAAAGGTCGGGTCTTTAACTTGTCACCACCAAAATAAACACGTGAGATACGTTTCTTCGTGGGAGAGTCATGGCTTCGGCATAAATGGGCCTGCTCAACCGGAGTCGTACCACGGCCTCATAGAAAACTTGTGTTAAACAATTCTTTGGTTTCTAATTGGAGGAGTAGAAATGTTTTTTTTATCAAGAAAAATGGTTATCAGTTAACCCCTTCATTTCATAATATTAATGTTTTAATATGTCTTATAAGACTGCCTCGGTGGTGCAGTGATAGCGTATGCGACTGCTCCGCTGAGGTCTCGGGGTTTGATTCCCGGGTCGGACAAAATGTTTGTATTATCTGCAAATATTTGTTTCGGAGTTTGGGTGTTTTCTATATATGGATTTACAAAAAAAAAAAGTATTTAAGTATTCTATCAGTCAATCTAGCTTTCATAGTACAAGCTCTGCTTAGTTTGAAACTAGAAGGCGTTGTGTGTCAGATGTCCGATAAAAAAAAAAATGTGCCATAAATTCTCAATATTACTTTACTGAAGTGGCCATATCAAAGGTCGTTATTTAATATCTGTGGCATTTGGATCTTAAAGTTTATATAATATAATGGGCTATGTTATTTTACAATATTTACATTATACTCGCCTCTGAGTTAGCTACAGCGAGTGATCATATAATTGTTTTTTCTTAAATATAGATATCTAATAACATTTGCATTACAACTTACCGCGACAAATAACGGTTATTGGAAATCTATCGAAATTAAATCTTCAGATTTAAAATATCATAACCGCAATTAATGTTTCTACATATTGCGAATGTCATAATATAATATATGGTACGTTCTCTAGTAAATATTTCTAGGTATCTCTCTGTTTTTCGCTCCATATTCTAAAATGGAATCCCATAGAGTATTAAAGTTCACCAGTAGTTATCAAGAACTACAACGCGTTCTTTATAGCGGCGTAGGCTGACCCCCTCTAGATGGGCCAATAACATAACAAAACATCAATAAATAGTAGAAAGGCCTTTGTTCAGCGTTTATTGTTTCAAACGTTAGATGAAACACTCAATCGACGATGTACTTAAAGAACACATATTCAAAGTCAAGCTCGTAAGGTTTAAAAGACTAGCAGAAGAATAAAACACGCCAATCTTTGTATCTGAAACATCTCAATTTAAAAAAAATAAACGACCTATTTTAAATCTGAACATTTAAATGACATATCGCTTTTCTGAATGAACGATCTAGGAACCGTTCATTCAATTTTTGACAGAATTAAAAAAATGTTTATGGTTAATAAGACAGGAAGTGATCAATGTATTTCGGCTTACATCCATAAATAAACTTCTAAAATGTCGATATGAACTCTTTGCATATTTACTCACGAAATTTGCAATGCAAATGATATTTTACCCAGTCCATTATTGTTGATGAATTTATACAGCTCCTTTATTTTAATATGAGCAAATTGGTGATACATTTTTGCTTTTTTTATATTGAAATTATGTTTTCGTGCTGTATGTATGTGTTGAAAAGATATAGTATGTGTTTATGACGCCATTTTGCTTATAAACATTATTTTTATTAAAAAGTTACTAAATAAAAATTGTGGTATAATAGCTCAATAAACCTACTAATTAGTTATTTTATCAACGTGTTCTTTCACAATATTCCTGTTTAAATTATACTGAATTACTTAAGTCAATGATTTCAATCATTAATTCAATACGTGCAACTTATATTTACGAGTACTAAGAAAATATTACTATACTTATTTTAACTAGAGAAAGTCTAGTTTCAGACTAGAGTTCGATATCGACGCGACGGATCGAAAAGGGACCCCTGTTAGGTCCAAAACTCGCTTTCGTATAGATAGTTGAGTACCAAAGTACGTCTCTAGTAATTATTTATTCCCTTTTATTATTCTAATCTTCATTATTATTATTTGTATATAACTGATTGTGTTTTGTTATGACTAGCCAATGCTTTTTATAAGTGACGTCATATATTGAAGTTCGATTGTTAGCAGTATTCTATTGTACTTAATTGTAGAACAGAATATGTAATTAGTTTTAGGGCAAAATGTGATGTCACAGCTTCGACTGTAAGTATAATTTTATTGTCTATATGTACCACATCATTAATGTTTAACTTAAATTAGGTACACCTACTAACTCCAAAATAGTGAAAAAATAATTATATAATTAAACTTTGTTTGATATTTTCATGTATAAAAATAAAATCGTCGATTTTTATTTTTATTTTTGTAAAAAGGTCAATAATGTACTTTTGCACGAAAAAAAATTGATTGATTTTACAGTTTTTTTTTTAAATACAGAATGGATAAGTTGATGATCATAAAAAAATAATGTTTATAAGTAAAACCATAAATGAATTGTATATTAAGTAATACAGGCTGGATATTAAGCAGTAATAGAGACGTGATTTATGTTTTTAAACTGGCCAAAGGTATCAACTGTTTAATGCCTAAAACAGTTTGACAGATGTACAAATTGTGACTAGAAACAGATTATGTATTTTAGTCTGCACTTTGCTTAGTTACGCATTGGAGATCATTTAAATCAAATAAACAATTAAAATAGCTACCCACATATTTTTTGTACTCAACGAAAATTTTGAATAAATAAATAAATATAACAATTATATAGTCTTACATATTTACTACTGACAAGTTTATTTGCGTCTTTAAAAATGTCAGCTTTAAAAAACTTGTTTAATTGTTAATAATTATGAATCCAAAATCATTCATTTTCATATAATTTACTTTTGAGTTCTATGGATATATAAATATAGTAAACTAACGGGATTTATAGGTATTACATTCCTTTGAAGACCATACTCAGACAGATTCAGACTCAGTCAGTCTGTGACCTTGCCAGTGAAACCTGGCCAAAAAGTCAGGGAACTTAATTATTTGTGGTCGTAACGTTTCCAAGGGGATCAAATCATTTTACAAATGAGATCGAATATCAACTGTTAGATCTTTTTGCAGCAGATGTGTTTTAAAAAAAACTTCTACATTCAGAGCTCTGATCAAATAAAAAAGTTAAGATGGAACTTTGAGAAGAACTAAGTGACGCAGGTTTTAAATACATGTGTGCGTGGGAAAAGATATCTTGTAGTTTGATTTTTACACCCTTTCACAACACAATTCGTCATGTTTACTTGTAAATATTGTTGACATTTTTTATGACGTTTTGACTGACAACTTTCGTTGTACGTGTAATTGTGTATGTACACGCCAAGGCGTACTTTTAATTGGACTCACTTTTTTTTGCACAGTGTACCATTTTAACTGTTTTATTTGATTCAGAGTACATAAACACTCCTAAAACATCCACAACCCAGCCTGTTTAAAACCTACAGCAAACGCCATAACTTATCTACATCATTATATAAATATATATAAAATTATGCTTACACATTTTATATAACTAAACTTGTGAGTCATATTACTATATACACTTTTACTCAACAGCATGTAGACTGCACTGTTTCAGCTTCGAGGAGATTGAAGTCCATTCCATTGGGTCGGTTGAATCCGGTCTTGATGCCGTCCCATCCGTTTTCCACCTTATATTCACCTGTCTGTATGCGGTTGTACACTTCCTGTGCGACTAGAACAAAAGCTTCTTCAACGTTCAGACCTGTTTTTGCTGAGGTTTCCACGTGATGTAAACCTAAAAAATATATTATTTTTTAATAAACATGACTCATTATGCATTATTCGTGTTTTAGAATTTTAAAAACATTGAATCAACGGATACAAAGAACACTAAGACACGGAGCAAATATTTGATGATTATACAAGTTTATAGTACTGTGTAGATCTTTTCTACCATGACCCTTTCAACCACTATAATAATGCGACCACTGTTATAGTTTTGGAGACAGCTTTTTTTTTGTTGACGGAGTGGAAAATCCCTACGGATCTCCTGCTCCTCGGGGAGTCAGGAGCTAGGAGTATGTGGTGATTCCACTAAAAACCACCCCGACAGCCGGACTCAGGTGTCCTACTCTGGGAGTTCCCATGTTATTTCAGGTCCTGATTACAGCTAATACGAGTAGAACGCTTTTGTCTTTTAAATAATTATATTGGAAACAACTCGAATTCAGTGAACAATCAGGATGCTAATTTTTTTTATTGTCTCGTTGATTTGGTCAAGAGATAAGATTGAAATTGGTTTAACGGAAAAGGTTTAATCTCACTAGATTCAAGATTTCACAAATATTTCAATAAGTCTATCTGGAGACAGATCAGTTAGACTTTATATTTTTATTGACGTGGTAGAAAATGTCTTCGGATCGCCAGCTTCTTGGAGTCAGCTGTCGTGACGTTGCAGCTCAGGCGACCTACTCTGGGAAGGACCCGGTATCCGGTGGTTCTATCTCGCTAGAGATCACGTAGGCCTAACCTTTTCGTTTGACTCTTCAGCTAAAATTGGAATCCGTACTGTCGTAGGTTAACCCTTAAGGTTTTTTGATGGAAGTAATTGGAATTTGAATGAGACGAAACCAGCTGGAGTTTCCCGTCCAAATAAATTTATCAGTTCACAAAGCATGTTAATTTATTGCGTCTGTCGAAATCGACCCAATTACCAAGTTCTTTCTCAAATCAGCTCTTTGCACGTATACGACTATTATGTAAACAATACATTTTGCATGCGCATGTCCATTTTGAATTTGGGTTTTGTTCAATGCATGTTGTGCATGTTTCAAAATTCAATCATTTTTTTCATAGGTTACCTAATCTATTGCTAGAACGTATAAAGTGGTGGTAGTTTAAAATGATATCAGTCTATCCAAAGGTTGCCTGGAATAGTATGCTCTAAGTGATAAGGCCGTCCTTTGGACATTGAGTGCTGTACATTTTATTTATATGTAAAAACCTTGGTGTACAAATATTTTGTTTTTATTAAGAAATACAACGCCCGCGCTAGGTAAATGTGCCATGTCGTGGGTGCTTTACATACAATTATGAAACGGACACAAAGAACACACAGACTCAGAACAACACTTGTGTATCACATAAAGTGTTGTCCCATGTGCAGAGATCGAACCCGCAAACACTCAGCCCAGGAGAAAGCGGCGAAATTACCGCTTAATCTACGATTAATGTGTATAGTTATTAATCGCTATCCGCGCATTAAATAAATATAGATATTAGTCTAGTATTATCTATCCATCTCGGATACCAATAATGTTTACTTCACATCAACAACCTTTAATAGTTTACTGCTGGACATAGACCTCCCCTTAGAAAGGAGGTTGCAAACTACGCAGGACTACAGCACTTCAGAGAGAAGGAATACTTGACACAAACCCTATACCAACCCGTCTGGCCAGAGTGGTACAGTAGGCCAAAACTTCCTTTCCAATGTTAACTAGGGAAGTATATAAGTACGTTACACCTGACTTCGTATATTTTTGTAACCCGGATTCATGAATCGAGTGTATTAACAACGATTAGTATGTATGTATTAATGTTTATTTAAATATTGATTTTCTAGTCATTAGATCACGGTGCATAAGTTATCGTACCGTACACTATAAGGAACTTACTGGGCCAAAGGACAACATTACTTCCGGTTGACATAAACATGATAAAATAAAGCAAAAAGGGCTTTTTAAAACTAAGCTATGTACGCAATAACTATACGGGTATACATTAATATGTCCGTGTGGTGACGGATTAAGAATACGAAGTGTTACCACCCTTGTTAATCCCGTGGGTGCCGTAAGAGCCGACTAAGGCAGCAAACTACGCAGGACAACAGCACTGCTCTGCAAAGCGAAGGAAAACTTGAAACGAACCCTATACCAACCCGTCTGGCCAGCGTGGTATAGTAGGCCAAAGCCTCCTTTCTAAGGGGAGGCCTATGTCCAGCAGTGGCTTGTTAAAGGCTAATGATACATTAATCATGAAAAAAACTATTTAAACAAATATGGCGTAAACAATCTATTTAATGGTCATATGTAGAAGTGCAAAAGATAAATAATTTTAACAATGTACGTTATAAAGTGAAATATTATGCAAAAACGTCTACATAAAATTGTATATTTTAATATCTCGTCGTAGGAAAGTCTATACAATTATACTGGACAATGTAATAAAAGAAGTTATTAAAAACGGTCGAAATTCAATCTCTAGTAGACACAATTAGATACCGGACGTATCTTCAGCCATCAAATACTCAAGTCATGAACCCAGAACAGTCGAGGGCGGAAGTAACATGAGAAGTTAAAAATATGTTGTCACTACACTTCCTTGTTATATATACTCTTTTGGCATAAATTGAGATGCTGGATATTTTATTGTTATCTAAACTTATAAGCCACGAGTCAAGGTCACGCGGACACAGCGGGTGAGCATGTTAATGAAAGTGTTTTGAAACTAAAAGTATCTTAACCAATGTTATCGATTCAAATGTGAGATCATTTATTTATTTAATACGCTAACGGTTTAATCGATAATATTAATTTTGCAAACAGGTTTTCAAGGCTACGGGAAACACATATAAATGACACATTTCATTAACTAGACATTATTAACCTCTACACAAAGAGGTAAGTCAAATGTGTCAGATATTTTAATTTTATCGTCGTTATCTTCTTCCAGAGCGTCTCCCTTTTTCATTTTGGGAGTTAATGTGACATCGGAAAGCGTTTGGGCTGGTTTCTTTTTATCCACCTGTTAAAAGGCGTTCCCGTCAGAAAGGTGGAAGGGCTTTCAGACGGAACTAAGGAAGAAAGTAAATTGGCTAGGGTAAGAGTTACCACGAGCTACAAAAGGGGACTGAGACCGCAATGGTTCGAAGTGGTCAGGGTCGCATTCCGTATGTCCGATCTTGGACTGGAGAGGCCACTAGGTTATAAACATTAAATAAGCGTAATAATTTTATCAGACATCTATTTCAGCCTTGAATCCGAAGTTTCTTGTCTTGGATACATTTCAAAAATGTCACCTTTAACTAATATGTAAAGTCTCGTTTTAAGGTAATAATAATAACATTACACATCTCACACACGGCCGTCTGATCCCAAACTGGGCAGAGTCTGTAATATAGTACCCAGACCGCTGATAAACATACTTATATATTTCTAAACACATATATATTATAGATAAATAACACCCAGACACAGAACAAACGGTCGTGCTCATCACACAATTACTTGTCCTAGCGGTGGCGGCAGTAGTCCCTTACCGGGTACTTGTGACACATTCGCTTGTTTGCCCTTAAAAAAAGTGCCTACACATCAGTCTAAACCAATGCATTCTTTATCTTGTAGAATTTCTCGCTCATTATCCACATATAACATTTTGATTAAGTCATTTTAGGTGCGAATTATGTAAAAATACTAGTCTGTGTATCTGCATACATAGACAAACACGTGATAAAAGATTGTGAGCACAGTTTTATCAGCCTTCATAAAAATCAATATAACTTTAACATAACGCTATTTTACATATCTACGGCGCCAAATAGAATTCATGGCTGAATGGTTGGGGCGAAAACAGTCGTTCCACGTGTTTGAGAAATGTTTGGCGCCGTCAGAATTTTGCGTGGGTTTTGTAGATTATGTTTGTGCACCAATTATTTACGTTCGCCATTTTACGAGTCGTAGTCATCCTACGAGTGCCTAATATGTTTACAATCTAAGCACCACTAACATTGTAATAAAATACAACGCATTTATGCTAAAATATCTATACAAATAAATAAAATTTAAGTCTGTTTCCAATGTCAAAATTATAGGTTTTTTCATGCTTACACGGTTTTTTCATGCATGTCATGTCTAAAAAACCAGTTTAAATATTTTTTGTCTGTCTATCTGTTCGTTCCGGGTAATCTTCAAAACGGCTGGACCGATTTTGATAACATTTTAGTACCAGGTAGCTGTCTATATAAGGAGTAACTAAGGCTACATTTCCTCTAAGAAATAGATAGAAATAGAGAGTAATCTTATCGATAGAGCGATTCAAGAGGAAAGTTTATATGTATAAGACATGCCAATTATGGTAGAGAAAATCCAAGAATTTAAAAGATTTTTTCGTTTCGTTTAAAAAGACAACTCCCACACTAGGAATGTATCGTGTCGCGGGAGACTAAAAACTCAGAACAGTAATTTTTGGATCACACGAAGTTTCCCATGTGGGGATCGATCCCGCAACAATCAGCGCAGTAAGAAGCGGCGAGGTGTATATATTTGTGTATTCTTTTGTTTTAAGCCCCAAACTACCATCTGACGGTCAGAATAGTGGATACCACAACAACTAGAGCGACCGGCACATTTTTCAGAAAAAAAATATACTGAAGACGAAATAAAACCTGGAATTAAAAACTGCTGAACCATTGGAAATCTCCGAGGCAGCAAACCACATGTTCATAAAACTGTATGCAGATTACTTGAAAAGTTTTAAAGTTTTGAAGTGTAGTCTATTAAATAATAACACATGGAATCGGGATTTGTTTATTTATGAGATGGGGGCAAACAAACAGCTCGGTCACCTGATGGTAAGTGACTACCGCCGTCTTACTGGAAGCCAGAATGGGGGGTAGGGAGTAGAGCCCCCAGCTGTCCCCGGTAACCAGTTTACTTGTTAAAACGAGTTAAAGAAAACAAAAAACAAACTTCTGTGAGGCTACAGTCACTCCTCCAATAATGGCTATTTCATTATTATTTATTTCACACCATCCAGTTGAAATGCCATTATTGATTACTATATCAGATACACTGTGATATAACAATCAATGACGGCATCATTCATCAAAATTGTGGACATGCTCAATATCTATAATATAAAGGATTATTGTCAAAGTAAATATAGTTGCTCATTGTATAATCAATAAAACATGTTTCTTGTAAACATGTTTTATTGATTATACCCTGTCGGTACTCCTCATGAAGCCGGTCCTCCTCACCGTCTCCACGGTGACGCCGCCGACTGCGCGTGTAGGACCTCCGGGCACGTGTACAGGCCGCACGGAGGTCCGCCAGCTCCTGGGACCACCAGTAGACCTCCTTCCTTGGAGGCCGACGACCTCCAATGCGGGGCATGGCCGCATCGCAGATATGCGTAATCGCATCGCGAAAGCGACCAGCCCCCACGTCGACCTCCTCGGTCGGAGCCTGAGGAGACAGCCACGAGTGAATTATGGCTGCCTCCTCTAGTAGGTCCCGGTTCAGTCTGGCAACAGCCCACCGCGGAAAGCGGGATAAACGCCGCGCCACGTGACCCCTACTGGAGTCCTGGGTCCGGGAGAGCTCAAATCGAATATACAGATGATCCGAGAGCGCCTCAACCTCTTGCAGGACACGCCAGTTCCTTACTCGTGCGGCGAGGGCAGGGGTAGCGAACGAAAGGTCCACTATCGACCCCCCCTGCTGTCGCACACACACTAACCCTATACCAACCCGTCTAGCCAGCGGTGTATAGTAGGCCGAAACCTCCTTTCTAAAGAGAGGCCTATGTCCAGCAGTGGACTATTAAAGGCTGTTGAAGAAGATGATGAAGTAAACCTTGCATGATTCTGACTGCTAAGTCAGAGCTCTTGGGTTGTTTTCCCAGACAGAATAAATATTGTGTGTATCATGATCATGTGTCTGGGTGATTATTTGGTATATAACTCTTCTTCTTCTTGCTCTCCCTACCCAGTAGGGGATAAAAGATCTGAGTGTATGTTAACAGAAACATGAAAAATAAAGGTGTTTACGGCTGACTATCTTAATAATGTTTTTGTATATGTTACCTTGTATATTTGTCTATTAAAAGGTAATAAAACTTCTATCAGTAATACCACCCCATAAGTGCACCTACCCCACCTAAGATCAGGCAACTGGATGAGAATGCCTTAGGCAATGCATATATCTGTGCATAAAATTATAAAATAAATATTGTAAAATAAATAAAATGTTTTACCTTAAGGCAACTAATTAATTAGCCAAAGGTATACTATATTTTGAATATTATTGACATTCTTAGTAAATATTGGAGCATTACTGAGGGGTAGATTATGCAGCCCTGCTACTGTTCGTCTAGTAGCTATTCAAAATGCCTCCAGAGTCAAAACTTGTGGGTTTGATTCTTACTTAGGACATATATTTTACAGAGAGCATAATGATTTGTACTGCGTCTAATTCATTTATAATATTTCTGTATTTAGTTCATATAAATATAAGTGTGTATTTAATTATTTATACCTGATATAATTCGTTTCAGGTTATATCTTTGTCTATACTAATAAATATTAGCACATTGAGAGAATTTTGGTTTGCTATAAACCAATAAGATTTAAATTATTTGGAACAATTAAATGTGAAGTAATATTATTTATTACAATGTAAATGTTTGGATAACTCACCATTTTCTTCAGCAAACATTCGCGCCTCTTCACACGACACCTCTCTTCTGGCACCACTTTTATTATCTGTACCAACCAAGTCTATTTTACAACCAACTAACGCAAACACTGGCCGGTGAGGTTCTATATGTCTTTTTGCTTCCATCATCCAAAGAGGTATATGTTCAAAACTAGATCTATTGCACACATCGTACACTAGCAACGCTCCCACTGAATTCCTATAGTACGATTTAGTTATAGATCTAAATCTCTCTTGGCCCGCCGTATCCCACAATTGCAGCTTAATTCTAGTTCCATCTTGTACTTCTATGATTCTGGCAAAGAAATCCACGCCAACTGTAGGATCTGATAGCTAAAAATTAAAACGCAATTTACTACAGAAATCATTTAAATAACATCAAAACAAAGACTAATGTACTTACCTCGGCGAACTTCCCATCTGTGAAATATTTTAAAAGAGAACTCTTGCCCACTGTACTATCACCAATTAGGATAAGCCTAAACTGGTAATCAAATATTGGATCGACCATCTTTTCAATTGCAATTTCAATAACATCAATTGATAGTAACAAAGGTCTCGTCAAATATTACGTACTATACAAGTGACAAGACGACAAATAAGAAACAGTCAGTCAGTCACTCAAGTCATGAACACAGAATGCTTTTTATGTCATAACATTACAATTTCTAGTTTGTCTCTGATTAGGAAACCGGTTTTTTAATAGTTTACTCAATTAGGAACAACCTAATAATGTGGTTATGATAAAATTAAGTAAAAAGAATTTATCACTTTTTAACTATCATTTTCATTGCTTATTTTTTAAGTTCTTTAAAAACCGTTAACTACATCTTAACTTAATGTTGTCCCATTTTGTAACCTTTTACCACCGATTTCCGTTATAAGAAAGAATCATTCAAAGAATGAAGTTGATTATCGCATAGATTTAAATAATTGTTTATATGTCATTCAATCACTCTACTATACCACAAATTTTTAATGTGTGATCCTAGAAATTTAAACTTAATTACTTTTACGCGCCTCTGTGTACATATTGAATTAATCTCAATTGTGTAAAATAGTGTTAATTGTGATAATTTCAACCGTGTTGCTGTTTACTTTTACAACTGCTATTATAATATAATTTAAATGACAAAATTAACCTATCTCGGTAAGGCTTTCTCTGCCGGCCATTCTAGATCAACTTGAAATATTGGACTACAATAATTTCTCACGTAAGCAATACGGCTAACGTTGTATACAAAACATCAAAGTATTATTTTGGATATGTTATTATTTTTAATTGAAACATTTGTTGTTAAAATCTTCCAGATAGAGTTAAGATGAACACAAGCAGCCAAGGATATAAAATAAAAGAGAATGCCACAGATCACAGTGATGGGGGGAAAGTCAAATCTACGCCAATCGGTATGTTCTTGCTTTGTTTCGCTGCAAAAAAATACTAGGCATATTAGTAAACACTAATTTACGCATATTAGTTGAATGTCTATTGAAATGATAGTATTTAGGCCTACTGTTTTTCGTGTGATAAGACTATACATTCCATGATTCTATATTTATTTAAGGGTGGATATTATACCATCACCATATATCATAGTGTCCTGATGGTTAATTAATTTATTATACACAAAACTTCACTACCATATGTATATATTTTAAAGTAGTTAATATTTGTTAGAAGATTAAATCAAAACAACATTGCTTAACCAAATGGCACACATGAAACAAACAGGTTGCTTATGTACAGTTTTTAAGTTAATCACAGTTCTTTGGCAACTTTTAAAAAATATTAGTACTGAAAATTGTGTTAGTTGTTATTTATTACATATTATGTAATTTACTTAAATAGGCAATATATTCAAATTTTGACACCCATTTGACTATCTACTTCAGTATAGTATTCAAATTTCTAAAGAGAGGCCTATGTCCAGCAGTGGACTAGTATAGGCTGTTGATGATGATGATGATTCAAATTTCAATAAAACCGATGTTAAAACCTATACTTGAAGATCCATCCTATCCTATGTTACTAATATATATTGTCTTTTAAAAAAAGAAACAAAGAAACTACTTTAGTTTATATTCTTATTAAATAGTTGAAATCTGTGATTAGAAGGTTCTTATTAGTAAAAACACAGTTATCATCTTCCTGGTTATTTCTTGAGAAGAAATTGATTGTTTTGACTTATGGTGGGCCAGCTGCATGAAATCAGTCCTCTTTGGGAAAGTAATTTGTTTTCAGAATAGACATCAGAAGAAATTAAATCCTACCTCTATCCAGTTCCAACCCCCCTACTTATAGACTTATAAAAACTCTAGTGTCTCATTATAGTTGGGTCATCAGCCTCTAATAGTCTATTGCTGGACATACATAGGCCTCCTCAGTATTATAGTTGAGTAAAACGCCACTTTTTTGCTTTCAGCCATGGTGGCTCCTGAGTTGAAACAAAACCCTGATGCCAATACAGGAATCACCAAAACATGTGCAGTCCTCGGATGTGAAGACTTTAAAAATCTAGAACCTGAATCATTTTTTAGGTAAGTAAGAGCTGTCACCAAAACTAGGAATTCTCTGCCTCCTTATTGGAATTACATTCCTACTCATCATCTGAAATGATTATATAAATGTTGCAGTATTCCAAAACTGCAACAGTACTGTGAAGAGAAGGCAAACTTGACACAAACCCTATACCAATCTGTCTGGCCAGCGTGGTATAGTAGGCCAAAACCGCCTTTCTAAGGAGAGGCCTATGTTCAGCAGTGGACTATTAAATGCTGTTCACGTGCGATGTGAGTGCAAAGCTGGCAACTTAAAATGTAATAAGATTAGACTCTGCATTTTATCAACAAAAGCCCAGAATTCATGCCATGGGGGGTGAAATAGATCACATCTCTACTTCCCACTGGACTGAGTGTTGTGGGTTCAATCGCCATATAGGACAACACTTTGTGTGATCCACAAATTGTAGTCCTGTGTCTGGGTGTTCTCTGTGTCTGTTTGTAAAGTCCTCTACAAAACTATATAATTCTAAGTGCAGGAGTTGTCTTCTAAAATCTAAATCATTTTCCTGCCAATGCCATTGATTGATTGATTGATTGGTTTGCACAATACGTATGTAACATCGCAAAGGATTTTTGTTTGGTTTCTTTCTTGTCTGATGCCTACCCTCTGGGAATTTACAAAGGGAGAAGGAAAATTGGAATACAGGAAAAAAATGAATGAGGCTGATGAGTAGTGGGGATTTGGAAACGGGACTGCTACCACAGACACCTCAGTACCTTCGAAGACCCTGGAGTCACGTGTCTGCACGTCCTTCTTGTAACTGGCAATGCTACTAGCGAAAAGAAATATTAATATAGCATATAATATTCTCATAATCAAATAGTTGTTAGTAGCTAAATACTCTCGTGTTTTAGAATTTCACCTTTAGGTGCTTTTAGTCCAATTCGCGTTTCGTCAATTGTCTAAAAAAGGTCCAATTGACTCTTGGTCCGATCCACGTTAATGTGTTATCTCCGTTAAAGATATAAATGTCCATATAAACTGTTACAGATTTCCAGAAGATTCAGGCCTACGTCAAATATGGACAGACCTGACAGGGCGCAACAACTGGACACCCACAGACTACTCCTATATATGTTTGCAACATTTCTCGGTGGATTGCTTCAAGGTCAATGAGGATGATGAAATGGTTCTCGTGGATAAGGCAATACCTTCTCTCAAGTTGCCTAGACATGTTTTAGAAGTAAGTTTTCTTATGCTAAACAGCTTCTGTGGTTTGTAAACACTTTTGAGAGCATTAATTGCTCATAACTCTGTCAAAAACAAGTAAAAATGGTAACTATCTAAATGGAAGCCAACGCTTCTTCTCTCTCTTACAATTGAATGGTAAAATAAATTATGTTTATTGTATCATTTATTAGCTTTTTTATTATAGGCGTGAGATTTTACCAAACAAAGTCCCTGTCACATTCTTTACAATAATGGAACCTAAACCAATAAATTCCAAATGAAGTGGACCTAACATTAAAAAACTCAAAATGAAGAATGGAGTAACTATTTTGTAATTAATACTTAATATAAAATTAATACATACTTCATAATTAGTAATTCCCACAACTAAATTGACTATGAACTAAAAGAAGTACTACTGCAATAACAATAGAAGGAGCATAAGCGAGGGCCAAGCTTCAACATAAATAGGCTGGCTGCACCGGAGTGATAGCAAATCCTTACAGCAAACTGGTATTAAGCATTCGTTTGTTGCTCATCACCGAGTGAGTCAGGTTACCAGAGCCACAATCCTCACTTAACTCCCTTAACTCTGGGTTGAGAGCACAGAAACGGCAGCAGCATACTTGTGTCTCTTGAGTCTGAGGTGGCTATGAGCGGCGGGAGTCACTTACTGTCAAGGATCCCGTCTGTTCGTGCCAACTATACTGCCAAAAAACAATAGTAAATTCCGTCACTCTACACATGATACTGAACTCCTGAACTGAAGTGGCAACCACGTACCGGACGACGAGGCGTGGGCAGGCCCCCTGAAAGGTGGTCCGATGACCTGGTTAAGGTCGCGGAAAGCCGTTGTTGTTGTTGGTTGTTGTGGAGAGCCTGGGGGAAGCCTATGTCCAGCAGGTGATGATGATGATACTTAACAAAATTACATTTGTGCAGTCCTTGTGCTTGTTTCCTAACTACATGGTATTAAATTGCGTATTTTCAATCCAGATTAATCCTAGAATATTAAACTTACGTTTTATTTCCAGGTGGAATATATAGACGAAGAGACGCTGGACAATGAAGAATATGATGAAAACATGACCACAGATGAAGACGAAGAAAAACAGACCGCCCCACCAGACATTCATGTACCTAAGAAAGAACTAGACAATATTGAACTGCTCAAACTATTCTCTGAAGTCCAAAGATTACAGAGACAAGCGGTGGCTTTGAAAGAGAAACTAAAATACAATATGAAAGTCCATAATAGACAAAATAGATTTCTAAAAAGAATAAAAGAAATTATAGAAATGAAAAAAAAGATTTTAAATCAGAAACGGAAGAAAAAGTGCAGGATTTTACTATCGTTGCAGGATAAAATTAAAGAAGATACTTCAGGATTAGTTTTAGCTATGCCGATGCGTCAAACAGACGATTTAAAAAATTTCGCTTTGAGCATCTATAAATACTCGCCTCAGGCGTACATTTATATAAGGAACACATTAAGGACAATACTGCCTAGTACGGAGGTGTTGGACTCGTGGATCACTGCTGGCTACCAGCCTAGGAATGTTATATCTAATAGTAATTTGATCAAAGTGGTAGCAGAACAGACAGAGACGCAACTATCCTGTAAAGTTATGATAGGCTAATTACTAACTGTTAAATCACGGAATATTATTTTTTAAATAAATGCGGAAAACCGTGTTGTTGTTTTATTCACTATATATACACACGTATTGACTGCACGGATGGCGTAGTGGTTTAAGCTGTCGCCACGGCGCTTCCTACTAGTGATGTGCCGGATCGTTAACAAAGTATATCCGCGGATACGGATCTGAATACGGATAGGTATCTGGTGTCAAGATCCGCGGATACGGATACGGATACGGATCTTAAGTTTCTTACTCAATCGGAGCCCTTGACCTTGATAGTTGTCGCCACTTGACGCTTTGCCGTTGATATTTAAATATTTTCATTATTTTAATAAGCTAATACAAAGATGTTTGATTGATTTCATTATAAAGATAGCTCTTTCAGTACCTACGACCTGCCTAGTTGATTTAGTATAGTACGATAAATGATTGCAATACAAAGGTGCCAAATATTTGTTTTAAGAAATAAAAAGTAATCTGAACAGAATTCAATACTTTTTCATAGCTACCTAATAGCAATTATTCAGGGTTATTTTAAATTTACTGAAAACCTCTGAAGTGCATATTAGTAACATTATAAACAATAACTTTTCTTCTGGACTAACACCGAAAACGAAAGAAAAAAAATTGTTTCTCCATACAAACCAACAACATTTGATTGGTCATTTGAATGGAGGACCAATTTTTTTTCATTTTGACCTTGGCCAGAAAAAAGTTACAAACACATACCTAAGAGTTTTAGTAGTACATACATATAGTACGAGTAGTGAATACAAAATCACCTATATAGAATTTCATCTATGTAATATGTATTGAAAGATCCGCCAAAAAAGTCACGGATATGGTTACGGATCTCTCTTCTCCCTTGGATATCCGCGGATAAGGATATCCGGCACATCACTACTTCCTACTACGCCGAGTGTTATGGGTTCGAACCCCACATGGGAAGACACTTTGTGGGATCCCCAAATTGTTGTTCTGAGTCTGGGTGTTCTTTGTGTCCGTTTCATGGGTTTGTAAAGTACGCCGCGACAGCATATATTCCTAATGCGGGAATTGTCTTAAACAAAAAAAAAACAAGTTTAATGCCACAATTGTATTTCTAGCTATAAAGCTTTATAATTTTATATTAACTTCACTTAAGATAAAAAACGAGTAAGTCTTACAGTAGTTTCGATCGAGCGGTTTTTGAAAAATCTAAAAAAGTATACATCGATATTTTTGTTTCCTTACGAAACCTTGCTGTCTCATTGGAGTAGTGCGTTTAGTTGATCTATCCATATTAACATAGCAAAATACTCTACTTGCCACTGAAAGTGTAAAAATAAAATTACCTACCTATTTTTAACCGACTTAAAAAATGGAGGATGAGCTCTTCCGACGTCTACCTTTCGTCAGAAATGAGATTTTTCAATCTGTGCATTTTTGCTAATGCTCGTTCATCGTACGGTTTACTGATTAGTTTAGAGGGTTTTAAATCAGCTAGAGCTATTCCTTCTAAAATGTCGACTCTGCTGAGAGTACTACGCTACGTAAACTTGTCCTTTCGCAAAGTTCTTTTTTCTAAGTCTATGACAGTTCCACCACGGGTTGCACTCTGTAGTTTATGCACAGTTACAGCCCAGAATAAAATAAGAGGTAACATAAGACGCTCAACGTCACCATAGCCCCTAACTGTCTAGTTGCTTGGAATGTACTTAGCACACTTTCCATCAGGTGACCCGGCATCTCATTTGCCCCCTCTTCCATAAAAAAATGAAAACGAAGCCATTAGCATATTTTAACTTGCCTCCTATTGTCTCGTTATCAAAACATAAAGAGAACGGCGTAAGGCATTTCAGCTTGTTCCAACAACTCTTTTACCAACACCCAACTTCCATCATTTGATTAGGGGTACAATACATAAATACGAAAAACCTTTTTCCAGTAACAACTACGGATTTCAAAAAACCGATTTTCATAATTCCGAATAGTTCAAAATTCCTAATATAACAACTTCCGATTGATCCATCCTATTTTTATCATTCGAAAATTTCGATATTCCCAACGTTTATACTATGGTCAAAATACCTGGTTTCAATAGATCGAATAATAAAAAGTGATAATTCAAAACATGAAAAATTTCCAAAATTATACACAAATTATTCACCAATAATAGAGGGGGTCTCGCGCACGGTGCCTGCTGACGCGGCCCGCTCGCTCGCCTTCGCTTTGTTATGATCACAATAGGGAATATGCACGAGACACCAAAATGGACAAAATATTTTTATTTATATTTTTTATTGCTAAAAAAAGATACCCATACAATTATTTTTGAAATTTATTATAATTTAATAGTGAAATTTAATCATCAAAAATTGGCTTTTTTAAGATTACCTCGCAAATTTCTAAAACGCAACGCTATTGGTTGAATAAAACGTGACGTCAACCTACACACACTGTCAAGAGTGTCAACAAGTTGTATGTATTTGTAATATTTGGTTTCTGGTGATTTTTTGTTTCATTTTAAGTTAATAACTAATTAGTTAAATTAGTTAAATTAATTAAAAATTTAACACTAAAAACGTATTAATACGTTTTTAGTGTTAAATTTTTAAATTCCCGTGTAGAAAGACTCAAAACAATGACTGAAACCGGTTTTGTCAAAGCACAATCAGATAATCTTCCTAAAATAGACGTGTTTATGATGAGCACCTATTTCGCATCTAATTCAGATTTTACGTCTGCTGAACTCAGAGGAGTAAAAGCTGCGAGGTAAACAAGTTATAATTTTTTTATTAAATGATCGTTTTCATGGTTTTGTTAATAGTCGTATAACATAAATATAACCTATAATACGCTCCGGTGCAGTTTTGTTATAATTTGGGCACAAAGGAACGGCACAATATTTATTATAAGTTTTTATTGGCTTTTCCATGGCAACAAGTTAATCATTATCACTCACTTTTTTAACTTTCAGAAACTTTGTGAACTTCACTCCGTTGTTGACAACGAATTCGTCTGAAAGTGTAATCTGACGTCACAAAAAAAACCAAAGAATAGGGAAGATGCATGAATTTTTTTTTTAACGATTCTATTAGTTATTAAATTACCAAAAATAAATATAACACATCCGAAATATAAACCGTTAAGCAAACATAAAATTTATTAAAATCATTATCATTTTGGGGCAATTTGAACACGTCCATTTTGGCGCGCTTTTTTTGTGACGTCAGATTACACTTTCAGACGAATTCGATGTCAACAACGGAGTGTAGTTCACAAAGTTTCTGAAAGTTAAAAAAGTGAGTGATAAAAATTAACTTATTACCATGGAAAGCTAATAAAAACTTATTATAAATATTGTGCCGTTCCTTTGTGCCCAAATAATATCAAAACTGCACCGGACAAAGTATATTGTGTTGAGTCTTTCTACACGGGAATTTAATAATTTAACACTGAAAACCTATTAGTTATTAACTTAAAATGAAACAAATAATCACCAGAAACCAAATATTACAAATACAGACAACTTGTTGACACTCTTGACAATGTAGGTTGACGTCACGTTTTATTCAACCAATAGCGTTGCGTTTTAGAAATTTAATTTAAAAAAGCCAATTTTTGATGATTAAATTTCACTATTAAATTATAATAAATTTCAAAAATAATTGTATGGGTATCTTTTTTTAGCAATAAAAATATTTTCTCCATTTTGGTGTCACGTGCATATTTCCTATTCAATAACAGTAGATGGTGCCCGCCGGTCTATATAAGGAGAAGAAGAAAACACACAAAAAATATTTATAACAAAGTAGACGTTTTTAAATAACATTAAACGTTACTTATAGATTTTATAGAATATTATTTAACTGAATCAGAATCTTAATTTAAGCAGTTTATTCGAAGTTTTAAAAATCGAAATGTCGTTTTTCGGACCGAGAAACAAACTGGAAAACAAACATCACATTTACGGCTTTCGGTAAAATAAATTTGGTTAATTTTAATAATAGACATTATAATAAAGTAAGTAATTATATAAAATAATTCTTAGATATCATGAAATTCGGAACAACAAAATTCGGAATAAAATATTTCGGGGTATTGGGGGTTCCCATTCGATAGTCTTTCATAAATAAGAGACAACTGATGTTCACGTTGTTTTATCGCTTCCTTTGACAATTTATTTCGTACATAATTGAGCATTTAAGAAAGCCTTTTTTTTCGGAGAAAGACTCTGAGACGCCGTGCTCTATTGCGCTTTATAGGCGCTCATCTTTGTCATTACCAGACTCCTGTAGGTACTCGACGCTTTCTTATACGAGATGCACGAAAGGAAGGTCTCCCCATCATGTACCACATACTCTTACCTCTATTTTATAAAACACTACCAAAAGAAAAAAATAAATTCTATTTAAATTAAAAAAAAAATGCCTTCAAAAAAGACCCAGGAATTAAAAACCAACAAATAATTAGTATTTACCTACGTACGATTTCCTATCCAAACCAACTAAACCAACTATCCAACTAAACAGTGATCTTAATTACTATACAATATATATATATATATATTGATACATAATTACAATTCATAAGTAATTATCTATTTACACAATTACAATGTGAAAATTCTTGTCTAAACCCGTTATCTATTCATTTAAATAAAATATTATATGTGCTAGGCACCTTTTTTTTTTTTTTTTTTTTTTTTCCGTGAGGAAATCCCCTCGGATACCACCTGTCGGTGGCATGTCGGACACGAACCGACTAAAACCGCACGCCGTCTCGGGTACTAATAGCCGGGGAACCAGGTATACCCTAGAAAGGAAGTCCCTGGTACCCCGACATACCTCGGGTCATCTACAGACGAGTAGACGACCCCCCCCCCCCCCGTGTGGGAACCCCATGTTCCCTGTGCTCCCTGGAAGCGAGCGCGCTTCGCAACGCGCTCGCCGCCACCCCGGCCTGCTTCTGCTAGGGTGACAGATGGCCTCACCTGTCACCCCCAGGCCTGCGCT